GTGCCTGAAGCTATCCCTCCCAAACCGGAAAGTCCTCCCCCAGAAGGTATGCGAAAGCTATACAAACTATAGGAGAAAAATGATTGTTATTTTAACTAGGAAATTATATGTTAAAAATCCTGCTACTTAAAGATGATATAATTCTAAATAAAACAAATGTCAACTGCTATCCAAAATATCTTGGTGTGTGCTTATATGCAAAAGGCATCTATTGTTTTCACCTTTTCTAAACATAAATTACAAATATCTTTGAAGTGCCTGAAGTGCTGCCACCAAAGGAAGTGGTCCCAGAAAAGAAAGTACCAGTGCCTCCTCCCAAAAAGCCAGAAGCTCCACCTCCTAAAGGTAGGTATCATTACACACTGTCAGTCCGGGGGGCCTGGGGAAAGAGTGTACAGAAAAGTCTGCGGATCTAACAAGTTGTATTTGCTTGGGTCAATGTGGAGTCGATATTCCCCCTTTATAGCTTCTAACTGAAAGATACTAATATCTTCAAAGTTCCTGAAGCTCCTAAAGAAGTTGTACTTGAAAAGAAAGTATCTGTGGCTGTGCCCAAAAAACCGGAAGCCCCACGAGCAAAAGGTATTTATTCCCACTCCTCTGTTAAGAAAAACTTATTCTCTGTACCCCTCACAATCATTGTAAAATATGCCTTCACCATTCATAAACTATAAAAATACTAATATCTTTCAAGTACCTGAAGCTGCTCAAGAAGTTGTCCCAGAAAAGAAAATTCCCAAGGCACCAATCAAAAAACCAGAAGCTCCCCCAGTTACAGGTACATGTCAGCTCAACCTTATCCTGCAGAAGAAATCTCTCTTCCATTCCTGAAAACAATTTTAGTCCATTGCTCTTCATTAACCTAAGTATAAAACTACTAATATCTTTCAAGTGCCAGAAGTTCCTCAAGAAGCCGCAGAGAAAGAAATTCCCATGGCTCCACCCAAAAAACCAGAAGCTACAACTGTCCCAGGTACACTTTAGCCCTGACTTCATTCTGCAGAAGAGATATCTTCTCTCCTACTGTAAACAATTTTAGCCCATTTCTCTTCATTAACTTAAGTCTAAAACTACTAATATCTTTCAAGTGCCTGAAGCTCAAGAAGTTGTCCCAGAAAAGAAAGTTCCCAAGGCTCCGCCCAAAAAACCAGAAGCCCCACCTGCCACAGGTATTTTTCACCCCTGTCCTTTTTCTGCAGAAGAAATATCTCTTCTGATCTTAGAAATATTTCAGTCCATTTATCTCATTAACCTAAGTGAAAAACCACTAATATCTTTCAAGTGCCTGAAGTTCCACAAGAAATTGCCCCAGAAAAGAAAACACTGGTACCTCCTAAAAGGCCAGAAGTTCCACCTGTTACAGGTACTTGTCATTTGACCTTAAGTTTCAGAACATCCAGTTCCTCTGCTGTATATTTTTTTAGTAGTCTCCATAGCTCTACATGTAACTTTACTAATATCTTTTAAGTGCCAGAGGCTCCCAAAGAAGTTGTCCCTGAAAAGAAAGTGCCCTTGGTTCCTCCTAAAAAGCCTGAAGTCCCACCTGTTAAAGGTATTTGTCACTGACCTTAGACTTCAGAAGATCTAATTCTTTTGCAGTTGAATATATTTTGTTCCAGTGGACTTCATAACCCCTAAATGTAATTTTACTAATATCTTTTAAGTGCCAGAGGCTCCCAAAGAAGTTGTTGCTGAAAAGAAAGTGCCAGTGACAACTCCTAAAAAACCTGAAGTCCCACCTGTTACAGGTATTTGTCACTGGCTTTAGGCTTCAGAAGATTGAACTCTTCTGTTCTTGAAGATATTTTTCTAGTGGTCTTCATAATGCCTAAATGTAATTTCACTAATATCTTTTAAGTGCCAGAGGCTCCCAAAGAGGTTATTCCTGAAAAGAAAGTGCCCTTGGCTCCTCCTAAAAAGCCTGAAGTCCCACCTGTTAAAGGTATTTGTCACTGGCTTTAGGCTTCAGAAGATCAAACTCTTCTGTTCTTCAAAATATTTTTTCTGGTGGTCTTCATAACCCCTAAATGTAATTTCACTAATATCTTTTAAGTGCCAGAGGCTCCCAAAGAGGTTGTTCCTGAAAAGAAAGTGCCAGTGACTCCTCCTAAAAAGCCTGAAGTGCCACCTGTTAAAGGTATTTGTCATTGACTTTAAGCTTCAGAAGATCTCTCTCTTCTACTCTTGAAAATATTTTTCCTAATGGTCTTCATAACTTCTAAATGTAATTTCACTAATATCTTCTAAGTTCCAGAAGCTCCCAAAGAAGTTGTTCCTGAAAAGAAAGTGCCAGTGGCTCCTCCTAAAAAGCCTGAAGTGCCACCTGTTAAAGGTATTTATCACTGATTTTAGGCTTCAGAAGATCAAACTCTTCTGCTCTGGAAAATATTTTTCTTGTGGTCTTCATAATGCCTAAATATAATTCCACTAATATCTTTCAAGTGCCTGAGGCTCCCAAAGAAGTTGTTCCTGAAAAGAAAGTGCCAGTGGCTCCTCCTAAAAAGCCTGAAGTGCCACCCACAAAAGGTAGACACCCTCATGTTGCTGTGTTTGATATTGTTTGTTTGTCTTTACTTTGTCTAATAATGAAAATACTAATATCTTTAAAGTCCCAGAGGTGCCAAAGGCAGCTGTCCCAGAAAGGAAGGTGCCTGAAGCTATCCCTCCCAAACCGGAAAGTCCTCCTCCAGAAGGTAATAATGAAACTATTCAAATTACTGTTTTTTAAAATACAAACTCTCTCCTTAGTGTTGTAAAAACCTTTCTTTTTTTTTTTTTTTGGAAACTACTGCATGTATTTTAGTCAATTCTGGCATTAAAATGAGCTCATGTCTTTAAAGCTTTCGAGGAGCCTGAGGAAGTTGCCCCGGAAGAGCCTCCTGCTGAAGTTGTGGAAGAGCCAGAGCCGGCTGCGCCTCCACAAGGTACCTGGCAAGAAAGCTGCTGGGATACGTCGGCCGCTCTTTCCCCTTCCTGCCCCGATAATTCTGGGCGCTCTGAGCTTTTGTCTCATTTCTCAATCTTCATTCTTTCTAAAACATACCTTCTAATTCTTTAGTGACCGTGCCACCTAAGAAACCTGTCCCAGAAAAGAAAGCACCTGCTATCGTTGCCAAAAAACCTGAACCACCACCGGTGAAAGGTATTCCTCACTGCCACTAACTCCCTATCAAAAAACTGTCTTTAAAATGCCATATTCCACTGTTCTGCTTCATGATTTTCACATTTCATTGAAACCATGAGCTTAAACAACTACTAATATCTTTTATAGTGCCTGAGGTGCCCAAGGAGGTTGTTCCTGAAAAGAAGGTGCCTCCAGTGGTTCCCAAAAAGCCAGAAGCCCCACCTGCTAAAGGTATATGTAGCTTTCCATTGTTTGATGGAGGCAGATGGAGCCCCCAGCTTCTAAAAGGGTTTTGTTCTGTGTAAATGTGATGGATGTTTACTGGTGATTGTTTCTAATGTTAAAATACTAATATCTTTGAAGTGCCTGAAGTTCCAAAAGAAGTTGTTCCAGAAAAGAAAGTAGCTGTTCCCAAAAAGCCAGAAGTCCCACCAGCAAAAGGTACATGTCACTAATGAGACTCTGCAGAAAAGCACTCACCGTTGTCTAAAAAGTCACCTATTATCAAACCCTTTATTTGCCAATCCTCTTAAATCCACAACTACAAAACTGTCATTCTGGATTTTTAGGGTGTAAATGCTTTTTTAATAGCATCACTGACTTTTAAAAGTGATATATTTACTTATTACAAGCATTGGAAAAGTTTACTAACTTGGTTTTTTTTATTTTTAATAGGCCATATTTTCCTCCCCACTATATGAGGATCCAAAGACAGATCACTGACCTTATTGTGAAATTTGTTCTTGGATCTGTCCCTGGGTTATTTGAGCAAAATGTGAAGTAGATGTGGTATAAATTTAATATACTTCTCAACTACGCATAATAAAAACTAATTAATATCTTTAAAGTGCCAGAAGTGCCAAAGAAACCTGTCTTGGAAGAGAAACCAGCTGTTCCTGTTCCGGAAAGAGTGGAGTCTCCTCCCCCAGAAGGTACACGTGAGACCGATCATTAATGACCTTGCCACTTGCGACTATTTCTAATTTAAGCTTTGTTCTTCTTCCTTCCTAACTCATTATTTCTTGGTCATTTTCTAACCTTTAATTATTTGTCTTAATTCATCATTCTGAATGAGCTCCAATCTCAAATCTATTTTGGGTTATTGGTCCACAGTATCTACATAAGTCATAGTAAGCTGTATTAAACAAAGCTTCTCCAATGTACACAGAAAGTAAGACAGGAGAACTAATGATTATAAATGACATTAAACACTAAAAGGGCTTTGCAAGCATTCGAATCAATAGACGAAGAAGTTAGTGCAAATGAGATAGATTTTATCTTAACAAAAATAAGAGAAGGTATTAATTGAATCAAAAGAAGAAATCAAGATTACTATGTGTCGTGTTTAGTGTTTGTCCATCTTAGAATATTGTTCCATACATTGAAATAAAATTAACTAATATCTTTAAAGTATATGAAGAACCTGAGGAAATTGCTCCTGAAGAGGAAGAGCCGGTACCTGTTGCAGAAGAGGAGGAACCAAAAGCCCCACCTCCAGCAGGTACGAAGCAGAATTCACTGTATGGGAAAACACAGTCATTTCATTTTTGTGTCTATATATCTTCTTCAAGGCAAAATATCAGTCTTGTACCTTGTTGCCTGAAATCTGACTACATTAAGAAGTCATTTCTACACATAAAACTTTGGTCCCACAGAATTTGGTCCCACATATACCAAGAAATGTGTGGCTTTTAATTCATTCATTAGCATTACATTTTTCATTGTAATCACCTAATTCTAAAAGAAATTCCTATTATTCAAGTGCCTGAAGAGCCCAAGAAGATCATCCCAGAGAAGAAAGTTCCTGTCATCAAAAAACCAGAAGCACCACCTCCTAAAGGTACTCATGTTAAAATGAATACTTCATTTTTGTGGTGTCTACAATTTTACACTCTTTTCTTATTGTGTGTTGTGTTATATCATACGTTTGTTAACTCTTACCTATATGTTATGGTGTTCAATAAACTTGTATGTATATCTTACATCTTGCAACTTTGTATTATTAAATACTACTAATATCTTTAAAGAACCTGAGATGCCAAAGAAAGTTGTTCCAGTGAAGAAGGTCCCAACTGTTAAGAAGCCAGAAACACCAGCAGCTAAAGGTATTCACATCATCATTGGCATCATAAAAGAGAAAATATTCTGATATCTTAAAGTGGAATCCAATAAGTTGTCCTCGTTGTCACTGCATAACTAAGGACAAAAATTTCCTTATTTTGCTTTCATTAATTTTAATGCTGCTCCAATAAATGCAGGTTTTTTATTCTTAATATTTAAAAATGTTTTTAAATACTCTTTTTAAAACAAAACTAATATCTTCAAAGTGCCTGAGGTGCCCAAGAAACTTGTTCCAGTAAGGAAAGAACCTGTGCCTGTTACCAAAAAACCAGAAGTTCTTCCAGAAAAAGGTACCTACCATGAAGAAAAAATAGATTTCTCTAACTGCTATTTAAGCATGTTAATAATAGGTCTTAGAGAAAAACATACTGATTGTGAATTTATGTTAAAACCACATTGCACAGAAAAAAGGGAAATAATGAAGGGGAAAAAATGAAACAGACAAGCAGGAGTGAAAAAATGAATGGGATTCAGTTGTGCTGTGATATATCACATGGTTACAACTAGTAGAAAAGAACCTCTCATTCAATGTGTCAAACAGCTCAATTCAACATATTTTGTTGAATGTAGACCATTAACAAGACATCATATTAGAAAAATTAAGGCCTGATCTTGTCTTCAAGTAAGTTAAATCCAGTGAGAGGATAGAAAGATAACAGGACTCTAATACACACAGGAATTACACATAGCAAGTGAATACAAAGGGCTGCAGAAACACAGGGCAAGAAAAGATTACTTTCAGGCAGAGGCATCATGGGAAGTTGTATGGAATAATTGAATTTAAATTTTGATGGACTTTTACATGTAGAAATTGAGGAAATGAGGCCGGATGTGGTGGCTCACGCCTGTAATCCCAACACTTGGGGAGGCCGAGGTGGTTGGATCACTTGAGGTCAGGAGTTCAAGACCAGCCTGGCCAACATGGTGAAACCCCATCTCCACTAAAAATACAAAAATTAGCTGGGCGTGGTGATATGTCCCTGTAATCCCAGCTACTTGGGAGGCTGAGGCAGGAGAATTGCTTGAACCCAGGAGGCAGAGGTTGCAGTGAGCCGAGATCATGCCACTGCACTCCAGCTTGGGCGACACAGTGAGCTTCTGTCTCAAAAAAAAAAAGAAAGAAATTGAGGACATGATATCCTATGGAAAGGGAAGAGCATATTGAAAGGCATAGAGATAGAAGGATCTAGAATGTTCAAGGACTTTCAAGTAAACTTATACAATTTGGGTATGGATTGACTGTGGAATGTCTTGAAAGATAATACCAGATATAAAGATGAGGTCATATTTTGGAGTACTTCAAATGCTAGAAAAAGGCTTGTACTTTTTTCTATAGGCAATAGGAAGCTTCAAAGGTTTTGCAGCAGGCTTACATATTAACAGGATTTGGGCTTTAGAAAGGTAACTGACAGCAATTTCAGCTGCTAAATAGTAAAGACCCATTGTAATTACTTAAGGTCTTTAAGAGTTGGACAAGATCCGTGGTGGTAGAAATGAAAAGGGGCACTGGGTTTGAGAGAGATGGAGACTGAGTGGCCTCTGACCATTGTCAAAACCATTAGGGAAATTGAGGAGCCCAAGATCATTGTAAGGTTTAAAGCTAGATGGCCAAAAGAATGGTTCGTTGGGTCTCTGAACACATGTTAGAGGAAGATGGTAGATGTATTTTTCACCTTTAAAGCATAAAAGTTGGGAGTATGCCTCAGGAGCTTAAGAAAGAGATCAGGCCTAGAGATGTAGCTTAAAGTCATTCACATGGAAATAAGAATTGAGTATGAAGGAACAATTACTCAGAAAATGTACAGCAAATTTTTTTAAGTGTCGAAGTTAGACCAGTGGGAAAACATCTTCATTTAAGGGTACACAGAGGACTAGAAGCAAATGAAGAAGGCTGAGAAGATTCATATATAAAATTAGGATGTCCAAAACGGTGCCATGTCTCAGAAGCCATTTTCCCCATGAAATCTTCTAAGATGAAGCTCTTGCCCCTGCATTCTTTGCCTGCTCTTTAGACAGTCTTGCATGTCTTCTAAATTCTTAATAGTAAACAAAATCATATCTTTAAAGTGCCCAAAGTGCCCGAGAAAATCATCCCAGAAAAGGAAGTGTCTGTGCCTATCCCTGCAGAGCCAGAAGCTCCACCTGCTGAAGGTACATGGCTTCTCCATAACTCTTGTAAAGATGACAATTGTCTTCATCCTCTTGCTTTGACTGTAGACGAATCTTATGTATTTGTCTGTCTGTCTCATGTATTGAAGTTATTGATATTTGGGGGTCATCTGAATAATCTGTTATAGAGTGTTATTTAATGTAGCTAGGTTGATATGTTAGAATAGTAGTTGCAGTATTCTGTTCTAAATATAGTCTAAAATAAAACACTATATTTTTTAAAGTTGAAGAGACTCCTGAGGAAATAATATATGAAGAAAAAGCATCTATAACCATTGGTAGAAAAGAGACTCCCCCTGTTGAAGGTATATATATATATATATAAATTTTTTTAATCTCCTGAAGATTACTGTTAGAATTACAAAAGCATTTACAGGACACTATTCCTTCTTGAAATTATATACAAGATCTGTCTAGCATGTTTGACTGCTTTATTTTTGAAATAGTTACACTTCTTTCAAATTATAATCTTTAATTTGGTTACTCTTGTTGGTAATTATAAATTCCAAAAGGTACAGTTTACTGAAGCAAAATGGAATAATTGCCTTGGATCCCCAAATGATAACACAGTATCAAATTTTAAAGCTCATCTCATTTGCCATCAATATACATTGAATAATCTAATTAATAGGCAGTTCAAGTATAAGAACTTTTTCTTATATGTGAATTTTTCTATACGTGAATTTGTATGAATTGTATATTTTTATTTTATGACTGTAATCTTTGCATCAATGTGAAATTTCTATGAGTCTTTTTGAAGAACTTTACAACCTCGTATCCTTTGTCAAAATTCTTTAAAGAACGTGAAGTTGAAAAGTACGTTAAACCTGAAGAGCCTGAACCTGAACCACAGCCTGAAGAAATACCAGTAAAAGGTATTCAAGCCAGTGGACTTAAATCTTCTTTATCATATTCTTTCTCTTTAAATGTATACGGTTTATGTTGTTGTACATATGTAGTATGTCTGTTCCCATTTGTATGTATTCTTCGTTTTAAATGTGAACCTCATTCTTAGGTTTCCATATAACTTGTACTGTTTATCTCATGTCAATTATGGCTTGTCTGGATGCTCTGTTTGTTGTTGTTATTGGTGCCTTTGCTGTATTTCTCATCATCTATGTAAAGGGTTGATATTTTTATGTTTTATGTTCTGTGTTTTGTGTCGGATACTGGTATTATGTACCTTAAAAAGTAAACTTTTTACTTCATATATATATGTATATATGTGTGTGTATATATAAAATAGAAATTATATATATAATTTCTATTAAATATACTACATATCCCCATGCTAACATATACATATACTAACACCTCTGAAATACTCTTTCAAGAACCTGAACCTGAAAAGAAGGTTATTGAGAAACCAAAACTCAAACCAAGACCCCCAGCTCCACCACCTGCTCCACCTAAGGAAGATGTGAAGGAGAAAATATTCCAACTTAAAGGTAAAAATACCACTTCCAACGTTTTATTAGCCTGCTTCAAACTTCTATCCAGCCATCTGAAATGATGCTTGCAAGAAATGTATGACTTTTAGAAGTGTGTACTTTTTCAGACATGATTGTACTGTGAGATTGCATACAGTTGTGTCTTCTGCTGCCCCATGGTTCCTGGGTTGCTTGTCATGTCATGCCTGCTGCTGCAAAAGTCAGAAAGTACACTGATAGCGTCATCGGGATATCTGAATGCAGGGGCTATCCAATTAACTTTCTTTTGTGGAGTGGGGAGAAAAGAGTTTTCTGATTTCAAAGCCTGATTGCTATACATATCATTGTGGTCTTATGCTTAAGGAATGTATAAGAAATCTTTGCAAGATATTTTCAATATTGCAGTAACACATTTACTTAAAAGCCAAAACTTTGTTCTTAAAGAATTGCATGTGCTTTTAAATATATTACAAGTAATATAGTTATGATCTCCAATAGCTGATATGTGCCTATATATCATGAAAGGAAAGCATATGAATGACTTGTTACTGTTCCCCTATCTTTTTTTTTTTTTCTTGCAACTTAAAGAAGTGTTCTGTGTGGTTCTCAGGGGAGCTGGAAAGAGTAGTTATGAAGACATTTGGTATCCAGCATCCCTTCCTATTATTAAACTTCCCTTCCACCTTCTTATATTTTGATTTTTCTATGAATTGACACAATGTTACTTAATTTTAAAAATATCAGTTTCTTTAAAAGCTGAAACAAACTGGCAAAAGCATATTATTCTTATTTTAACAAAAAGTTGTCTTGTGATGTCATATGATTCCCCAATCTAAAATTATCTAGATGTAATCTTAGGTATGCACTTTCCCCATACAGACCTATGTATCTTCAAACCAGAGTCTTCCAGCATAAGACATTGCTGCTGGTGATTCTTGCCCTCTACAACCCTCATGGCCTTTACGGGGACCCTCTGGCACTTCTTGAAAGGCCACCCATCTGTTAATTGACACTCCATGAGGACACACACATAAATACATTTCCCTTAACTTAAAATGTATGCTCAAAGGAAAATTTCTTCCTCTTGCCAATAACAAAAATTGCCTTATTTCTCTGCCGGTCTTTAATTAACTACTGAGCTTTGGAGTAAAACTGCAGTCTGTTTTCATGGTTTGAATGCTGCTTGTATGTTCTTTGGAAGCTGTTCTTGGCTGTTATTAATGCTTTCTGGTTATAAGCAAAGCTTGGTTTTGATTCTTGGAGTAGAAAGTTAATCACTTGCTTCAGATTAAATATACAAATAATAAAAGTAAAATCATATTCTTTAAAGCTGTTCCAAAGAAGAAAGTTCCTGAAAAACCTGAGGTTCCAGAAAAAGTGGAGCTTACACCTCTGAAAGGTATTTCACAGGCTGAAAAATACATACTTACGTGGTAGCCCTTTTCCTGACTCCTCGCTCTTTCTGCCTCCATTGAATGTTCTGTCTCTCTTTTTCAATCATCAGAGAGTAGTCCCATTCATTTCTTATATTTCTGTGGCTTTTATGGTCCTGGCTCGTAAGTGTGGCTTCCTTTGTCTCCCATCCCTTTCATACATTGCATAGACATGGTCTATCTTCGTCTCATCTGCATATGTCTTCTTGCATTTTCCTAAACTTAAAAATATCAAATTTTACTGGTTAGCCAAAATTGATATTAAGAGACATGTGAGATTAAAATGCTGAGAGCTATTAGTAAACTGTTTTGACATTTCCCTGACATAAGCATTTTAGCCAATGTAATAAGCATTAAAAATAAGTCCTATCTTTCTTTTATATTATTAAGGTTATTTGTAGGGATTTCCTTAGGACTTTCGTGTCAGTCTCTTCTCACTGACTCTAAGGCATTCTCTGAGGTGTACAGAATTCATATTTCAGAAAAATTTCCTTATTACTGTAGGTAATTTTTAAAATGTATTTTTCTGTAAACAGTATTTTCCCTAATAAGGTCTCATCTAAAATTAGACCCTAAAGAAAACTAAATGAATTATAAGAGTCTAGAAAACATCTATCAAAAATAAACTTAATTTTTCTAGTGGGTAGCAGTGTTCTGTTCAAGCAATCAACACATTCACACCTAGAAATTAAGACTGTTTCTGGTCACTCTGAAATTTTGGGGAAAAAAGTCATCCATATAAATATACATTTCCTGATTTCATAAAGGGGAGATTACAAAATAATGTTATCATGGATATTGATCATAAACATTTAAATAGCACATAATCACATATAATGACTTTAAAAATAATAGCTACAATGGTGGGTTCTCAAATATCAATAAGATTTTTAAAATAAAATAATAATATAAAAAACGCACAGATATATTTTCACTATGTCCATTATATCAGTAAAGAAAATCTATATTATGCCTCCTCGCTTTACATTAATTAGATGCATGTGCTTCCTTCTGGGTTTGAGCAATAAAAATAGTTACTAAGAAGATTGGTACCTTTAAAATAGTATTGAAGGCCAACACAATTTATCCTGGATAAAATATGTAATGTTTAACTGTAAAATTTTTACTTAAAATATTTGGCATTAGAAAAAAATGATTATTCAAAATGAAATACATATTTGCCTATTGCAGGTTTAAATTTTTGTAATAAGAGTTAAGCAATGTTATCTTTATCACATAAAAAAATTTAATGAGTTGCAAATATCTTGTTTGAAGCCCTAAATAGGAAATTTTACAGAAATATCTAAAAATTCAGCTTTCTGACAGTGAGCAAATAGTTACATGATACAAATAAATACTGTTCTAAATTAGATTTTAATTGACATTAGTAGAGAGGAAAAAGGTTTAATAATCACTACGTGTTCCTTTCTTTCACCATTCAAATCTGTGAGGGCCGTAATAGCAAAAGAGGCCGCTCTATAAAATAGCATCACCCACCATGCTCAGTATTCACTGTAGAGGAAATTAATTTTGAATTCCTTGCATTCCTTAATTTGAATGAAGAACATTTTCTTATTCACAAAAAATGAGCTTCCAACACCAGCTTTGAGATTTTATAATTCTATAATTTTAAATATTTTATCCAGTATTATTTCAAAAAGGAAATCTTAAGAAAGGATACTCTTCTTCTGTTCAGAAAGTGAGATATGGCCCTTCCCCAGCATCAAAGTCACAAATCGGAACCCTTGGCCACCGTCTGCCCTCAGTGGAGAAGACTGAATGATGGCACTAACACTTGCCAGTATCATTTTCATACATTTAGTGGTTGGGGAGGTAACATCGTAAATTTGGACAATCTGCAGTTGAGTTTGGGACAAAGATGCTGACCCTATAATTTGATTAAAGATTCATAAAGTCAGTACAGAGCAACATCCTCTACAAGCATTTAAAATGAATACATTTGCCTGCAGTTAATGGACTTGAATTTCATCACAAGGCTGTATAGATATTTATACAGAGGAGATAACTTGAAATGTATCATTTAAACTTAAATTCTGTGGTATTTATATGCAGTGAAAATTGTTACTTAATGCACTACAGTTAACTAGTTTTAGGAGAGACATTTTTCTTGTTGAAATTCCGTTTTTATATAAATTCACTTCAAAATTTGAAATCATATTCTTTTAAGTGCCTGGAGGTGAAAAGAAAGTTCGCAAATTACTTCCTGAACGTAAACCTGAACCAAAGGAAGAAGTTGTTCTGAAAAGCGGTATAGTATTTCTCGACCATTCTGTCAGCGTTAAGTAATTTTAAAAATGAACTTGAAAGCTTACAAAATGTTTCTGTCCTTTGGTTTTCTTTGAATTGGTTTGCTATTTATCAAAATTTGTTTGTAGTTTCACTGAAAATTAAGAAAAATGTCATTTCCAGATCTTTTCTTTTAAAAAGACAGAAATTTTGTGAGCATTCACAGTATTTTGAAATTTAAAATGTTAATAGGCATAACTAAGTTGATAATATTCTAAACTAACAACAACCATGACTGCCATTTTCATAACCAAATTATGTAGTAAAGTACACTAAACCTATTAAATACCTTACATGAAACTACTTTAGCTTTAATTCAATATTCAGTTTTAAAGCATGACACAGGATCACCACAACTAATAAATAACATCCTTAAAAAACTGAACATTTCTTTCCGACTAATACAATATTAAAGAATGTGAAACAAGATAGTCAAATGAAGAATTAAGTTCTAACATTGTCTTCACATAGAATTCTGATTTTTAGGCTACCTTTCTTTAGATATCTCTGCTTAAGTAAACTTTCTACTTATTTACATACTCATTAAATCATTAACATTTAATTATTATTACAATTCGTTGCTATTCAAATTATTTATTTTGTGTTGGAGCTGTTTCTCCCACAGACTTGTCTCAGAATATACCCTCTATCAAGACAGAAACAAAGTAACTTTGAGTGCTATTATAATTAACGTAACAACCTTTGATTCAAAAAAAAAAGAAAAATCTTTTAGTGTAAATGCTTACTTTCCAGAGTGCTAGGTAGCATGCTTTTTTCCATTTTCCTTGCTTTGTACATTATTTGCATTTGTCAAGCTTATTCAGCATCTTCATTAGTTTGTCTTGGTTTACATATAAACCTTTTTGTCTTTAAAGTTCTAAGAAAAAGACCTGAAGAGGAAGAGCCTAAAGTAGAACCTAAAAAACTAGAAAAAGTTAAAAAACCTGCAGGTAGGAATCTCAGTGACAATTTGTAAGAATATCTTGTAACAAAATGGACATTTAACAAAAGGTTTATCTTGTAAACATAAATGAAGTTAGATGTAAACATGGCTTCATATTTCATCTGTGATGTAGTCTTTGTTTTCCATTGTCTGCTTTCTGTTTAAATAGTTTTATAGTAATTCCCAAATCCATTCATGTATTTCCCTGCACTTCATTCTTATCATTCCTTTGCAACTTAAGTTCCTCCAGTAGAAATGACTGAAATAATGAAGTGGCTATTCATGGGAGGTTGTCAGCAAAGGTTTCATAATCTGGGAGCTTTTAAATGGATTGGCTTTTATCATTAGCCTCTTCTCAAAGGGTATAATTATTGGGAACTATTATAGAAGTGATTTAGAAGGAGAGAGCCATGGGGAGTGGAAGACAAGTTGATGGAATAAAAGGAAGAAAAATAAATGAAAGCAGAGTCAAGAAAATAAAATAGAAATTGATAAACTATAAGGTTTTTTAAAAAACCATCAATAGAGTTTTTGAAAAATAAATTGATATTTCAGATGAGTTGCTCCCTAAATATTCAAATATTAACACTAAAAAAAAATCTTATTATCTTAAAGTACCAGAACCACCACCTCCAAAACCTGTTGAAGAGGTTGAAGTACCTACTGTTACAAAAAGAGAAAGGAAGATTCCTGAACCAACAAAAGGTACAAATCTACTGGCATTCTTAGTTGTCTCTAAAAATGCAAATATGTATCATTTAAAATATTGTTACACTGACATAAAGATTTGAACACATGACCTTAATCTGTTCATCACATATGGCTTAATTTTCTTTACCCTCTCACTCTCCTATGCAATTGGCTAATGATTACCCAGTTGCAAAATAAGTTACCAGAAAAAAAAATTGTATTTATGGGCAATGAGATAAATAACAACATTAAAACCAAGAACATTGCCTTACTATATTTTCCAAATATTTTGTTTAAAATGAAAACTAATCAAATACTTGATTTGATAATTATATGTATATAAATTCTAATATCTTCCAAGATATGTGGGCTTAATTTTGGTTTTGACTTTGTGAAAAACTTCAAAAATCCTGTAATAATCTGCCCTCTACTCTGAATTATTTCAGTGCCTGAAATCAAGCCAGCAATACCTCTCCCTGGACCTGAACCGAAACCAAAGCCTGAAGCAGGTGAGCAAGCTTATCCTCAATGTCAACAGCATATTCCTTCTTGATTCACACACATAACATGTACTTAATAAAAGATAGTAGGTGAAAGTCAGTATGTATCAAATGATTTCTGATGTCTCAATATGTTTAACATACTATTCTCTTAAACACTAGTTATTCAAAGATTTCAAAATTATATCAGAAGAGGCAAATAAGCCACCAAATAAGCTTTTAGGAAGTGACAAATTGATACATTAATGCAATGGACATCTCTCTACAGAAGTGAAAACAATCAAACCACCTCCTGTGGAACCTGAACCAACCCCCATCGCTGCCCCAGTAACAGTGCCGGTGGTTGGAAAGAAAGCAGGTATTTATCCTGTAGCTTTCTTTTTGCTAGTTTGTTTTGGTGACTTAATAAAAGTATTCACACTTGATTAAAATTCAAGCCCTGTTTATGTTGCAACATAGGTATCATTTCAACTTTAGAGGTTTATGATAAGTTTCTAGCCTTTCTTCATCTAGTATCTTTTATCCACCTTGTCTCCTGCCCAGTGGGTGAATATTGTGCCTTAATTGGAATGTACATTCCCGGGTTGCGCCATTTCTTTCATATGCTTTGGAGATTAAGTAATGAATATGTTTGGGGCTGATAAAAACTAAGGAGACAGGCAGAGACCCTATAAGGGTATACATATAAGAATCCCATGAAGCTTCAAATTTTCCTTACACCCTATTGGAACTATTTCTCTTTTTTAAAAAAGTCTGTATATTGGGATAATGTAAAAGTTCTGGAAATGGATAGTGTTGATGGTTGTACAACATTGTGACTGTATTTCATGCAAGTGAATTGTATACTTAAAAATGGCTAAAATAGTAAATTTTATGTTAGGTATATTTCACCACGAAAAAAAAGAAAAAGAAAAAAGAGACTCCATAGTTCAGTCTTTTAATCTGTATAAGGAATTAGATCAATAATAATTTTCTTAAATGTTCTAACTTAATGGTATAGATATCTCAAGTCCAAACTTAAAGCACCTATTAGTTGTATATGAACTATTTAGTATAGTTCATCATTTAAGTGATAATTTGAGATATAATTGATCAAAACTAATTTGATATGTAATTGATAGTCATTGATAAACACACATGCTATTTGCCCTCTGGCTCACTATCTGGCTGACAAGATCATTCATATCCCCAACCTCAGCATCATGAAATATATCCACATAACAAAATTGCACATGCATCCCATGAGTTTAAAATAAAAGTTGAAATTATTTTTTAAAAAAAGAAAAAAATAACAAAACCAAAAATAAAACAAAGTAAATTTAAAGTGGGGTGTGGGGGGAATGCATATATTGATAATTTTCTAAGATGTGAGGAATCTAAGATATTCAATGTAATGCCTTGACAATTTGTTCCTATGGAAAAATGATCATCTCCACTGATAAAGCACAAAATAAAAAATTCAGGGTGAATAAAAAAAAAAAGAACTATTTGTTACATTCCACAATGAGATGTGCATAGCCCCCGGGAATAACATTTAGAAATATCCATAATAGCTTGACAGAGAGATTTTTGAATTTAATTTTCTGAACCTAATAAAAATTGATTATATCTTTAATAAATCAATAAAACTATTCAGAAAAATTATATTTTAGATTATTCATTCAATAATTATATAGTCATTTTATATTTGTTTATATATTTTTATATAAATTATTTAGAAATTTTTTTATTTAAAATTATCTCAAAATATTTGGAGTTTACCATGTTTAATGACATGAAAAAATATACTATATTCTTTTGACTGTAGTTTAATTTTTAATATTTATGTTATATTTTGTCACTGATGTTTATGATTTGGGCATTACTCTTTTAAACTTTTATAATGTCAATGTAGTACTTTTATTATTCAGAAAAAGGTGATGAATTGCTCTTGGCTGATTAAGTATGTATAAAAATAAAGCTATTCTCAGTTATCCTGGGGGCTGAGGCTAGCAAACTCGTTCCACAGTTTTTACTGTCCTGTATTAATAATGGAATCAAAATGTCAGAACTCTCTTGCTTCTGCTTTACTTCATTGTCTAAGGGAAATCTTCAAAGAAACTCATGCATGTGTGGTACGTGGACTCTTTTTCTTTAGTCTTCCCTGGATTTGTTTGTCTGCCCAATTTAGACATAAAAAGAAAGTCTTTTGGTAACTTCTCGGCCATTTCCCTTTTCCCTACACTGATTTCTTATTGACAAAACCTTATTTCCTTGGCTCACATAATCAGGACATACATAAACATATAAAATATTTTGCATAGTTAGGCAGGAGCAAAACTTTTCCTCACAAGGCAACAGTAAGCCTTCCAAAAATGGGAAGAGAATAAGGCACTTGCTGAAAGAATCTGTTAATCCTAAATATGTTGGCAATTTAGCTTGAGCTCTGCAATCTCAGAATATGCCTTCCTGGAAATATGATTATGCATAGAAGTCATATAAATGAAACCAATTTCTCTTTATGCATTAATATTTATAATGGAGCATGACTCACCCTCCATGGTTTACTATTAAACATGAAATAAGTCCGAAAAGTGTTTAAATGCTGAGTTTTATTTTTATTTCAGAAGCCAAAGCACCTAAGGAAGAGGCTGCCAAGCCAAAAGGTCCTATCAAAGGTGAGATTCGTTTTTCTAGTACTTGTATTGTAACCTTCCACTCTGAATTTCCAAAGTTCATATTCAAGGGGAAAAAAATTACAAAATTTATAACAATTTTTATTTTTTCTAATTGAGTCTACTAAAACTAGCATGTTTTCTGATATTTCAAATAATACACTTTTAGTATTATGCAAGGAGGTTAAAAAATATATATATATATACCAACTGTGTTTAAGCATAGCAAATCCTATAAGTTCTTAGCTTCATTTTTCATATGCATGATATTTATACATGGCAGATAAAATAATTAGACATTAATCTGGCTATTTTATACTTCAGATTAAAACTTGAGAAAAGGAGCATTTATGATTCATGGATTCCTTATACCATCTCATTTTCTTGTCTGAAACAAGGCAGTATAAATTCAATTGACCTTTCAATTGCCTGGTCTGGCTGGTTTTACCCAGCAGGCAGCCAAGTATGAATTTTCTGACTCCTATGGAGATGCCAAATCAACTTTTTATTTTACTTTGAATTAGGTGTAGCCAAAAAGACTCCTTCACCAATAGAAGCCGAAAGGAGAAAATTAAGGCCAGGAAGTGGTGGAGAGAAACCTCCTGATGAAGCCCCATTCACCTACCAGCTAAAGGCTGTGCCATTGAAGTTTGTGAAAGAAATCAAAGACATCGTCTTGACTGAATCAGAGTTCGTTGGCTCTTCAGCAATCTTTGAATGTTTGGTCTCCCCCTCCACTGCAATTACAACCTGGATGAAAGATGGTAGCAATATCCGTGAGAGCCCCAAGCACAGGTTTATTGCAGATGGTAAAGACAGAAAGCTGCACATCATTGACGTTCAACTTTCCGATGCTGGTGAATACACCTGTGTTTTACGTTTGGGAAACAAAGAAAAGACCTCCACGGCTAAACTTGTTGTAGAAGGTAATTTCTAGTCTTCTGAATATAATCGATATTAAACTTCAATGTAACAAACCTTAGTAGCAACTTGCATTGTAGTTTTACAAAACCTCTTATTTCCAAGTTTTATTTCGTTGAAAATATTGTATTTATTGAAATATATACTGAAATTCTTCACAGAACTTCCTGTGCGTTTTGTAAAAACACTGGAAGAGGAAGTCACAGTGGTCAAAGGACAGCCATTGTACTTGAGCTGCGAGTTAAACAAAGAGCGTGATGTTGTCTGGAGGAAGGATGGCAAGATTGTGGTGGAGAAACCTGGCCGAATTGTGCCGGGCGTCATTGGCTTGATGCGGGCCCTGACCATCAACGATGCAGATGACACAGATGCTGGAACATACACAGTTACTGTGGAAAACGCCAACAACCTGGAGTGTTCATCTTGCGTAAAAGTAGTAGGTTAGTACTTTCCTGGAAGATTTTTTCAGCTTATTACCACACTAAGAAAATGGAAGAAAGGACTTCGTTTCCCAGTATTACAATATCAGAAATCTTGTACCTAAAAGGGGAATAACAATATATCCTATAGTGGATTAATTATGCCCAATTTTGTGAAATTTTTCCTATTTCTGAAATTTACTAAGGAAGCTATGTATATTACTTGTTCAGATCTTAATCATTTTTCCTGATTTTATTTTCATATAGAAGTCATTAGAGATTGGCTGGTGAAACCTATACGAGACCAGCATGTGAAACCCAAAGGGACAGCTATTTTTGCCTGTGATATAGCAAAAGATACTCCAAACATTAAGTGGTTCAAAGGATATGATGAAATCCCTGCAGAACCAAATGATAAGACTGAAATACTGAGAGATGGAAATCATCTATACCTCAAAATTAAGAATGCTATGCCAGAAGATATTGACGAATATGCAGTGGAAATTGAAGGAAAAAGATACCCTGCAAAGCTGACACTTGGAGGTATGAAAATCCTACCTTTTATTCGAAATATAAGTTTTGTATATGTGTAAAGCCAAATAACACACCAAAACACATAAAAGCAAAGCATTGTTGGGTTGTCTAAAGCATTATGTTACTTCATCCCTGACCAATACAGAGCGTGAAGTTGAACTGCTTAAACCAATAGAGGACGTAACCATTTATGAGAAAGAAAGTGCAAGCTTTGATGCAGAAATCTCAGAGGCAGACATTCCTGGACAATGGAAACTGAAAGGAGAACTTCTAAGGCCCTCACCTGTGAGTAATTTCACATTTTAAATTGTTAGTCATATAAAATAACCACATCCTATATTCAATATCTACTTCCCAGATTCAGGTTCCTTTAATAATAATGGAGTTAATAATAATGGAGTCTTCTAAAGTCTCCAAGAAGGAAAGAAATTTTACATATCATTTGGGGTCAACTTGAACAATTTTTGTACAATGTTATGACAGGGAATTCTCTGCTTACTTTTATTAGTAGTAATTTTTAAAACTCTATAGAAATCTGTATCTGAAACATTTCTCCTATAGGGAATTTATCTCTTTCAAATGGTTACTAAAACTATTGTTTTTCAGACTTGTGAAATCAAAGCAGAAGGTGGAAAACGCTTCTTAACTTTGCACAAAGTCAAACTGGACCAAGCTGGTGAAGTCCTCTACCAGGCCCTGAATGCAATTACAACTGCCATTTTGACAGTAAAAGGTATGGGGCTTTCAGAATTCAGGGAGGGGGCTCAACTTCATTTCACCTCCCTATGCATTCTGAAAAGCCTCATTCTTAATGTCTGATTTTCAGAAATCGAACTTGACTTTGCTGTGCCCCTGAAGGATGTCACTGTTCCAGAAAGGCGACAGGCTCGATTCGAATGTGTCCTCACCCGAGAGGCAAATGTTATATGGTCCAAAGGACCCGATATAATCAAGTCATCTGACAAATTCGATATCATTGCTGATGGAAAGAAACATATTCTTGTTATTAATGATTCTCAATTTGATGATGAAGGGGTCTATACTGCTGAGGTAGAGGGCAAGAAGACCTCAGCTCGGTTATTTGTCACAGGTAAGAGAGCTAATGAGATCTGTGACATCCCATAAAAGTATGCAAATATATGACTTTAAAGATAGGACACCAAGTTCTAAAAGCTGTGATAATCAGCATCACTAATTAACTTTCACAGTGTTACCAAAACAACCCCCTGAATTTTTTTTTAGTGGCACTCTATTTGGAAAGATGAATAAATAAGTGTCATGTGAAATGGGTCCCTTTTACTCAGACAGATTAGAATGGAATGTTTCTGAAGGTGAATTGTGTTTCTGAGGCATTATCTATGCTTGCATTTCAGGTATAAGACTGAAATTCATGTCGCCTCTTGAAGATCAGACAGTAAAAGAAGGTGAAACAGCAACTTTTGTATGTGAACTTTCTCATGAAAAAATGCATGTAGTCTGGTTCAAAAATGATGTCAAACTCCACACAAGCAGAACAGTACTCATCTCTTCTGAGGGCAAGACTCACAAATTGGAAATGAAAGAAGTGACACTGGATGATATATCTCAGATAAAAGCTCAAGTCAAGGATCTGAGCTCCACAGCACAGCTGAAGGTCTTAGGTAAATGTAACCAACTATAACCAGAGAGCCAGTTTCTGAATCATGGGAGTGGGGAATAATAAAATATTTTGCAACCTTTTACTCTTTAATAAACTTTAGTTTTCACATTCTTCTAATTTGATGCTAAATGTTATTTACAGAGGCTGATCCCTACTTCACTGTGAAATTACATGACAAAACTGCAGTGGAGAAGGATGAGATTATTTTGAAGTGTGAATTGAGCAAGGATGTACCAGTGAAATGGTTCAAAGATGGTGAAGAGATTGTCCCTTCACCCAAATATTCTATCAAGGCAGATGGCCTGCGCCGCATTTTAAAAATCAAAAAGGCAGAACTTAAAGATAAAGGCGAATATGTGTGTGACTGTGGCACAGACAAGACCAAGGCAAATGTTACTGTTGAGGGTGAGTTGCTCGACAATGTAAAATTTACCGTATCTGAATCTGTAGTTTATTAGTTCGGTCATGCTAACAAAACTGTATCATTTCAGCTCGACTAATAAAAGTGGAAAAGCCTCTGTATGGAGTAGAGGTGTTTGTTGGTGAAACAGCCCGCTTTGAAATTGAACTTTCTGAACCTGATGTTCACGGCCAGTGGAAGCTGAAAGGAGAGCCTTTGACAGCTTCCCCTGTAAGTCAAGATTAGCTAATCATATAGGAGAGGGGTTCCTTGGTTGTATAGGGTGAAAAAAGGCATAAAATATCTTGATGATTTGTAGGAATAACTATGTAAATGATGTTTTTTCTTTCCTTCTAATCCTCACTCCAAACAGGACTGTGAAATCATTGAGGATGGGAAGAAGCATATTCTGATCCTTCATAACTGTCAGCTGGGTATGACAGGAGAGGTTTCCTTCCAGGCTGCTAATGCCAAATCTGCAGCTAATCTGAAAGTGAAAGGTATGCTCTACTTGTCGGCCACATTTTTGTATTTTCTCTGCAAGACTTCCTGATACACCCCTGCATTGATCAAGGGTCCTCAATGGAAACATATTCTGACTTCATCCACTGTCCACTTCTTTCAGAATTGCCTCTTATCTTCATCACACCTCTCAGTGATGTTAAAGTCTTCGAGAAAGATGAGGCTAAGTTTGAGTGTGAAGTATCCAGGGAACCCAAAACATTCCGTTGGCTAAAAGGAACCCAGGAAATCACAGGTGATGACAGATTTGAGCTTATAAAGGATGGCACTAAGCATTCAATGGTGATCAAGTCGGCTGCTTTTGAAGATGAAGCAAAATACATGTTTGAAGCTGAAGATAAGCACACAAGTGGCAAACTGATCATTGAAGGTAAATAGTTTTATCAAATAGTCCACCCCAAAATCATTTTTTTGCCTTTACTTTTATATTTCTTCTTTAAAGTGCTTCAATTAATAAGTTCTTTTTTTTTTTTTTTTCTTGATAGGAATCCGGCTTAAATTTCTCACTCCTCTCAAGGATGTAACTGCCAAAGAGAAGGAAAGTGCTGTGTTTACTGTGGAGTTATCTCATGATAACATCCGAGTTAAATGGTTCAAGAATGACCAGCGCCTACACACCACCAGGTCGGTCTCAATGCAAGACGAAGGGAAAACTCATTCAATCACATTCAAAGACCTGTCTATTGATGATACCTCTCAAATTAGAGTAGAAGCTATGGGGATGAGTTCAGAAGCTAAACTCACTGTGCTTGGTAAGTGCTTTTTAAATTTTAATTTTATTGCATTAAATTCAGCAGAAATTTGTGGAGTATCTATTCTATAAAATAGGCTTCTAAGTGTTATATTGCATGAAAGCAGCCCAACTCCTTATGAAGGTATCATATATGTAATCGGGCTTATTTCTAAAACATTTTACCTTCATTACTGTAAATTAATGAAGATTCTAGCTTATGCCCACAAAATAGCCAGTTAAAAGCAAACTTAAAATTTTTCATTAATTATTGAGCCCTGTCATGTTTAAAACAGGAATATATAAATACTTTCTATCTCTTCATTTTATCAAAATTATTTCAGAGGAATGTTTTTCAAGTTTCCCATAAGAGAAGATATTACATAACCTACATTAACGAGCCTCATTTTCTTGGCCACCTAATATCAACAAGATTAAACATGAAGGCTAACATATATAGACTTGATTAAAGGCAAACTATTAATTGATTAAGAAAAACTAACAATGTGAACCTGAAAGCTTAAAAGTAAACTAGACATAATAGAGTTGCTAAGAAATTAGAAATTTATCCAAATAATGGAGGAATATAAAATTGTATTTGAAGCTAAATTTCAGTCTTTTTGGCTACTGTTAACAAAATGTTTCAAAATTCAATATGAATGGATTAGATCTTGATAAATCCCATGCACTGATTCCCTTTCTAATATTTAGAGAACTTTTGAACATAAACAGGTTAAATGATTGAACACTTGACACAATTTAAAAATATACTCAGAACTCTGTGAACTGTCTCTTAAACTTTCCAAGAGATCGTCATTTCCCTAAGGTGATTAATAAAACTTTTTCACTTACACTTTACTTGCAGAGGGAGACCCGTATTTTACAGGAAAACTTCAAGATTATACTGGTGTAGAGAAAGATGAAGTTATTCTACAGTGTGAAATTAGCAAAGCAGATGCACCAGTGAAATGGTTTAAGGATGGGAAGGAAATAAAGCCATCCAAAAATGCTGTTATTAAGGCAGATGGCAAGAAACGCATGCTAATCCTGAAGAAAGCCTTGAAATCGGATATTGGACAGTACACCTGTGACTGTGGGACAGATAAGACCTCAGGAAAACTTGACATTGAGGGTAAGGAAATTTCCATGAGTTTCACTCTTGAAGCATTGGGGTTATTTGTGCCAGAGGCTAATGACCCATGCTGGCCCTTCACTTTTCTAGATCGGGAAATTAAACTGGTGCGACCCCTGCACAGTGTGGAGGTGATGGAGACTGAGACGGCCCGCTTTGAAACCGAAATCTCTGAAGATGATATCCACGCCAACTGGAAACTCAAGGGAGAGGCCCTACTCCAAACACCTGTAAGGCTATTTCTGAACTTGTCAACACCTAAACGAGCTGTGTGAATTAGAAAAGGACAGGTGAAAGTCAGAGTGCATGCAGGACATTTAAAACATGATAGTTTCTCTATCAGACCCTAAGCCAAAGAGAGATGTCAGGGTCTATGAATGGGCTCAGACTGGCACACTTGCATTACTTTTGATCCAGCAGAGTGGGTATAAGGTTGTAGATACTCTGTGATGCTGCTAGTTGGCTCAGAATTATACAGCTAAAATAAATGTGGCTTTCCTCTTAGTACTTGTAAGCTTTACTTCCTAAAAAAGAGCTCAAAGTTATATAAAGTTTCACTACCATTTATTTGTTGCATTCCTTTAATTAAGATATTCTATCCTTAGAAAAAAAATTCAAAGAAAATTATTTTCTATGAAAGTTTTTCTATTTTGTTGGTACAGGATTGTGAAATTAAGGAAGAAGGCAAAATACACTCCCTTGTTTTGCACAACTGTCGCCTGGACCAGACTGGTGGGGTGGATTTCCAAGCTGCCAATGTTAAATCTAGTGCTCACCTCCGAGTTAAGCGTAAGTATTGTATGTTTTTGAGGAAAATTAAATAAACACTTTTTCAGAAAATGAATGTGAGTGAAATTAATTGGAATTATTTTATTAGTTAGAAAATATTGTTAAAACACAAAAACTGGCTCTCTTTGCCACTTTGACATTCCAATATAAAAGTGGTTCAAATTGTAAAATTTTGGAAATTTTGTTGACCTTGCCATTTGAACAAAAGAAAATTTAGCAAATCAGATTTTCCCGCTCTGTAGTCCTCTCATTGAAAGTAGATACACATACAATAAGAATCTAACTCAGAACCCTTAAAGACCACTTCCCTCAAGTGACTGTGCAACTAGAGCACCAGAAAGACAAACTTTGCTGTGTGAGCATGTCAGATTCAAGAAAGAACGTGGAGAGCATTAGGCTAACATTTCTGGAAGGTGCAAAGTGTTTGATGGATAGGGACAGCCTCTGATTGAGGGCCCCTTGTCCTCTCCCAATCAGAGTCTTAGTTATTTTGGAAGTCACATACCTTATGTAGCAAGAAGAACTTGACGCCTGGCAGAGAGACAGATGCGGCAGAGATTTCTCGCTGACCTTGTACGTCAGAACGAAAGGGCCCCTACATATACTCGCTCTCCGGCTGCCAGCTCTCCCCTTCTCAGCACCATAAGGCCACGTTCACATGGGAGTTAAAATAGTGGCCAGTCCTGTGGCTTCTTGAAGAAAGCAACCATGAAGGTTCATATCTAAGTCTCTATTTATTCTTTTGGGATTACAAAATGAGTAATGCAAAGCTGTTTCTTCCCTCTCGAAAAGCACGAGTAATTGGTCTTCTGAGGCCTTTAAAGGATGTCACCGTGACTGCAGGGGAAACAGCCACCTTCGACTGCGAGCTCTCCTACGAGGATATCCCCGTAGAATGGTATCTCAAAGGGAAGAAACTAGAGCCCAGCGATAAGGTAAAAAGCAGGCATGCCTTGTCTTTCCCATTCTTTTTCTGGAGTTCTTCCACCTTCACTTGTATGTTCCTTATTCTTTGCTCTTTCTAATGTCTCTTCCTCTGCCTTTGCCTTTCTGTTTCCACCTTTAGCCTGATTTCTGCTGAAACTGTAAAGCTGATGTTTCCATTTTTTATTAGGTTTAACCTGATATTTTTATTAAAATAGAAATAAATTTAAAGTATGATCATGTTTTAGTTTTTTGGAGAAAAGGCAAGACTCATTGACTATCAATGGTAGTTTGTTTGATTACCCAGAAGACAGGAAGGATCAAAAAGGCTTTCTGACTGCATGCTCTGCAACCATGGTGCACATTAAGTTTTAAGATTAATGCTCTCCATCCTATCTAGTGTTCTGCATATAACGGGATTAAGAGGAGAAGATTGAAATTCCATTTCGGGCAGTTGATCAAGTAGTTGAGATAACTTCTGGGCAGATTTTCTCTTCAAGCATTTCTCCAAAGCTATTTTTAACCTTCAAGTGCTTTGGGCTGTGTGAGATCTGGAATGCAAGTGGACTATTTAAAGTGCAACTGATGGTACTGACAAGAAAGAAGGGCTCTGTGGTTATCCACATATGTGAATGAAATATTTTTTTAAAGCTTTGGTAAAGAACTAGCTCCTGCTGTTAACTTTTACTGACATTCTTTATGCCCAAGATTTTACCCATAAGTAAAAACTAAGGGATTATTCAGATAGGCCCACAATACACTTTGCCTAAATTGATCTGTATGTTTTGTTCCCAGAAACAACATATGTCTTTAAATTATCTTGACAATCCATCATTAATTTTGAATTCTTAAAATAAAATATATGGAATATGTCCAGCCTGGGTTGGAAATAAAGCACAAGAGAGTAAATTGTTCTATGACATTTTCCCCCAATATTTCAGAAATAATATTAAATGTGCTATAAAGATCTCAACAAAAATCAAACTTTGAAGACTTAAAGGAATATAATTAAAAAGTGATTCAGTTTAACAAAAAGCCACAAAGTTGACTGAAGTATTTGAAAGCAATGCCTTCAAGTAACTGCTCTGAAACAAACAAACAACAACAACAAAAAACTAGTGTTCCACTACAGTGATTACAGGGTAATTCACTAACAGTTATCTGATAGGCAACACCTGACTGTTATACAGATAAGGAGATCTTCTTGGTCTCCTTTTCCACTGACCAGAAAAAGCAGCAGTACATTCCATTTGTAGCATGCGAATTAAGTTACATATGAGAAAACCTTCCTTACAATGAGGTCTTCTAAATGTTGAACTGAGGGAGGCACCTCTACCTTCAAGCTTATTGTTTGAAAATATATATTTTTCCTATCATGCATGATTTAATTAACTTCATGTCTAAAGGCAGATAATAGGTTGACTTTTCAAGATTCTTTCTAGATCTGTAAATTCATGATTTATATATAGAAACACTGCTTAAGGACAAATATTATTTTTTCATTACCAAATATCTTTTTGTCATATTAAGAGCTTCTTATTAAAAGATCAGTCTCAGTTCTAATACAAAAACTGCACTATTTTAATTCAAATGTAGACTCCTAAAAATCTTATTCACATTTTTTTTTTAAATTCTTATTGTAACTAACATTTTTTCTAGGGTTAGAAAGGATCAGTTTACGATAATTCTATAGGGCCCGTTTACATCTCTTTTGGCATAGGAATTTTAATCCTTTACTCTAGGCACCCGAAATACTTTAGCCTTTTGTGAACTTGCTCTTTCATTACTTAAATGTCTCTTTTCAAAAAGAGCTTAAATATAAACTTTGAAGTAATAAAATCATTTTATTACATTTGGCAGATTTTGTTTAAATTAAATCTATCAGAACAAACTTGCTCTTGTCAATGTAATTCCAACCTTTAATATTCACTTTTTGTAAAAATTTTAGCCTTCAAAACTGCAATAATCAAACAAGCAAAAACAAGCTATAGGAATAGGAAATATGAAGAGAAACTTGTAGACATGAGTTGTTTGCATTTTTTCTTCATTGTTGTAGTTGTTTTTGGCTGTCAGTTTAAGGAAGGACTGCCAAGTTCCAAATGGCATTTGATAATTTTAAAGTTAAATTTTAAATTTGAGAAGTTTAAACATAAAACTTTAATAGTTTTGTCACAGTCATAAGCCTACCGTATTATAGTAATATGCTTCCATTTTAAATTTTTTTTTTAAATCTCTAACATTATTCCTACAATCTACTGCAAAATCTTCAACATTCATTTCATTGATTTATTTTTATAAGGTACCCCAGTTTTCCTTTTTTCTTTCTTTTAACATAGTGGGAGTAGATTGTGTACAAGCTGTTTATTGAGACATACTGCATTCTGAGCAGTGTCCTAGAGTAGCTACAGTGGAACTCAGATGATAAAGCAACATAATATTAATAGATAAAACATATCTGTGGGTGGGTTAGAAACTGAGACACCTTTTCAAATAGCCAAAAGTTGCATGTCAAAATTTATATTGAAATGTTATTAAAAAACAAATTTTCCCCATTTCAGCACCATGCCTTTGGATAAGTAGCTCTGTTCCAAGGACATATTTAATTACCCTCTCCTAGCTGTTATTTTTCCTTATTATGTTTTTCGCTCACCCTCAATTATTAAGATAATTATGTGACTAACCATGCCCAGTTCTTAAAGAAGACACTTTCAGATGAAACCTTATTTCTGATTCTTTTCTTTACACCAGCATAATAAATAGTTCCACTGGTGAAAACCTTTACATTATTTTTAACTCTAAGTAAACTCTTAAGCAGTGCAAAATCAGTCTGGATGACAGGGCGCAGCTTCTTAGGAATTTTATATCATAGAACTGGAAGAACCCCCACATCTCTTATCTTTACTGTCAGAATGACCCTATCTGTCATACCATTGACATCTGATTTTCCCATTCCTGATGCTTAGACACATGAAAAGGGAAGAAGAGTCCAACCTTCATTTGCAGTTTTGAACAACATTAATAGGTTGTACCAATTATTTTAATCACAGGTTTAATTGGTTTGCAAAATAAGTTTAACTGCTAAAATAAATGGGAAGAAGAGTTATAGCTTGTTGTTGCATGGTGAACACCTTACATACAGAATATAAGGTTTACTTTTAGCTTGCCATAGCCGATATTTTTCTTTCATCCTTTCATGATTTTGCTTTTCTAAGTTCTTCCTTTATGTATATATAAGCCCAGTAGCAGAATGGGGGCACACATATATATACACACATATATATGTGCCATATATCTACGCATATGCAAAAAAGACCACAAATGTAAACAGAAATCGGCCTGGGCAATTTCAACGTGAAAGGCCACCTAGCAGTTATATAAAAGTAACTATGAAAGCCTAAAATTTTCTTAAAAGATCCGAAACTATTGGTTGGAATTATTTTTGAAAGCATATGTGCTAAATATATGATTATAAAACAACTTGGAAAGCTCTATTTCCATTTATTTTTATCTAAATGAATTAAATGCACCCATATACTAGATTGCTGTTTCATATATTCTTTTTTTTAAAACAACTAGGTGGTCACACGTTCAGAAGGAAAAGTTCATACACTTACTCTGAGGGATGTAAAGTTAGAAGATGCTGGGGAAGTCCAACTAACAGCAAAAGATTTCAAAACTCACGCCAACCTCTTTGTGAAAGGTAATTACAAGGCTTATTTTAAAAACATGTATAAGGCAGAGGCTCATAAATAATGCCAACTCTCAATTATCTTTATATGATGAGTACTATAGATGTTTAAAATCAACCAAATAATCAAAAGTCTAATTTTACTTTTTAGCATAACAAAATACTTCACAGGCTATCTTTTTAAAGAGTCAAAATTGACTAGCATAGGTTTTACTTCCTCCTTCCATCTCTATTGTTTTTCTTGCACATTCTAGATTTCCAAAAGCCAGCTGGAGGAAGAATTATTATCAAGCTAGGTATCCATCACTTTATTAACCAAGAGTTGGCTGTTATTTCCTTAATGTTTCCAAGTTTTTAAAAATGATTTTCCTCTTGTCTGTACAAATAATGATAAAATATCATTATTAGAGGAAAACGTCTGAGTGTAATCAAAACTTGAAAATAAAACTTAGGACAGAACAAAGCTCTGGAGATGGCAGGGAAAGTTGAGATGGTACCAAAACTCTTGGATAAGGAAAGCAGTACCTTGGCTAATGAGTATGATTCTTTCAGAACCCCCAGTTGAATTCACTAAGCCTCTTGAGGACCAGACGGTCGAAGAGGGAGCCACTGCAGTGCTGGAGTGTGAAGTCTCCAGAGAAAATGCTAAGGTGAAATGGTTCAAAAATGGAACAGAAATCCTCAAAAGCAAGAAGTATGAAATTGTTGCTGATGGCAGGGTCAGAAAACTTATTATACATGGCTGTACCCCAGAGGATATTAAAACATACACTTGTGATGCTAAGGATTTTAAGACTTCCTGTAACCTGAATGTCGTGCGTAAGTATTCTTCTTACAAAGGACTTGTCATTTGCAATTCTTTGATAACAACAACAACAAAACAACACAACACTTTTTGCATGCCCTTCTTGGCCTAACTGCATTTCTTGGCAACTTCTAGTATTGACACTGACCTAACCTGATCCTTTATGTGTTTAAAGAAAAAAAGAAAAGTCTTATTCTATGTCTGGTCTGATTAATGATGGAGCAATCACTTTTCCCTATGCTTATTTTCTCTCACTGAGTAGTGAGTAGATGTGCTCTTTGTCTACATGGGGTCAGTCTACTGTATGGATATCCTGATATGGATGAGGAGAAACTGAATTTTAAAGATAAGTAGGGAGTTCTAATTTTAAAAACAAAGTAAAAGTGATTTCCATGTGGAAGGAAAATGAATTTTCAGGTGTGGGGAACAACTAGAAAATGAGCATGAAATTTCAGTCTGAATAGGAGCATAATAGAGATCTGCTGTAATATGACAAAGCCTAGTCACATGATTCAATCTCTGAGAATAAGAATGGATAAGAAGATAGAGTAAGGCCCTGGATCCTTTTGAGTCCTGGACTCTGCATGAAGAGAACTCTAATGGTTTTTAACATTACTTCTTCCTCTGGTGAAAAATGTAATGTCTTTTTTCAAAATGCCACATGCTAGCTTATTTGTTTCATTCATTCCTTTGTCCAGTGATGACATTTTTCTGCGTACTTTTGTGAAATATTTGTTTGTTTGGTTTGGTTGCTTCCCATCTGTCAACAGCTACAACCTAGTGACTCTGTGCTTCATGCATCTTGTACCATGTTTTTCTTACCACTTTGTGGTTGCTCTGCTCAAGCTTATGTCAAAGTAGCTTGTTGGGTCTCCTTCTTCCCCTCGACATCTACCTTCATTCCAAGAAGGCTCAGCTGCAAGGAGCGTATCTTCAAACCTATTAGCCAGCATTTGTCTCAGAATCTTATTGCTCAAGAATGGTCATCTTGGGAAGGACTCACAAGGAGCTCTGAAAGAAGGAAGGACAAGGGGGCAGCTCCCTAATTTTATACACCAGCTGAATTAATTCTAGAGATGAATGAAATAACAGATATAAAATCCTAATCACCCTCCCATACAAAACACATTGCTTTATTGCACTAATAGATGCTATGCCTGACTTATATGTGACGTCTTCAAAGCTGATTTTTTTAAAAAGCTGAATATATGTTTCAATCACAGCCTCATGCCTCTTAGCCATACACAAGGCTGGCCGTAGTGCTTCACGTGTTTTATCTTTGAATTCTGCTAATTTCTCAAAGATTGTGCTGGGTGCCTTAAAGAAGACAATGTTTCTTTGCCACTGGTGTCTGCTATTTCCTTTGACGTTATCTTTCAAGTCTGGTGCAGTACAAATGAAGATTTTTCCTCCAGCTATTATTCAAAAGAACTGAGATGGCTCCCTAGTATATATACTATACACACACACATGCACACTAGTTGAACATATAGAATGCCACATAATTTTATGTAAATTACAGAGATATCTAAAAAGCAAAGCATCATATCTGATGGGCTTCAAGTGATTTCAAAGTCAGTTGTAGTCTATTAAGATGGAAAGGTCCTATAAAAGAGTCACTTTTTCTTAATGAATACTATGGTAATGTCAGAGTAAATTTCCAGAAACCTCATTTTGAATTCTAATGACATTCTTTTACAGCTCCTCATGTGGAATTCTTAAGACCACTCACAGACCTTCAAGTTAGAGAAAAAGAAATGGCTCGATTTGAGTGTGAACTTTCCCGAGAAAATGCTAAGGTCTGTGATTGTATACCTGTCACCTTATACTGTCAAATAACTTTATATTTACTTTTGGTCTAGCCAAAATGGAAAAAAAAAAAAAAAAGTTAGTCAAAACTTTCTCTTGTTACCACTTTACTTTTAAAGATAATTTTAGTATAAAATGTATTCTTGACTTTAATTGTTCTCTTTTTAGTATTATTAATTTATTATTACTTGAAAAACACTGGACTTACTATCAGGAGATTTAGTTATTAGTTTGAACCATATAAAACTGCTGTTTTCTTAGATCAGTAAAAGTCAAATATCAGCAATTATATTTGTTTCAACTAAGTACCTCCTGTTGCCCTTAACTACCATTGGCAAGTTTCTAGCCTCAGTTTACACATCCAAGAAGTTAGTCTGCATGATGTCTAAGGCTCACTATAGCTCTAAACTTATATGATCCCATTGTTTTTAATAACTGATAATAATATCACAGCAGCTCACTTAACAGTAATTGGTAAGATTGTTCTTGCTTTTGGGGTTTGTTTATATTTGTGTCTGCTACCTTGGTTCTTCTTCATACTACGAAGTCTCGTTGGTTGCTTTCAGAAAAACTCACGATCATAGTTTCTCTTAGGGACACCTGTGTGAAGGAACAACAAGAAAACTGATCATCTGTTTATCTTAAATATAGGTTCAGTGGTTTAAAGATGGTGCTGAAATTAAAAAGGGCAAAAAATATGACATCATATCCAAGGGAGCGGTGCGCATTCTTGTCATCAACAAATGTCTACTGGATGACGAAGCTGAATATTCCTGTGAAGTAAGGACAGCGAGAACTTCTGGCATGCTGACAGTTCTGGGTAAGAGTAAAGTCGTTCTTTGTGAAGTATATGTGTTGGGAAAAAATAATAATTTCCAACTTAACTCAGTGCGGCTTTTGTTTTTTCAATGTTTGCAGAAGAAGAAGCTGTCTTTACCAAAAATCTTGCCAACATTGAAGTTAGTGAAACAGACACTATAAAACTGGTTTGTGAAGTCTCCAAACCTGGCGCAGAAGTGATTTGGTATAAAGGGGATGAGGAGATCATTGAAACAGGAAGATATGAAATACTGACTGAAGGACGGAAGAGAATCCTGGTCATTCAGAACGCTCACCTTGAGGATGCCGGCAACTACAACTGTCGACTCCCAAGCTCTCGAACCGATGGCAAAGTCAAAGTACATGGTATGAAAACTACAGTGAATAATCTTTTATTTCTAACAATTCACACTTGCTAGATTTAAAGTACAAAGACATACGTTTCTAATATCTTGTAACTTTTTCTTCCCAGAACTGGCTGCTGAATTTATCTCAAAGCCTCAAAACCTTGAAATACTTGAAGGAGAAAAGGCTGAATTTGTCTGCTCTATATCAAAAGAAAGCTTTCCAGTCCAGTGGAAGAGGGATGATAAGATACTTGAATCTGGAGATAAATATGACGTTATTGCTGATGGTAAAAAGAGGGTTCTAGTTGTGAAAGATGCCACATTACAAGATATGGGCACTTACGTCATCATGGTAGGGGCCGCCAGAGCAGCAGCTCACTTGACAGTCATTGGTAAGTTTGTTCTTGCTTTTCGGGTTTTTTCTTTGTTTTGTTTTGTTTTTTTGTATTTGTATTTACCACTTTGATCATTCGTCATACTATAAAGTCTTGTTGGTTTCTTTCAGAAAAACTCAGGATCATAGTTCCTCTTAAGGACACCCGGGTGAAGGAACAACAAGAAGTTGTCTTCAACTGTGAAGTCAACACTGAAGGTGCCAAAGCCAAATGGTTCAGAAATGAAGAAGCCATATTTGATAGTTCAAAATACATTATTCTCCAAAAAGACCTGGTCTACACCCTCAGAATCAGAGATGCACGCTTAGACGACCAAGCCAACTATAATGTGTCTTTGACCAATCACAGAGGTGAAAATGTTAAAAGTGCAGCCAATCTAATAGTAGAAGGTAAGTAATTTATATACCACTAGAGATTTTTTCATCAGTTTCTATTATGAAAATAATTAAAATAAACATATTTTTCTCCTTTACAACAGAGGAAGACCTTAGGATTGTTGAGCCTCTTAAAGATATTGAAACAATGGAGAAGAAATCTGTCACATTCTGGTGCAAGGTGAATCGTCTCAATGTAACACTGAAGTGGACCAAAAATGGTGAAGAAGTGCCTTTTGACAACCGTGTCTCATACAGAATTGATAAATACAAGCACTCGTTAACTATTAAAGACTGTGGCTTCCCAGATGAAGGTGAATACATTGTCACTGCTGGACAAGACAAATCTGTTGCTGAGCTTCTCATCATAGAAGCCCCTACAGAATTTGTGGAACACTTGGAAGATCAGACAGTCACTGAGTTTGATGACGCTGTCTTCTCCTGCCAGCTCTCCAGAGAGAAAGCCAATGTAAAATGGTACAGAAATGGGAGAGAAATCAAAGAAGGCAAAAAGTAAGCAAGATCTTTTTATTCTCTATTTCCATAGCTATATATACACTTTTGACAATTTAGTGGCCATTATGCAAGCTAACTGATAATCCAATGTCTCCTTTAGATACAAATTTGAAAAAGATGGAAGTATACACAGACTCATTATAAAAGATTGCAGGCTGGATGATGAGTGTGAATATGCTTGTGGAGTAGAAGACAGGAAGTCTCGTGCTAGACTTTTTGTGGAAGGTACATATTAAGTGAAAGGACAATTCTAATGTTACCAATTTTTTAAAATTGTTAATCAAAATGTAAACATATTTATATTTATTTCACATTTTCTTTCCAGAAATTCCCGTTGAGATCATCAGGCCTCCACAAGATATTCTTGAAGCCCCTGGTGCTGATGTTGTCTTTTTAGCAGAACTCAATAAAGATAAGGTGGAAGTCCAATGGCTAAGAAATAACATGGTTGTTGTCCAGGGTGATAAACACCAGATGATGAGTGAAGGAAAGATACATCGACTACAGATTTGTGATATTAAGCCCCGCGACCAGGGTGAATACAGATTTATTGCCAAAGATAAAGAAGCCAGAGCTAAGCTTGAACTGGCAGGTCAGTCCCTTTCTTTTATTTAAAAATATCCTTCCAATATCACAGAGATTAGTTAGATTTCCGATTTCACAGTTACTTAATGAGGTAATCCTTGTGAGGGTCTTTCATTTCTAGCAAGCCCTACCCACATGTTAACAGTTCTAATTTTGCTCACTACAAAGTAAGTGTCTTGAGTAAGAGGAAATTAATAGCAATAATCTTTATATGCCAGAACGTTGAACAGTTCCTAGTACATGATGACTGTTTATGAACTTAGGCTAGAACTAAGCTATCACCCTGAGAGTCTTGGCAAATCTAAAGACAGTCTTATACTCTCCTACTTTACAAACCCCTGTGTGCCTTTTAGGTATGTTCTCATCCTGACCCAGGACATCCTTATACACTGTCCTCATGAAAAAGCCATTAGTGTACCTCTCATTCATAGGAAAAAAGTTTTCTGATTTATTGAACTAAGTACGCGGTGCCTACTCTATCAAAAAACAAAACATGTTTTGCACTACACTGAGTCCTATGTCACTATTTTTGGCAAGGAATGCATGTCTTATGATTTTGTGCCGTTCCCAATCCTCTACTCTCCAATCTAACTTGCACACACAAAAACAAACAAAAAAAGCTATGAGAAGTCTAAGCCACTTAGTTTTCTGTACTATAAAGCTACTGTGGCATACTTCCAAGGTTATGTAACCAATATTTGCTGACAAATGCATAATAACATATGATGTAGCTTGGTTGTGTTTAATAGTCGAAAGCATTCACATTTTATCTTTCTCACTAGCTGCACCGAAAATCAAGACAGGTGACCAAGACCTTGTGGTTGATGTTGGCCAGCCTCTGACAATGGTGGTGCCATATGATGCCTACCCCAAAGCAGAAGCTGAATGGTTTAAAGAAAATGAACCTTTATCTACAAAAACCATTGATACTACGGCTGAACAAACTTCTTTCAGAATTTTAGAAGCCAAGAAAGGAGACAAAGGGAGATATAAAATTGTGCTTCAGAACAAACATGGAAAAGCAGAAGGATTCATCAATCTAAAAGTTATTGGTAAGCCCTTGGGTCTCTCAGACTTAATTGGCAAAGCACAATTTAAAAGTAAGACAGCACACTAAAAAATTCCTTTATATGTGAATTTCAGATGTTCCTGGGCCAGTACGTAACTTAGAAGTGACAGAAACATTTGATGGTGAAGTGAGCCTTGCTTGGGAAGAACCTTTAACTGATGGTGGAAGCAAAATCATAGGTTATGTTGTTGAAAGACGTGACATTAAGAGAAAGACCTGGGTTCTGGCCACAGACCGTGCAGACAGTTGTGAGTTTACTGTCACTGGTCTACAGAAAGGAGGAGTTGAGTATCTATTCCGTGTAAGTGCAAGAAACAGAGTTGGCACTGGTGAACCAGTAGAAACTGACATTCCTGTAGAAGCAAGGAGTAAATATGGTAAGAAGTTTTAAGTAAATTGCAAGCTAGCTTTTAAGTAAATTGCGGTCTTCGCCTTCATCATCATTGTTAACCCAAAACTCCTATTTTCTTCCTCTGTGATGAAATCTAGATGTTCCAGGCCCTCCTTTGAATGTAACCATCACTGATGTGAATCGATTTGGTGTCTCACTGACATGGGAACCACCAGAGTATGATGGAGGTGCTGAGATCACAAACTACATCATTGAATTAAGAGACAAGACTTCTATCAGGTGGGATACTGCCATGACTGTGAGAGCTGAAGACCTGTCTGCAACTGTTACTGATGTGGTAGAAGGACAGGAGTACAGTTTCCGAGTGAGAGCCCAAAATCGAATTGGAGTCGGAAAACCAAGTGCAGCCACACCCTTCGTCAAAGTTGCCGATCCAATTGGTAAGCCCATCAAAAAAAGGAAATAATTACTGCATGAAATCCTGATATTAGGCCTATCAATTAAAATAAATCAAGTTCAATGAAAGTTAATAAAAAGGTAGAATATCATAAAAATTTGGATAAAGTTCTAGAAACCCAGACTGTGCCTACTTTACTTTGTGAATTCAATAAATCTGTTATTTTAATGATGATGGTATAATTGATTACAACATTGTCTTCATAAATTGTCACTAACATAAATGGTATGCTCCAACTCTTTCTTTTATTCCAGAGAGACCAAGTCCTCCTGTAAACCTAACTTCCTCAGATCAGACTCAGTCATCAGTTCAACTCAAATGGGAACCTCCTCTGAAAGATGGAGGAAGCCCAGTATTAGGCTATATAATTGAGCGATGTGAAGAAGGAAAAGATAATTGGATTCGTTGCAATAAGAAACTTGTCCCTGAACTGACTTACAAGGTAGGTCATTTGCATATAAAAAAGAATATTCAGTGTGGATCATGGACATAACTGTATGTGTTTTTTACAAATATTAATTCATAATTGTAGGTTACCGGATTGGAAAAAGGAAATAAATATTTATATAGAGTATCTGCAGAAAATAAAGCTGGTGTTTCAGATCCATCTGAAATTCTTGGTCCTCTCACCGCTGATGATGCATTTGGTAAATAGATATTTTATTTTTAGACCGGGGAATAGAACATAGTTACTTTGGGGCAACAGGGACTTAAATATGGCACTGCAGACTCATTAACTTTTCTTCTTTGCAGTTGAACCAACAATGGATTTAAGTGCATTTAAAGATGGTCTGGAAGTTATTGTCCCAAATCCTATCAAGATCCTGGTTCCAAGTACAGGCTATCCAAGGCCAACTGCAACCTGGTGTTTTGGAGATAAAGTACTAGAAACAGGGGACCGTGTGAAAATGAAGACCTTGTCTGCCTATGCCGAACTTGTCATTTCTCCAAGCGAACGTTCAGACAAGGGCATTTATACACTGAAATTAGAAAACCGTGTGAAAACAATTTCTGGGGAAATCGATGTCAATGTAATTGGTAAGGAACTAACTGTTTATCATCTAAGGTGATTTGGTAATATTGACAAATATTAGTTCAGACTATTAATGACAGTGACTTGTGAGTGCATTTCTTTTCAGCTCGCCCAAGTGCACCCAAAGAACTGAAATTTGGTGATATAACCAAGGACTCAGTACATTTGACTTGGGAACCACCTGATGATGATGGAGGAAGTCCATTAACCGGATACGTTATTGAAAAACGAGAAGTCAGCCGGAAAACATGGACTAAGGTGAGTTTTGAGCAGCACTGCATCAACGCCAAAAATGAGAGTAGGGGAAATCCCAGAAGGTTGGGATGCCATGCACAAATCTTGTGTGCTACAACTTCTTACCTTTATCTCACTGAAAATGTACAAAAACTTTTTAAGAATGCATCGGTACTAATGCTTCCTGAGGTAGCTCAACCAAGGGTTGTATAATTGTAATTGTCTTGTCTTGTGAGCCTTACCAAATGTGTAAAAAATTAAAAAAAAAAAAAAAATCCCTACTGACTTGGTAAAAATCTTTTCAGTTGGGGAAAGGGTTTTTGGAAAATAGCTAATTAACTATATTTCTTTGTCCCAGGTTATGGACTTTGTAACTGATCTAGAATTCACAGTTCCTGATCTTGTTCAAGGAAAAGAGTATTTATTTAAAGTTTGTGCTCGTAACAAATGTGGCCCTGGAGAACCTGCATATGTTGATGAACCTGTAAATATGTCAGCTCCTGCAAGTGAGTACATTCTTAATGATTTCTTACCTAATCTTGTTGCCTGTTTTTGCTTTTAGACCTAGAGTTGAAGTTATGGGGCAAGGCAGGGGTTGGCAATGCGAAGAGAACTGCATAGGTGCCCTGCGTAAGACTGACTCTCTCTTCCAAATGTTATAGCGGTACCTGACCCACCAGAGAATGTTAAATGGAGAGATCGAACAGCCAATAGCATCTTCTTAACATGGGATCCACCTAAAAATGACGGTGGTTCACGCATCAAAGGATATATAGTTGAAAGATGTCCACGTGGTTCTGATAAATGGGTTGCCTGTGGAGAACCTGTTGCAGAAACAAAGTAAGTTTTTTATTTGGCATGAGAGTAAATGTGTACTCCTAGTCACTAAAATGGGCTTTGTTCGGGAAAATTTAAATGTTTGTCTTTTTTCATTGAGAATCCTATACTGCCGGTGTGTCTGTCTGGTTTTTAAAGGTGCTGCTGAATGTACTTCATGCTCAGGGTTTTCATGACAGTATTAAAATGAAAATGTATTCAGTTATAGTGTTGAAGTAATCCAGGTTTAATTTAAAGACTAGTATTATACCAGGGGTTTGAATTTTTGAAAGACCATGAGTACTACACAATGAAACGATTATTGACATCACAGTAAAACATCTTATTCTGTTTTCTGACAGGATGGAAGTGACAGGTCTTGAGGAAGGCAAATGGTATGCCTACCGCGTGAAGGCCTTAAACAGGCAGGGCGCTAGCAAACCAAGCAAACCCACGGAGGAGATCCAGGCTGTGGACACACAAGGTATCTATTTTTGATTTTTGTCTTATCAAATAGGCCTCTGACCTTAAATCTGCTTGAACTTGATAACATCATAAATAATCTTTTCCAATTCAGAGGCCCCAGAAATCTTCCTCGATGTGAAGCTCCTTGCTGGTCTCACCGTAAAAGCTGGGACCAAGATTGAACTTCCTGCCACTGTAACCGGGAAACCTGAACCTAAAATAACTTGGACAAAGGCTGATACGATTCTGAAGCAGGACAAAAGAATTACCATTGAAAATGTCCCTAAGAAATCCACAGTGACTATTGTTGATAGTAAGAGAAGTGACACTGGCACATACATCATCGAGGCTGTGAATGTGTGTGGCCGGGCCACTGCTGTGGTGGAAGTGAACGTCTTAGGTAAGGAAGGTTCTCATTTTAAAAGGGGATAAACTGTTTGCAGTTACTTTCTTGAAATAAATAAATAAATAAATAAAACATGGTGAACAATTTTTTTCCTGCATCTGTAATGCCATACACAGATAAACCTGGACCACCAGCTGCCTTTGACATCACAGATGTAACCAATGAGTCATGTCTTCTAACATGGAACCCACCACGCGATGATGGTGGATCTAAGATCACAAACTATGTTGTGGAGAGACGAGCAACTGATAGTGAAGTGTGGCACAAGCTCTCATCCACCGTCAAGGATACAAACTTCAAGGCCACCAAATTAATCCCCAATAAAGAGTACATCTTCAGAGTTGCTGCAGAAAACATGTATGGTGTTGGTGAACCAGTTCAGGCCTCTCCAATAACAGCCAAATATCAGTTTGGTAAGTTTCTCAATCAGCTGATTAAAAAAAAAAAAAAGGATGCTTATGTCAAACTTGCATTTTGGTGTCATATTGATATACAGGACATATAACATTTTACACCATTATCCTGTCTATAGATCCACCTGGACCTCCAACTCGCCTAGAACCTTCTGATATCACTAAAGATGCAGTGACTCTCACGTGGTGTGAGCCAGATGATGATGGTGGCAGCCCAATCACTGGATACTGGGTTGAAAGACTGGATCCTGATACGGATAAATGGGTTAGATGCAATAAGATGCCAGTAAAGGACACAACATACAGGTATGCTCAGAATCCCCATCAAGATGTTAAGACAGCAGTATATTCAAATGTTTACTCTTTAGTATTCCTTGGGATTACAGATGATTATATATTGCTAAAACATTTTTAAACTACTTTTACTCATATTTGCTATTACCTCATAATTTGAAAAATTATATAAATTCCATTCAAGGGCACATTTCTTAGTTTACTCTAAAATATTAACCTTCAGGAAGTTTCAAAGTATTTGATCCTCCAGTACATTATGATAATGATCATTGTCATAGATATTATAATTAGACTGGTATGTGTGGCCAAGTCTAAAGTGTGCCTGTTAAAAAGCAACTTTAATTTATATTGAAGTGCTTTTCAATTAAATTTCCAAATCATCTTTTCACAATTTAAATAAATTAGTCTCTTCTGTGTAAAGTAAACATAGGCTTCTTCTGCTTCTTACCATGATGTTATACATGCACTTTGTTCCTAATTCAGAGTGAAAGGTCTCACCAATAAGAAAAAATACAGATTCCGTGTGTTGGCTGAAAATCTTGCTGGACCTGGAAAACCAAGCAAATCAACTGAACCAATCTTAATAAAGGATCCCATAGGTATTATTTATATAATTTTTGTGGTTATTTTGAAGCTCATATGAACTCCTTTTTGACAAACCTAAACAATGATTTCACTGGCTTACAGATCCTCCATGGCCCCCTGGAAAACCAACTGTAAAAGATGTAGGCAAAACATCATTAAGGTTGCATTGGACAAAACCAGAACACGATGGAGGCGCAAAGATTGAGTCTTATATCATTGAAATGCTGAAGACTGGGACAGATGAGTGGGTCAGAGTGGCGGAAGGGGTTCCCACCACTCAGCACTTGCTCCCAGGGCTCATGGAAGGACAGGAATACTCATTCCGAGTTAGAGCTGTGAATAAGGCTGGGGAAAGTGAACCCAGTGAACCCAGCGACCCTGTGCTTTGCCGGGAGAAGCTATGTAAGTCACTCTTGATGTCTGGGGTATGTAAATTCTTCTAATGTCTGCCTATGAACTACGATATGAGAAAATATGAAAAATTCATTACTATTATTTCCTCCTGGCTACATTATTTCTTAATGACTGCCTGCACATTCAGACTGACTATTGGGTAATAAAACAAAAATGAATTTGTTTTCGTTCCTTCTTTTTCAGATCCTCCATCACCACCACGCTGGCTTGAAGTTATTAATATCACAAAAAATACAGCAGACCTAAAATGGACAGTTCCTGAGAAAGATGGAGGGTCCCCCATCACCAACTACATTGTAGAAAAGAGAGACGTCAGGCGAAAAGGCTGGCAAACAGTGGATACCACTGTCAAGGACACCAAGTGCACAGTCACCCCGCTGACTGAGGGCTCTTTATATGTGTTCCGAGTTGCTGCAGAAAATGCTATAGGACAAAGTGACTACACCGAAATTGAGGACTCTGTGCTGGCCAAAGACACCTTTAGTATGCTCTCACACTTAATCTTTGTGACAATAAGTGCTCTCACACTTAATTTTTGTGACAGGAGATTATCACCTTCCCTCTGGTTTTCCTAATCATTGATTATTTTGCTTTCAGCCACTCCTGGACCACCCTATGCCCTGGCAGTGGTTGATGTGACAAAACGACATGTTGACCTAAAGTGGGAGCCACCTAAAAATGATGGTGGAAGACCAATTCAGAGGTAGAATTTGAATTAATTCATAAAGAATAACTTACACTTGGTTGCAAAATCTCAACAATGTTTTTTCATTAATACTAATGAAATGCTTTGTTATTTCAACAGATATATCATTGAGAAGAAAGAAAGGTTAGGTACCCGTTGGGTGAAAGCTGGAAAGACTGCAGGACCTGACTGTAACTTCAGAGTAACTGATGTCATTGAAGGAACAGAGGTCCAGTTTCAGGTTCGGGCTGAAAATGAAGCTGGAGTTGGCCACCCAAGTGAACCCACAGAAATCCTATCCATTGAAGATCCAACAAGTAAGTAGTGCTGATTATACACAAGATATTGTCTAGAACTTGATGAGACGGTGGATATGAATGTTTCACTCTTTTCGCAGGTCCTCCCTCACCACCCCTTGACCTACATGTGACTGATGCTGGGAGAAAACACATTGCCATTGCTTGGAAGCCTCCAGAGAAAAATGGTGGAAGTCCTATCATAGGATACCATGTTGAAATGTGTCCAGTAGGCACTGAGAAATGGATGCGAGTTAATTCTCGCCCAATAAAGGACTTGAAATTCAAGGTTGAAGAAGGTGTTGTTCCTGACAAAGAATATGTCCTGAGAGTGAGAGCAGTCAATGCTATTGGTGTCAGCGAGCCATCTGAAATCTCTGAAAATGTGGTTGCCAAAGACCCAGACTGTAAGAGCACAATGTCTTTTACAGTTAATAAAATACCCTTTATTCATGCATTGCATTTTGACATACTCTCTTTTTTGCTCTTTCGAATGATATCTTACAGGCAAGCCAACAATTGACCTGGAGACTCATGACATTATTGTTATTGAAGGTGAAAAGTTAAGCATTCCTGTTCCCTTCAGAGCTGTCCCAGTTCCAACTGTTAGTTGGCATAAAGATGGCAAAGAAGTTAAAGCAAGTGATAGATTAACAATGAAGAATGATCACATCTCAGCCCACCTTGAAGTTCCCAAGAGTGTCCATGCAGATGCCGGAGTTTATACCATTACACTGGAGAATAAGCTCGGCTCAGCAACAGCCTCAATCAATGTCAAAGTCATAGGTAATCATTGTTGGAAGAAACACCAGACATTCTTCACATGTAGAGGAAATTAGTTAACTTTGCAGTGCTATTAACAGTATAAATGACTTCATGAACTGGCCACTTGTAAACTAAATATCACTTCTGATTATGTCTTTCCGTATGAGAAGTAAAACAATTCTAAAGAGATGAAATTGCTAAACTCTTATTAGAGTAATTTATACTAGTTTTAATTATTTGCATGTGAAATACTAATTTAAATAAAATATATTAGCATACCCAAAGAATATTTAAATGACCACAATTTTTTAACTGTACAGCTTCACATTTTCCCATAGTGTTCTCAACCAGGGATAGTAACATTTTCTGCATTCCCCCCGGCTCTGCAAATAATGTCTGGATATTTGTGGGGCCATTTTTCCGTGGCACACAGACTTGGGGTAGATACCACTGACATTTAGTAGTTGGGAGCCAAGGGTGCTAAATGCTCTGCAGTGTGAATGCCACTCCAGCACATCAAAGATTATCCTACCCAAAATACAGATAGCCCCACTTAGAGACAAGTGCATTATTAAAATGCTGATTTTTCAGGATTACTAGAATAATTATCCATTTCTGTAATAGGCCTACCTGGACCATGCAAAGATATTAAAGCAAGTGACATTACCAAGAGTTCTTGTAAGTTAACCTGGGAACCTCCAGAATTTGATGGTGGAACCCCAATTCTTCATTACGTCCTGGAGCGCAGAGAAGCTGGGAGAAGAACATATATACCAGTCATGTCTGGTGAGAATAAACTGTCGTGGACTGTGAAGGATCTCATACCAAATGGTGAATACTTCTTCCGTGTTAAAGCAGTCAACAAGATTGGTGGAGGAGAATATATTGAACTGAAAAATCCAGTCATTGCCCAAGATCCAAAGCGTAAGTCTGGGCATAGATGTACTATGGCTAAGAACTAATAAACCATAGTTTTGTTTTAAGAAGGTGGTTTTCCTGATACTAACTTTTTTTTCTTATTCTTCAGAACCCCCTGATCCACCTGTAGATGTAGAGGTTCATAATCCTACAGCAGAGGCAATGACTATTACATGGAAGCCACCTTTGTATGACGGAGGAAGCAAGATAATGGGCTACATCATAGAGAAGATTGCTAAGGGTGAAGAAAGGTGGAAGAGATGCAATGAACACCTGGTACCAATCCTGACCTATACAGCAAAAGGACTTGAACAGGGGAAAGAGTATCAATTCCGTGTGCGAGCAGAGAACGCCGCGGGTATTAGTGAACCTTCTCGGGCTACTCCTCCAACCAAAGCTGTAGATCCCATTGGTAAGTTTTGTTTAATGGAGTTACCACTTTCCCATTTTGAAATAAATGAAAATAATGTTTTGTCAGTTGTTTTCATCAGAACTGAAAACATTTATTGGTTATGATCATTATAGATGCCCCCAAAGTCATTCTGAGAACAAGCCTAGAAGTGAAACGAGGTGATGAAATAGCACTTGATGCAAGTATTTCTGGATCACCTTACCCAACTATTACATGGATAAAGGATGAGAATGCTATTGTACCAGAGGAAATTAAGAAGCGTGCAGCACCCTTGGTTAGAAGAAGGAAGGGTGAAGTTCAAGAAGAAGAACCATTTGTCCTGCCTCTGACACAGCGCTTGAGTATTGACAACAGCAAAAAGGGAGAATCTCAGCTACGCGTCCGAGATTCTCTCCGACCTGACCATGGTCTGTATATGATCAAAGTTGAAAATGACCACGGTATCGCAAAAGCTCCTTGTACTGTCAGTGTGTTAGGTGAGTCATTAAAACTACACTTTCCAATTGAAAAAGGTTTTAGTAAAACATAAAAATAAAAAGTTTGGGGGAGAGTTAAAAGAAATGGGACATAGCTTCAGCAAGTTATCCTCAGTCATATTTTATCTCCTGGCCATGTAAAAGAAATCGCCTGACCTTGTTATTTATTAGCTAATAGAATACAATGATAGATGTGGGAAAACCAGAAATCATGTCAGAGGAGCATGCTCACATTTACATTTTCCATAGCAACCCTTCCCACACATGTTTTTGATTACTGTTCTCTTTTGAAATATTAGATACACCGGGACCACCAATCAACTTTGTATTTGAAGATATCAGAAAGACCTCAGTCCTTTGTAAATGGGAACCACCCCTTGATGATGGTGGCAGTGAAATCATAAACTACACTTTGGAAAAGAAAGACAAGACAAAACCTGACTCAGAATGGATAGTTGTCACTTCAACACTTAGACATTGCAAATATTCAGTAACAAAACTGATTGAAGGAAAAGAGTACCTCTTCCGTGTAAGAGCTGAAAATAGATTTGGGCCAGGTCCACCATGTGTTTCAAAGCCACTTGTAGCTAAAGATCCATTTGGTAAGTTTCCTTTGGCATCTAAAGTTTGCCTTTTACCATGTACTTTGGTATATAATTACTACAGCTTGTAAAATTGCATTTTATGTCATATTAGGGAATTAATTCAAATGTGTGTGGTTTTTTTTTTAATCAGAACCACCTGATGCACCAGATAAGCCCATTGTGGAAGATGTTACCAGCAACAGTATGCTAGTGAAATGGAATGAACCAAAAGATAACGGAAGCCCCATTTTGGGTTACTGGCTTGAAAAACGTGAGGTTAATAGTACACATTGGTCTCGTGTCAACAAAAGCCTTCTGAATGCCTTGAAAGCCAATGTAGATGGCTTATTAGAAGGACTCACCTATGTCTTCAGAGTATGTGCTGAAAATGCAGCTGGACCTGGAAAGTTCAGTCCACCTTCAGATCCCAAAACAGCACATGATCCAATCTGTAAGTAGTTCCTTAAGAAGAAGGTGGAGTAGAACAAGTTATTGTACATTTTAAAATCATCAGGGAGTTTGATTTTTATATCTTCATTCATTCTAGCTCCGCCTGGGCCACCTATCCCAAGAGTCACTGACACAAGCTCTACGACTATTGAACTAGAATGGGAACCCCCAGCTTTCAATGGTGGTGGGGAAATTATTGGCTATTTTGTTGATAAGCAGTTGGTTGGCACAAATGAATGGTCACGCTGCACAGAGAAGATGATCAAGGTCCGTCAGTACACAGTCAAAGAAATCCGAGAGGGTGCTGATTATAAACTTCGGGTGAGTGCCGTCAATGTCGCAGGGGAAGGACCGCCTGGAGAAACAGAACCTGTTACTGTGGCTGAACCACAAGGTACTTAACATTATTGGAATAAAATTATGGATATTTTCTCTATACAGAACTATTTTTTAATCTTTCATGGGCTAATGTATGACTGTTCTCTTTCAACAGAGCCTCCAACTGTGGAACTGGATGTTTCTGTCAAGGGTGGAATACAAATAATGGCTGGGAAGACTCTTAGAATTCCAGCTGTGGTAACGGGTCGCCCTGTACCTACAAAAGTATGGACCAAAGAAGAAGGGGAGCTGGATAAAGACCGCGTTGTAATAGACAATGTTGGAACCAAATCTGAACTAATTATCAAGGATGCACTGCGAAAAGACCATGGCAGATATGTGATTACAGCTACAAATAGCTGTGGTTCCAAATTTGCAGCAGCCAGGGTAGAAGTTTTTGGTAAGGAATGTTGCATTGATTTTCATAGGATTTTCCCAAATGTTACTATCTTATTACATTGGTTTTTGGCTTTGTTTTGTTTTCAGATGTCCCTGGTCCAGTTCTTGATTTAAAACCTGTTGTAACAAACAGAAAAATGTGTCTACTTAACTGGTCTGATCCAGAAGATGATGGAGGAAGTGAAATAACAGGCTTCATCATTGAAAGAAAAGATGCCAAGATGCATACTTGGAGACAACCAATAGAGACTGAGAGATCTAAATGTGACATCACAGGGCTGCTTGAGGGACAAGAATATAAGTTCCGTGTTATTGCCAAGAACAAGTTTGGCTGTGGCCCTCCTGTTGAAATAGGACCAATTCTTGCAGTTGATCCACTAGGTAAAAGAGAAGGTTTCATTGTGTTTATAGAATAATGTTTTGCTTCTGGTTATATTATTTACTGAGCTTTATGGCTTCAAACTCCCAACAGTCTCAAAATCTATAGCTAAAGAGTAACAAGAGAAGTAAATCAAAAAACTATTAGCAACATTAAAGATATCATATTTGCTATAATTTCAGTGTAATCTGTGACTCTAAGTATATTAATCATGCATGGTTTTTTGTACTGAAAAACTTGGATCTACAGGTTGGATCTACAGGTTATTATTAGCTTAATAATAACCTAGAAGTAGTTTAGACATATTATGTCTCTCCAGTAGAACACATTGGAAGTCGGGTTTTTAAAATTTACTAGCCTAGTAGTGAAAGAGAATTCAATATTCTTCGAAAAGATTAGACAATTGCCTGAGGATAAATGCCTTAGTCTTCCTCTATATTCAAAAAGTCCCCATACTGTTAGAATAGAGAGGCCCAAAACCAGAAACAGCCTCCAAATAATAGAAAACCAACCAGAGGGAATCTCCCAGAAATCAATACGAAACACTAAAATTGCACACACAGTAATGTGCACTGACATCCCATCTAAGAAAGCAAAACCTTTGAGGAAGACCCATTCCTCAAGAGACAGAAGAACTTATTCCTTCACCATCACTCCCTGAAAAAAAAAAATACATCCTATACCACTGCTGCAGCTCATCTATGAATGTCCAATATACCACAGGCTGTGCCAGAGGTGCCAGAACAGAGCTGAGCTTCCACTCCTTCTGGTTGCAATAATAGTGAACAAGTATGGATTGGGTCTAGTTTAACCTCTGAAAGCTTAACTCTTAGTTTGGTCCTTCAGGAAAGAAAACTTCAGCAGCATTACATAAATCCTCTTTGCATCATATTTTGAACCCACATGTGAGGCAACATGGCTCAAAGTATGTTCGTAGACATTCCCACTATCTGTTAATAAAAGAAAAAACACTTTGCTCTCAGCTGCTCATTCAAAGCAAAACTTCACAGACTTACTTTCCTAGTTCATTAGAATTAGAAGCATCCCCAGTTACAAAGGTAAATAATCTAAATGTTAAATATGAAAAAGCATATGTGCCCTTGATTTATTTTTCACTGATAATCTTGATGAAAAGTTGGCTAAGAAAAATTCTGTCTATATGAATGTCTATAATTTTGGCAACTGACAAGTTTTAGGAATGACTTTAAATAAGGATGTAAGGTTATGCCAAACAGAAGGCTATTTTTTACATAATTAAGTTGAAGTGAAATATTATTTCTTATATGAATATTTATCTCATGCTAATCATTTTCACTTGCCTCTGGCGAAAGGTCCTCCAACATCTCCAGAGAGGCTGACATACACTGAAAGGACAAAGTCCACTATCACCCTTGACTGGAAAGAGCCCCGCAGTAATGGTGGCAGTCCCATCCAAGGATATATCATTGAAAAACGGCGTCACGACAAACCTGACTTTGAAAGAGTTAACAAGCAACTCTGCCCAACTACATCTCTTCTGGTTGAAAATCTTGATGAACACCAAATGTATGAGTTCCGTGTCAAAGCTGTCAATGAAATTGGTGAAAGTGAACCATCCCTGCCTCTTAATGTAGTCATACAAGATGATGAAGGTGCGAAATCTGAATATAATAATTTTAATGCATTTTACAGTGTGCCTTTATCCCATAAGTTGAAAAAATGTCCTTATGACTTTGCTACTTTTTTTTCTTTCTCTTCTCTTTGCAGTGCCTCCAACTATTAAGTTGCGTCTGAGTGTTCGAGGAGACACTATCAAAGTTAAGGCAGGAGAGCCTGTCCACATCCCTGCAGATGTGACAGGCCTTCCAATGCCTAAGATTGAATGGTCCAAAAATGAAACCGTAATTGAAAAACCCACTGAGGCACTTCAGATAACCAAGGAAGAGGTATCCCGAAGTGAGGCAAAAACTGAGCTTAGCATTCCCAAAGCGGTCCGGGAAGACAAAGGCACTTACACAGTTACTGCTTCCAATCGCCTTGGCTCAGTGTTCCGAAATGTTCACGTTGAAGTATATGGTAGGTGACTTGCTTTCTTACATCAAGAAGGCATCCAGTGTCTGTTTAAGAATTGCCTTCTCAATATTCTCTGTTGATTCCTTTCCAGACCGCCCATCCCCACCAAGAAACCTTGCTGTTACTGACATTAAAGCTGAATCTTGCTACTTGACATGGGATGCCCCTCTTGATAATGGTGGCAGTGAAATCACCCATTATGTTATTGACAAACGTGATGCAAGTAGGAAGAAAACAGAATGGGAGGAAGTCACCAACACTGCTGTAGAGAAAAGATATGGGGTAAACTCTTCTAAATATTTTCTTAAACACATTAAAAGTACATTACTCTGGTTTGACACCATTTTAGTATAACCTTGGAATTTGATAATTAAACTCAAAACCACACACAATAAGCTGCTATTTTGTTATTGTAGTGTTTAGCCCCATACACATAAGGCTCCTTAGTAAATAGCGTTTGATACACAGATACTCTTTTAATTGAGATCCACTATCAGGTACAATACATCTACATATTTTTATTTTTAAAAAGCTTTCTCCTTTTCTCTGTCTTCCCATGTTTTGAGTCTATATATTTATTTCTTCTTATAGTCATCCCTCCCAAAATAAGCTGAATTTTTAAATGAGTGAAAATCAACATAAGTATATTCTCTTCAATAAATTTCTATTTTTCTAATTTCTAGATCTGGAAACTTATCCCCAATGGTCAGTATGAGTTCCGAGTCAGGGCAGTGAATAAATATGGAATCAGTGATGAGTGCAAATCAGATAAAGTAGTCATTCAAGATCCTTATCGCCTTCCTGGACCTCCAGGAAAACCGAAAGTTTTGGCACGCACCAAGGGATCAATGCTAGTGAGCTGGACTCCTCCTTTGGACAATGGTGGCTCTCCAATTACTGGCTACTGGCTGGAGAAAAGAGAAGAGGGAAGTCCTTACTGGTCACGTGTTAGCCGAGCACCAGTAACCAAAGTGGGATTGAAAGGCGTGGAATTTAATGTTCCTCGTTTGATTGAAGGCGTTAAATACCAGTTCAGAGCCATGGCAATAAATGCTGCAGGAATTGGTCCTCCCAGTGAACCATCAGATCCAGAGGTTGCAGGAGATCCCATATGTAAGTATGCTTCCATTTCTAGGGACTAATTTCTAAAGCACAAAGTCACTAAATGGGTAATTCTGCTCTTAAATTTCTTATATTTTTCTATGCCAAATTATTTTATTAAAATAAAAAAGGTTCATATTCACATAGACTATCAGAAGTATATATGTATACATACAGGCATACATATATACATACACACATACATAAAATCATACAGTTTGTAAACTCTTGGATTAAACAAAATATTTTATGAGGAATCACCATAATAAAGATCTGGACTATAAACTGCTATCTCTTCTGATACTTTAAATAAGTTTCTAGCTCATTAGATACTGGGGAAATCATCTCTCCCACCAAACAGTCTGACCTTCCAGTAGGAATTCAACAAAAAGCAAAGTGTTGTTAGCTTTTCAATAATATTATTGAACAAAGATTTAGGATTCTCAGGCGTAGTCTGTGAGGTCAAATAAGAGAGGAACATTCTTCTGAAAGATCTATGAGCAGATTAGTTCAAAAATTAAAAAATACTGTGGCCTAATAATTCATCCTATTTGCTATATATCTGATTAGATTCTCTATAGAAGAAAAATTCAATTATTTGTTAAAAAGAAAATTTTAAATACTCAAGTGCTATGTGGAGCATATATACATATATAAGAAGATAGTTATTCATTCATTTGCAAACTAGTACTGAACATGTGTTTTGTGCAAGGATCCATATTAACCACTGGAGGGGGAAAAGTTAAGATTAAAAAGACAAGTGGAGTAAGATAATTTCTGTAATTGTAAAGCACTTTCAGAAAGGTAAAGGATTGTTATGGGATTATTGTAGACACTGATCCTGTCCCTAAAGGGCATTAAGATTAGTTTGTGTTCACAGGTTTGCTAGCTATTGATGGAATCATTTTAAAATTTTCATATTGTGCCAAATTAAATTTAAATCATGTTTTCAGTAAAGGCTATTGTAGAATTTCTTCAAAGGGATCTCAAAAGTAAAGTAGTTTTTCACCAATCATGTGTAAATAGAATGTAAATCTAACAAGATAGTAAGTAGTCTTTCTATTCCCAGTTAGTTTTTCTCTGTTTTTTCATTAACACTAAAGGAAAATAGACCATTTCCTTTATTTCTCTTCTCTAGAAGTCAACTGTGTTTCCTTTTAGCATTTCTATTTTAATATTTTAATAGATTAAAAATAATATATGATCATGTGTAGTAAAAGATTCTAGCACTTCATCAGTTTTAAAATCTGATGAAGCTTTTTTTTCTTTTGTTATTAGTTCCACCAGGGCCACCTTCTTGCCCAGAAGTAAAAGATAAAACAAAGTCAAGCATCTCACTAGGATGGAAACCTCCAGCCAAAGATGGTGGCAGCCCAATCAAAGGATACATTGTAGAAATGCAAGAAGAAGGTACTACTGACTGGAAAAGAGTAAATGAACCAGACAAACTTATAACTACCTGTGAATGTGTGGTGCCTAATCTGAAAGAGCTCAGGAAGTACAGATTCAGAGTGAAAGCTGTCAATGAAGCTGGTGAATCTGAACCAAGTGATACAACCGGGGAGATCCCTGCCACTGATATTCAAGGTACTAGTACTTACTCAGTTTATGTATTCCTCTTTGGATCTCATTATAAAATTGATTAATTTACTTTTCAATTACTCTTCAATTGAAGATATTTCAATTACTTTTTGACAAATATGAGTTAAATCCTGTTAAATTGTATGTGGTATTACAGAGGAACCAGAAGTTTTCATTGACATTGGAGCACAGGACTGTCTGGTTTGTAAAGCTGGCTCACAGATTAGGATTCCTGCTGTCATCAAGGGACGCCCAACACCAAAATCATCTTGGGAATTTGATGGAAAGGCGAAGAAAGCAATGAAGGTAAGAAAATAACCATTCTCCTCTTTTTTCCACTGAATCACTATGAGGAGTATTTATATTACAACTGACTGTCTCCTTTTCTAATAGGATGGAGTTCATGACATACCCGAAGATTCACAGGTAAAAAAAAATAATAATTAAAATAATTCAAAATATGGTTGACTTCAATACTACTATGATTTCATTCAATGTATGACTACTATTTTCTTTGTACAGCTCGAGACTGCTGAAAACTCCTCAGTAATTATTATTCCGGAGTGTAAACGATCTCATACAGGCAAATACAGCATCACAGCCAAGAATAAAGCAGGACAAAAGACTGCAAATTGCAGAGTTAAAGTCATGGGTAAGAAAGACTTTGAAAGTTGCAAAAGAATAAAAACAAATCATGTTTAAGCATTTAAGGAACCTTGCTTATATTGTGACTTACATCCAACAGATGTACCAGGCCCACCCAAAGATCTGAAAGTCAGTGATATCACAAGGGGTAGTTGCAGACTTTCATGGAAGATGCCAGATGACGATGGAGGAGACAGGATCAAAGGCTATGTTATCGAGAAGAGAACTATTGATGGAAAAGCCTGGACCAAAGTCAATCCAGACTGTGGAAGCACCACATTTGTAGTGCCTGATCTCCTCTCTGAACAGCAATATTTCTTCCGTGTGCGAGCAGAAAACCGTTTTGGTGTTGGCCCACCTGTGGAAACCATTCAGAGGACCACTGCCAGAGATCCGATATGTAAGCTTTAAAATCTAAATTTAAAATATCTTCTCAAAATTGAAGTATATTATTATAAACAATGCTTAATACTTCCTTTAACTATTTTTAAAGATCCTCCTGATCCTCCTATTAAACTCAAAATTGGCCTCATCACAAAGAACACAGTGCATCTGTCATGGAAACCCCCAAAGAATGATGGGGGCTCCCCTGTTACCCACTATATTGTTGAGTGCCTTGCATGGGACCCTACTGGAACAAAGAAAGAAGCCTGGAGGCAGTGCAATAAGCGTGATGTGGAAGAACTGCAATTTACTGTTGAAGACCTAGTAGAGGGTGGGCAATATGAATTCCGAGTCAAAGCTGTCAATGCTGCAGGAGTCAGCAAGCCTTCAGCCACTGTTGGCCCCGTGACTGTCAAAGACCAGACATGTAAGTACCAATGTACTGACAAAGAATGTCCTCCTTACGACTGCCTTCCTAGGTGTTCAATAATAGTTCAAAATTAAAAGAGATATATCTGTACCTTAGAAAGCCACCATGGCTTGAATGTAGACATGGGCATATTATTCAATTACTCATTCCCTCAATTTCCACAGAATTTTCACATTCCCTTACCTGTTAACTTTTCTCTATTCAAAGGAGATGATGTCTATAATTTCCTCGCTGTAATTTTCTCGATGGCAGGCTGTTTTACTTATCAGAGGTTAAAGCAATTTCTCTGCATGCTCCTCAAAAGGGACAGAAAGTAACTAGTCATTTGCTTAGCAACTGCTGAGACCCATTTATCTTCACAATCAAGTTTCTATTTCTCTATATGAGAAAAGATATATCCATTTTAATGAAGTATATATAATATATATGGTAATAATTCTTCCTCTGATAATTACCATCACTACTGTTGTGTATCTGTTTATTCTCTCATCTAAGTGTAAAGAAACTGTAGTTGCTACCCTCTTTGAATATTTCTGTCCTAAATTTGAGCAAAATGGAAAATTCCTTCCCTTTTATTAACAGTTATATTTCTTAAAAGGGGAATTCACCTTCTTATGTATCCCTTCATAATTCTGCATAAACATTAGAGAGTGTCCCATGATACTCTCCTACTACAATCTCCTCTCTTCCCTTTTGTCAGGATATGAGAATATAATAATATGCATCATTTCATGCATAATGATGCCAAATAAAGAGAGGCAAGCCCTGATATACAGCCACATGTAGCTCCCTGTGTACCTGCTCCCCAAACCAGTGTAATAGTGTTAGAGACAGAACCGTTCTTTACATTGGGCTGAGCTACAAAGTCTGACTACGGTGGATTCAAACAGCTTTATAGTCACTGTGAATTCTACTTTCTATCCCTCAATGCTTTTTGCTCGTAATGACAACTTTTTTTCAATAATCTAGGCCCACCATCAATTGATCTAACAGAATTCATGGAGGTTGAAGAAGGAACTGATGTTAACATTGTGGCCAAAATTAAAGGTGTGCCATTCCCAACACTAACCTGGTTTAAAGCTCCTCCAAAGAAGCCTGATAACAAAGAACCTGTTCTCTATGACACCCATGTCAACAAACTGGTGGTGGATGATACTTGCACTTTAGTTATTCCACAGTCTCGCAGGAGTGACACTGGCTTATATACCATCACAGCTGTAAATAATCTGGGAACAGCATCAAAGGAGATGAGACTGAATGTCCTGGGTAAAGATTGCATGGTTTGGTTAAAACTACTTGTTTTTCTGTTCATAAATAACATTTGGCTTTAAAATCATCTGACTGATAAAGGGTTCCTTCTTTAAACCATTTTAGGTCGTCCTGGCCCCCCAGTGGGACCCATAAAATTTGAATCTGTTTCAGCAGAGCAAATGACACTGTCTTGGCTTCCACCTAAAGATGATGGTGGGTCTAAGATTACAAACTATGTAATTGAGAAAAGAGAAGCTAACAGGAAGACATGGGTCCGTGTCTCCAGTGAACCTAAAGAGTGCACGTACACGATTCCCAAATTGCTAGAAGGCCATGAATACGTATTCCGAATCATGGCCCAGAATAAATATGGCATTGGAGAACCTCTTGACAGTGAACCTGAAACAGCAAGAAACCTCTTCTGTAAGTAGGACAACATTTTCACAAACAAAGTCATTTTTACTTTTTCAAAAAAATTTCTTATAATCAATATGATCTTTTTCACAGCTGTCCCTGGAGCACCAGATAAACCAACAGTTAGCAGCGTGACTCGTAACTCCATGACCGTCAACTGGGAAGAGCCAGAATATGATGGAGGCTCTCCCGTGACAGGGTACTGGCTGGAAATGAAAGACACTACTTCAAAGAGATGGAAGAGAGTTAACCGAGATCCTATCAAAGCCATGACTCTGGGTGTTTCTTATAAAGTGACTGGTCTTATTGAAGGTTCTGACTATCAATTCCGGGTATATGCAATCAATGCTGCTGGTGTGGGTCCAGCAAGTCTGCCATCAGACCCAGTGACTGCTAGAGATCCAATTGGTAAGCCTTGAAACCATTCCTTTTTTTAAATCTTATTTTCCAAAAGTGCCTTGGGAAAGTCAAGAATACTAATGTATACTGGCTCTTTCCAGCTCCTCCTGGTCCTCCATTTCCCAAAGTGACAGATTGGACTAAATCATCTGCAGATCTGGAGTGGTCTCCCCCACTAAAAGATGGTGGATCCAAAGTAACTGGATACATCGTTGAATATAAAGAAGAAGGAAAAGAAGAATGGGAAAAGGTAGGAAAACTTGGCACTAAGGAAATGCACTATGAATAAACTAAAAATGTCTTAGTTATTCTCAATCCCATTAACTTCTGTCTGTGTTTTTTGGATTAAGAAATCAGGAAAATAGCAAAATTTTAACTCAAATTCCAAACGTCTGTTAATGTCAGAAATCTAATCAAAAGTTAAGTCATGATATTACTAATCTTTTGGTTATAAATCCTGGAATGTGGAATAAATAAAGATTTAATTGTTTGACAATAATTTTAAAGCATAACTCCTGCCAAGTTATTCCATTCAGTGTTGCCTGTAGTATCTGATCCCTGAAACCTAAACCAGCAACAATTTTCCCAGAGTAAACAGTTAAATAGGCTGCTGGTGATGCTTTAGGAAGTCATTAAAGCAAGATGCTACAGATGACTATTCTAATTTTGAAATGTTTATGATTTCTCCCCAGGGTAAAGATAAAGAAGTGAGAGGAACAAAGCTTGTTGTGACAGGATTAAAGGAAGGAGCATTCTACAAATTTAGAGTTAGAGCAGTCAACATTGCTGGCATTGGAGAACCTGGAGAGGTCACAGATGTCATTGAAATGAAAGACAGACTTGGTAATTATCAATCCTTCTTTTATGCCATCAGTATTTATGTTTCAGATTGAAGGGGGAAAAATCACATTTGTAATTTTCAATTGCTTCCAGTTTTACCTGACCTTCAGCTAGATGCCAGTGTCAGAGATAGAATTGTCGTCCATGCTGGAGGAGTGATCCGAATCATTGCCTATGTGTCTGGAAAGCCTCCTCCAACCGTCACCTGGAACATGAATGAAAGAGCCTTACCTCAAGAAGCCACCATTGAGACCACAGCTATTAGCTCATCCATGGTCATCAAGAACTGCCAGAGGAGTCATCAAGGCGTCTATTCTCTTCTTGCCAAAAATGAAGCCGGAGAAAGAAAGAAGACAATTATTGTTGATGTATTAGGTAAATACTTTCAGTTTGTCTGTGCAACTTTTTAAACCAACATTCTTATTATATTTACACAAGGCTACACTGTGTGCTATGTAACAAACATTTTGGAAAATAAGAAAAATCACCCATAATCACGTTGAACATTATTAGAATTTCTAAAAATTTCCTCCTTTTTTATTATATGCATATTCTGTTTGGTGGGTCTAAGATTACAAACTATATAATTGAGAAAACAGATGCTAACAAGAAGACATACATCCATGTCTCCAGTGAACCTAAAGAGTGCATGTACACAATTCCCAAATTGCTAGAAGGCCATGAATATGTATTCTGAATCATGGCCCAGAATAAATATGACTTTTTTATAGAACTTGCCCCTATACTGTCTATTATGTTGTTATACAGTTTTCATAGAAGCAACTTTCCTTCAAGTGTACATGAATGTTTAACAATTTGCCAGTGCTGACTATTTCACATCATGAGACTCTATCCCTATCACAAAATTATCATAATAATGCAAAAACTTCTTTGAAGGGTTTCAGTATTCTAATTGGAGAGAGGCATCATAGTTGGTTATCAATATTGCATTTCTAGTCATTGAATATAGAGTTGAACTCTATGAGGCTTTTTCATGCCTCTCATTGGAGGCTTTAGTCCAGTGATTTGCTCAGAACTTGAAGCCTTTCCACTCAGAGCTCTTTCTAAGCATGTCTCTAGGCACAACAATACTCCAGTCACAGTTTTTATGTGAAATTTGCCAGTTCTATGTTGAATATAATTAATATAAGAATGTCATAAGGAAAAATATTTCATTAACCTATAATCCCACAAACTTTCAGGTTAGTTTCAAGCACCTAAAGCTCTTTTGCCTAATGGCTACTACTCTAATTTGAAAACTGGTACATTTCCATGTTAATTATTTGCAACCTCCTCAAAGTCATTCTGAAATTTGGGGCCTCCTATGCTGCTCGTTGATCCACTGATCATCCAGAAAGAATCCATCTCTCCCTCCTTTTCCCCTGGAGAGGAAACTGGACATAGAAACTGACTATGCCACTCTTACCCACCTCCTGTATCCCTCTGCATGTTTGCCTCCCAGCTCCCTCCTGTCCAACTCACGAATTGCTTTTAAAAAGCATTTTTATTTTCCCTTCAGCCTCCACTAAAAGCATGGTAACCAATAACTGTTGCAAAACTACTTCATTAACAAATGTGGGGCTTGATGCTATGACTCACACCTGTAATCCCCTGACTTTTGGAGGCCGAGGCAGGTGGCTCACTTGAAGTCAGGAGTTCGAGACTGGCCTGGCCAACATGGTGAAACCCTGTTTCTACTAAAAATGCAAAAATTATCCAGGTATGGTGGCACGCGCCTATAGTCCCAGCTGCTTGTGAGGCTGAGGCAGGAGAATTGCTTGAACCTAGGAAGCGGAGGTTGCAGTGAGCTTAGATTGCGCCACTGCACTCCAGCCTGGGTGACAGAGCGAGATTCCATCTCAAAAAAAAAAAAAGTGGTTGACTGTTTTTGTATTGACTAGATAGCAGGAGGAGGAGGAAAAACTAACTCAATTAGTGGACACAAAACCTTACTTTCTTCATAACAACATTTTGTCCCCTTTAAAAAAAAAAATGTTGAGCATTATCTTTCATTGAAGGCAAACAGCTTGAAATATTTTCTTCTTATTTCCAGATGTTCCGGGTCCTGTTGGAACACCATTCCTAGCTCACAACCTAACCAACGAGTCCTGCAAACTGACATGGTTTTCTCCAGAAGATGATGGAGGCTCTCCAATCACCAATTATGTCATTGAAAAGCGTGAATCTGACCGCAGAGCATGGACCCCAGTGACATATACAGTTACCCGACAAAATGCTACTGTCCAGGGTCTCATTCAAGGAAAAGCCTACTTTTTCCGAATCGCGGCTGAAAATAGTATTGGCATGGGTCCATTTGTGGAGACATCAGAGGCACTTGTTATCAGAGAGCCAATAAGTAAGTAAAATTAAAAACAACTTTATGCTTAATCACTTCTTTACTCATTTAGTACAAGACGATGGTGAAAAAATATGTGTATAAATGCCATACATTTCATTCATTTGACAAGCAGTTATTACACAACTACTCAGTATCTGATTTGGTAGTACTTGGACAGTGATTGTGAAAGAGATTTTACAAATACGTATAATTCATCAAATTTCTTTTTTTTTTTTTCTTGGTTTTGTTTTGACACATAGTCTTACTCTGTTACCAAGGCTGGAGTGTAGTGTCATGATCTTGGCTCACTGCAACCTCCACCTCCGAGGTTCAAGTGATTCTTGTGTCTCAGTCTCCCAAGGAGCTGGGATTACAGACATGCACCACTATGCCCAGCTAATTTTTGCATTTTTAGTAGAGACACGGTTTTGCCATGTTAGCCAGGCTGGTCTCAAACTCCTGACCCCAAGTGATCCACCTGCCTCGGCCTCCGAAAGTGCTGGCATTACTACGCCTGGCCCATTTATCAAATTTCTTCCATCTATACCTCACAGATTTTTTCAAATTCCCACTTAATGGCATTAATAGAAACTGAATTATTTTCCTACATCTAAAACTACCAACTCTGAAGATCTTTCTTAAATTATTTTTCCTCAGCAAACCTCATTTCCTCATCTGTCAAGTGAAGAAATTCTATTGTATTTGGTCCTTTTTAACTCTAATAGTTTTCGGATGAGACCTCTTTTGCTATTTATGGGAGCAGAGAGTTTAATGTTTAAACACAATCCTCAGAAAAGGAATATTCACTACATCCTACTACATTCTTAATGTGACACTTTTTTCTACCACAATTCCTATACTTATATTCACAGCTGTACCAGAACGTCCTGAAGACCTGGAAGTCAAAGAAGTTACTAAAAGTACTGTAACTTTGACTTGGAATCCTCCTAAGTATGATGGCGGGTCAGAAATTATTAACTATGTCCTAGAAAGTCGGCTCATTGGAACTGAGAAGTTCCACAAAGTTACAAATGACAACTTGCTTAGCAGAAAATACACTGTTAAAGACTTAAAAGAAGGTGATACCTATGAGTACCGTGTCAGTGCTGTCAACATTGTTGGACAAGGCAAACCATCATTTTGCACCAAGCCAATTACTTGCAAGGATGAGCTGGGTATGTGTCTACTACAATTTATACTTCAGAAATTTGCACATTTGTAGTTCGTAATAAGACATCAGTAAAAATGACTTGCCTTTATAATTGTAAATTTTAGCACCCCCAACACTTCACCTCGACTTCAGAGATAAGCTCACGATTAGAGTTGGTGAAGCTTTTGCCCTCACTGGCCGTTACTCAGGCAAACCAAAGCCTAAGGTTTCCTGGTTCAAAGATGAAGCTGATGTGCTGGAAGATGATCGCACTCACATAAAGACTACACCAACAACACTTGCTTTAGAGAAGATCAAGGCCAAACGTTCAGATTCCGGCAAATACTGTGTGGTTGTGGAGAATAGTACAGGCTCTAGGAAAGGTTTCTGTCAAGTTAATGTTGTTGGTAAGTCTTATTTAGTGGAAAGAATAGATCTTCTGTTTTTTCAAAAGCAGAAATGGAAATAACATTTTGTGCCATGATTTTTTTTTTTCTGCAGACCGTCCTGGTCCACCAGTAGGACCAGTTATTTTTGATGAGGTGACCAAAGATTACATGGTTATTTCTTGGAAGCCTCCTTTAGATGATGGAGGCAGTGAAATCACCAATTATATTATTGAGAAGAAGGAACTGGGTAAAGACGTCTGGATGCCAGTGACATCTGCAAGTGCTAAAACAACATGCAAAGTTTCTAAACTACTTGAAGGAAAAGATTATATTTTCCGGATACATGCTGAAAATCTGTATGGAATAAGTGATCCTCTGGTGTCTGATTCAATGAAAGCCAAAGATCGTTTCAGTATGCATTATGTCTCTTTTTAGTGATTCAATGCTTGATATAACTAATAGGAAGAAATAAATTTCTAACACATTTTCCAACATTTGTTACAGGGGTTCCTGATGCACCTGATCAGCCAATTGTTACAGAAGTTACCAAAGACTCTGCATTAGTAACCTGGAACAAGCCACATGATGGAGGAAAACCCATCACAAACTACATCCTGGAAAAGAGAGAAACTATGTCTAAACGATGGGCTAGAGTTACCAAAGATCCTATTCATCCGTACACTAAATTTAGGGTTCCTGATCTTCTAGAAGGATGTCAGTATGAATTCCGGGTTTCTGCAGAAAATGAAATTGGTATTGGAGATCCAAGCCCACCATCCAAACCAGTCTTTGCTAAAGATCCAATTGGTATAGTATTAATGGATTTATTCAGTTTTCATGTTATTTAACTTTGTTTTCAGCTATATGCTAATTCATTTTTTACTTTTATTTTTTAGCTAAACCAAGTCCACCTGTTAATCCTGAAGCAATAGATACAACATGCAATTCAGTCGATCTAACCTGGCAGCCACCACGTCATGATGGTGGGAGCAAGATTCTGGGTTATATAGTTGAGTACCAGAAAGTTGGAGATGAAGAGTGGAGAAGAGCCAATCACACCCCTGAGTCATGTCCTGAAACTAAATATAAAGTCACCGGTCTTCGGGACGGTCAAACCTATAAGTTCAGAGTGTTAGCAGTCAATGAAGCTGGTGAATCAGATCCAGCTCATGTTCCAGAGCCAGTCCTAGTAAAAGATAGACTTGGTGAGTAAAATGCTCTCACCTGTGTTTGCAAGGAAAATAGATGTCTGATTGTATGTGTTTAATTATAATCTGCATTATGGATCAAATCTGAGTGTTCTGTTCTCTTTTTTCTAGAACCCCCTGAGTTGATTCTTGATGCCAACATGGCAAGAGAACAACACATTAAGGTTGGTGATACTCTAAGACTTAGTGCCATCATCAAAGGAGTGCCATTCCCAAAAGTAACTTGGAAAAAAGAAGACAGAGATGCTCCAACTAAAGCAAGAATTGATGTGACTCCAGTTGGTAGCAAGCTTGAAATTCGTAATGCTGCCCATGAAGATGGTGGAATTTATTCTTTAACAGTGGAGAATCCAGCTGGTTCAAAAACTGTCTCAGTAAAAGTACTTGTATTAGGTAAGAATTTTAATACTTATGCCATTAAAAATAAATTTTGATAATTTTGAGCTCTTATTTGGATAAAATTACTTATAAAACTGTTATTTAACACTTTTTAGATAAACCTGGGCCACCTAGAGATCTGGAAGTCAGTGAAATTAGGAAAGATTCTTGTTACCTTACTTGGAAAGAACCACTGGATGATGGTGGTTCTGTTATTACCAATTATGTGGTTGAGAGGAGAGATGTTGCCAGCGCCCAGTGGTCATCTCTCTCAGCTACATCAAAGAAAAAGAGTCACTTGGCTAAACATCTGAATGAAGGCAACCAGTACCTCTTCCGAGTAGCTGCAGAGAACCAGTATGGACGTGGTCCTTTTGTTGAAACACCAAAACCAATCAAGGCTCTGGATCCTCTCCGTAAGTTGCTTTCTCTGAATACAAAACTATTGTTTGACTGTCTTCAAGAATATTCCTTTTTCATCATAACTTCTTCTTTGAAAAGATCCCCCAGGGCCACCCAAGAACCTGCACCATGTAGATGTTGACAAGACTGAAGTCTCCCTCGTCTGGAATAAGCCGGATCGTGATGGTGGTTCTCCAATCACTGGATATTTGGTGGAATATCAAGAAGAAGGCACCGAGGACTGGATTAAATTTAAGACTGTGACAAACTTAGAGTGTGTGGTTACCGGACTACAACAAGGAAAGACCTATAGATTCCGTGTAAAGGCTGAAAATATTGTGGGTCTTGGTCTCCCCGACACAACTATCCCGATAGAATGTCAAGAAAAACTAGGTAATTTTTGGACTAACAGTTTTATCTTATTTCTTTTTAAAATTATTCATGTAGGTGAAAATCAAAATCTAATTTTTTCATGTTTACTTTTCAGTGCCTCCATCTGTGGAGCTAGATGTGAAATTAATTGAAGGTCTTGTGGTAAAGGCTGGAACCACAGTCAGATTCCCTGCTATTATAAGAGGTGTGCCTGTTCCTACCGCAAAGTGGACAACCGATGGGAGTGAGATTAAAACCGATGAGCACTACACAGTTGAAACAGACAACTTCTCATCAGTACTTACCATTAAGAACTGCTTAAGGAGAGACACTGGAGAATATCAAATCACAGTTTCCAATGCAGCTGGTAGCAAAACAGTAGCCGTACATCTTACTGTTCTTGATGTTCCTGGGCCACCAACAGGTCCTATTCATATTCTGGATGTTACTCCTGAACACATGACTATCTCATGGCAGCCACCTAAGGATGATGGAGGAAGCCCTGTGATAAATTACATTGTTGAGAAACAAGATACAAGGAAAGACACTTGGGGTGTTGTCTCTTCGGGAAGCAGTAAGACAAAGCTGAAAATCCCACATCTGCAGAAGGGCTGTGAATATGTTTTCCGAGTTAAAGCAGAGAATAAGATAGGTGTTGGTCCTCCCCTTGACTCCACACCTACTGTTGCTAAGCATAAATTTAGTCCTCCATCTCCTCCTGGTAAACCAGTAGTTACTGACATTACTGAAAATGCAGCAACAGTGTCTTGGACCCTGCCAAAATCTGATGGTGGCAGTCCAATAACTGGCTACTATGTGGAACGTCGAGAAGTAACTGGTAAATGGGTGAGGGTCAACAAAACACCTATTGCTGACCTTAAGTTCAGAGTGACTGGACTCTATGAAGGAAATACATACGAGTTTAGGGTCTTTGCTGAAAATCTTGCAGGACTAAGCCATCCATCCCCAAGTTCCGATCCAATAAAAGCTTGCCGTCCCATCAAACCACCTGGACCACCTATTAATCCTAAACTGAAAGACAAGAGCAGAGAAACAGCTGATTTGGTGTGGACAAAGCCTCTCAGTGATGGTGGTAGCCCCATTCTAGGATATGTAGTGGAATGTCAGAAACCTGGCACAGCACAATGGAACAGGATTAATAAAGATGAACTCATTAGGCAATGTGCCTTTAGAGTACCTGGACTAATTGAAGGAAATGAGTACAGATTCCGTATAAAGGCAGCTAATATTGTAGGAGAGGGTGAGCCAAGAGAACTAGCAGAATCTGTGATTGCAAAAGATATCCTTCATCCTCCAGAAGTAGAACTTGATGTTACTTGTCGTGATGTTATTACCGTGAGAGTAGGCCAAACTATCCGCATTCTAGCTCGAGTCAGAGGCAGACCTGCACCAGACATAACTTGGACTAAGGAAGGCAAAGTATTGGTACGAGAAAAGAGGGTGGACATTATTCAGGATCTACCTCGTGTTGAGTTACAAATTAAAGAAGCTGTTAGAGCTGATCATGGCAAGTATATCATCTCAGCTAAGAACAGCAGTGGACATGCCCAAGGTTCAGCCATTGTTAACGTCCTTGACAGACCTGGGCCTTGCCAGAATTTGAAGGTTACCAATGTAACCAAAGAGAACTGTACAATTTCTTGGGAAAACCCACTAGATAATGGCGGCTCAGAAATAACAAACTTCATAGTAGAATATCGCAAACCAAACCAGAAAGGCTGGTCAATTGTTGCATCAGATGTCACTAAACGATTAATCAAGGCCAACCTTTTAGCCAACAATGAATACTATTTCCGAGTTTGTGCAGAGAATAAAGTAGGTGTTGGGCCAACCATCGAAACAAAAACTCCCATTCTGGCTATTAACCCTATTGACAGACCAGGTGAGCCTGAAAACCTTCACATTGCGGATAAAGGAAAGACATTTGTCTACCTAAAGTGGCGGAGGCCTGATTATGATGGTGGCAGTCCAAATCTGTCATATCATGTTGAGAGAAGGCTGAAGGGCTCTGATGACTGGGAAAGAGTGCATAAAGGAAGCATTAAAGAAACTCACTACATGGTTGACAGATGTGTTGAAAACCAGATTTATGAGTTCAGAGTGCAAACGAAGAATGAAGGTGGGGAAAGTGACTGGGTGAAGACAGAGGAAGTTGTTGTTAAAGAAGACTTACAAAAACCAGTACTTGATCTGAAATTAAGTGGGGTCCTAACTGTCAAAGCAGGGGACACCATTAGGCTTGAGGCAGGGGTTAGAGGCAAACCATTCCCAGAAGTTTCATGGACCAAGGACAAAGATGCTACAGACTTTACAAGATCACCAAGGGTCAAGATTGATACCCGTGCTGATTCATCTAAATTTTCTCTTACTAAAGCAAAGCGAAGTGATGGGGGTAAATATGTAGTTACGGCAACTAACACAGCTGGCAGTTTTGTGGCCTATGCCACTGTCAACGTTTTAGATAAGCCTGGTCCTGTGAGAAATCTGAAAATTGTTGATGTGTCCAGTGATAGGTGTACTGTTCGCTGGGATCCACCAGAAGATGATGGTGGCTGTGAAATCCAAAATTATATTCTAGAAAAATGTGAGACAAAGCGAATGGTTTGGTCTACCTATTCTGCTACTGTCTTGACACCTGGTACTACAGTAACACGTCTCATAGAAGGAAATGAATATATTTTCAGAGTCCGTGCAGAAAATAAAATAGGCACAGGGCCTCCAACAGAAAGTAAACCAGTCATAGCCAAAACCAAGTATAATAAACCTGGACGCCCTGATCCCCCAGAAGTCACTAAAGTAAGCAAAGAAGAGATGACTGTGGTTTGGAATCCACCTGAATATGATGGTGGAAAGTCTATAACAGGATACTTTTTGGAGAAAAAGGAAAAGCATTCAACACGATGGGTCCCTGTTAACAAGAGTGCAATTCCTGAGAGACGTATGAAAGTACAGAATCTCCTCCCAGACCATGAATATCAGTTCCGTGTCAAGGCAGAAAATGAAATTGGAATTGGAGAACCAAGCTTGCCTTCAAGACCAGTGGTGGCAAAAGACCCCATAGGTAGGATGTCCTTGTTTTTTCTGATATTACATCAACCCTTAATCTCAAGCACAGAAGTATTTGATAAATAAGTTAATGTAACATCTAAATCCATAACATAAAAACTGTATTTAGCAAGTATTTTTCCAAATAGACCTTTTACCAAAATACCTAAAAGGTACAAACAATAGTAGATTCTCATTTTTATGAAGGAAAATAAAGAGGACTCTAATTGAAAAATTGGACGACCTATATTTGATTAACTGAGGCTAGGCTATATAAAATTACACATTGAAGTATCACTATTAGTAGTTAAACATATGTATATCTATTCTTATATTTTATTTTCAGAGCCACCTGGTCCACCAACCAATTTCAGAGTGGTTGATACAACCAAACATTCCATAACTCTTGGGTGGGGAAAACCAGTCTATGATGGTGGTGCACCGATCATTGGATATGTTGTGGAAATGAGACCAAAAATAGCAGATGCATCTCCTGATGAAGGCTGGAAACGTTGTAATGCTGCAGCACAGCTTGTACGCAAGGAATTCACCGTTACCAGCTTGGATGAAAACCAGGAATATGAGTTCAGGGTGTGTGCCCAAAACCAAGTTGGTATTGGGCGCCCTGCAGAGCTAAAGGAAGCTATCAAACCTAAAGAAATACTAGGTAAGTCCTTCCTTTAGCATGTGATTCATTCACACTTAATTTCTTATGATTTCCCCACATTCTGAAACATCAATTAATGACCTTACTGTCATTTGCAGAACCTCCAGAGATTGATTTGGATGCCAGCATGAGAAAACTGGTCACAGTGAGAGCAGGATGCCCTATTCGTCTCTTTGCTATAGTAAGAGGACGACCAGCCCCTAAAGTCACTTGGCGAAAAGTGGGCATTGATAATGTGGTCAGAAAAGGACAAGTTGATCTGGTTGACACTATGGCCTTCCTTGTCATCCCCAATTCTACCCGTGATGACTCAGGAAAATATTCCTTAACACTTGTGAACCCAGCAGGAGAAAAGGCTGTATTCGTAAATGTCAGAGTATTAGGTGGGTTACTAAAATGCTTCTCCCTCTCACTTCAAAAATGAATTTGTTAATAGGGATGCTGAGGAGATGTGTATATCTGATTTTATGACTCTTTACAGACACTCCTGGACCTGTGTCTGATTTGAAAGTTTCAGATGTCACTAAAACATCATGCCATGTGTCCTGGGCCCCTCCTGAAAATGATGGTGGGAGCCAAGTGACACATTATATTGTGGAGAAACGTGAGACAGACAGAAAGACATGGTCAACCGTTACCCCAGAGGTTAAGAAAACAAGCTTCCAAGTAACCAATCTTGTCCCTGGGAATGAGTATTACTTCAGAGTAACTGCTGTCAACGAGTATGGCCCTGGCGTCCCAACAGATGTCCCAAAACCAGTGCTTGCATCAGATCCTCTAAGTAAGTATTATGCTTTCTTCCTCCTTTTAACTCCAGCCTCCTATTTCAGCAAGGTCAAGATACTAATACCATTTTAATCCACTTCTGAAAGAGATTTCATTTGTAGAGACCCAAATAGTGTAATAAATGTCTATCTCACTCATGAAACACTTTTTTGATCTGTCTCATCTTACATGTTTTACTTTTAATGTACTGAACTACAGGTTCTATGTACATTGGAGCAAATGGCATACTAAAACTCTTATGTACATTCAAAAGGGGATTTGATTAGGTTACCTAGGTAATTTTATACATTATGTTTTTCTTCTAGGTGAGCCGGATCCCCCAAGGAAATTAGAAGTGACTGAAATGACAAAGAACAGTGCCACCTTAGCCTGGTTACCTCCCCTGCGTGATGGAGGTGCTAAAATCGATGGCTACATCATTAGTTACAGAGAAGAAGAGCAGCCTGCAGATCGCTGGACAGAGTACTCAGTGGTAAAAGATCTCAGCCTTGTTGTCACTGGCCTAAAGGAAGGAAAGAAATACAAATTTAGAGTAGCAGCCAGAAATGCTGTTGGAGTCAGTTTGCCAAGAGAAGCTGAAGGAGTGTATGAAGCCAAAGAACAACTGTGTAAGTAGTCGTTGCTTCATTTATGTCATATGCTAAGTTTATTAGAATTTCTTTTATATGTAGACATTTCTCCCTGAGGAATCTAGCTCTATAAATACTTGAAAAACAATAGAGAACAGTGGCTTTCAAACACATGGGTGGGCCAACAACACACAGTAAATAAACTTATACAAACACATAGATAACTAAAAACCATTTCCTGAAACAATACCCATTCATTCATTATCATGTGCACTCTTATGTTTTCTACCCTATTCTGTGTGTGTGTGTTTTTTTTTTTTTTTTTTTTTTTTTGCAATGGAGTCTTGCTCTGTCCCCCAGGTTGGAGTGTATTCTGTGTTTTTTAAAATGTTGGCTGTACAACAAACATATAAAAAAAAAGCTCATCATCACTGGCCATTAGAGAAATGCAAATCAAAACAACAATGAGATACCATCTCATGCCAGTTAGAATGACGATCATTGAAAAGTCAGGAAACAACAGGTGCTGGAGAGGATGTGGAGAAATAGGAAAGCTTTTACACTGTTGGTGGGAGTGTAAATTAGTTCAACCATTATGGAAGACAGTGTGGTGATTCCTCAAGGATCTAGAACCAGAAATACCATTTGACCCAGCAATTCCATTACTGTGTATATATCCAAAGGATTATAAATAATTCTACTATAAAGACACATGCACATGTATGTTTATTGTGGCACTGTTCACAATAGCAAAGACTTGGAACCAACCCAAATGCCCATCAGTGATAGACTATATAAAGAAAATGTGGCACATATACACCACAGAATACTACGCAGCCATAAAAAAGGATGAGTTCATGTCCTTTTCAGGGACATGGATGAAGCCAGAAACCATCATTCTCAGCAAACTAACACAAGAACAGAAAACCAAACACCACATGTTCTCACTCATAAGTGGGAGTTGAACAATGAAAATGCATGGACACAGGGAGGGGAGCATCACACACTGGCACCTGTCAGGGGGATGGGGGGCTAGGGGAGGGATAGCATTAGGAGAAATACCTAATGTAGATGATGGGTTGATGGTGCAGCAAATCACCATGGCACGTGTATACCTATGTAACAAACCTGCACATTCTGCACATGTGTCCCAGAACTTAAAGTATTTAAAAAAAAAAAAAATTGGCGGTAATACAAGCATTAATTTGAACCAGTATAGTTCTCCACCAGAGGAAACTTAACCACCTTCCCAAAATTAGTATCTTTTCATTTTACTTTCAGTGCCACCAAAGATCCTTATGCCAGAGCAAATTACTATCAAAGCTGGGAAAAAACTCCGAATTGAAGCCCATGTGTATGGAAAGCCTCATCCCACCTGTAAATGGAAAAAAGGAGAAGATGAAGTTGTCACATCCAGCCACCTGGCAGTGCATAAAGCAGACAACTCTTCAATTCTGATCATAAAAGATGTGACTAGAAAAGACAGTGGTTACTACAGCCTCACAGCAGAGAACAGTTCTGGGACAGACACTCAGAAAATCAAAGTTGTAGTCATGGGTGAGTTAAGTATTAGACAAACGGCCATCTAAATATGAAACTCTGAAACATTTTTACCCATCAGATCGTTGTTCTTACATTTCTTTCCTCTTGGTTCATGCAGATGCCCCTGGCCCCCCTCAGCCTCCATTTGACATTTCTGATATAGACGCCGATGCTTGCTCCCTGTCGTGGCACATCCCTCTAGAGGACGGAGGCAGTAACATCACCAATTATATAGTGGAGAAGTGTGATGTAAGCCGAGGTGACTGGGTCACGGCTCTAGCTTCAGTCACAAAAACTTCCTGCAGGGTTGGAAAGTTGATCCCAGGCCAGGAGTACATCTTCCGGGTCCGTGCTGAAAACCGATTTGGCATTTCAGAGCCTCTCACATCTCCAAAGATGGTTGCGGAGTTCCCATTTGGTATGTTTTTGTGAAGGAGAAAAAAAGTTATGTTTTCTTTCTAGTTTGTTACTGAATGTAGAAACTGACATTTTCCTTGTCTTCATCTCCAGGTGTTCCTAGTGAACCAAAGAATGCACGAGTCACCAAAGTCAACAAGGACTGTATTTTTGTTGCATGGGACAGACCAGACAGTGATGGAGGGAGCCCCATTACTGGTTATCTGATTGAACGCAAGGAAAGAAACAGTTTGCTGTGGGTGAAAGCCAATGATACTCCTGTCCGGTCAACTGAATATCCTTGTGCTGGCCTTATAGAAGGTCTTGAGTATTCATTCAGAATCTATGCCCTAAACAAAGCTGGATCCAGCCCACCCAGCAAACCCACAGAATATGTAACTGCAAGAATGCCAGTTGGTAAGTTTTGGGGGTTTTTTATTGTTGTTGTTGTTGTTGTGTTAGTATCATGGAGGCACATTTAAATCTCAGAGTCTAAGATTTGGACTCCAAGACATAGACAGTAGTAGAGATCTGAAGATTACAACTCCCATTCAAGAATATAGTCTATCTCTTACAATGAAGATGACATATTAAAAAAAGAAAAGGACATACAATTTCCTTTAAAGCATACAGCAAGGACTCAAAAGTGCATACTAGTTGGACAATTATTAAAATGGGATAATTATCATCCTGTTGAGCTTGTTACTTAGCAGCAGGGATGATAATGTGAAATATGGAAGTTTAGACTTCTGCTAGTAAGATAAATGGTGAGTGTACCTCTTTTTGTTTTAGATCCTCCTGGGAAACCTGAAGTTATTGATGTCACCAAGAGTACTGTATCTTTGATCTGGGCACGTCCAAAGCATGATGGAGGCAGTAAAATTATTGGTTATTTCGTAGAAGCTTGCAAACTTCCTGGTGATAAATGGGTACGGTGCAATACTGCACCTCACCAGATTCCCCAGGAAGAGTACACAGCTACTGGCCTAGAAGAGAAAGCTCAGTATCAATTTAGAGCTATTGCCAGGACCGCAGTAAACATTAGCCCACCTTCGGAACCTTCTGATCCAGTGACTATCCTCGCAGAAAATGGTAAGATTCTGATGAGTATTACAGGCAAAGATGTAACAGCATTCATGATGGTCATTTTTCCTAATAAACAACTAAGTATACACCTAAGGAAAAAAGGAAAAATAAAATGATATTTTATATAAAGACACAAACATTATGATTATGGAGAATCATAATAAAAGCAGGATACACAACTGTGACAACAACATAATTTCAATAGTTATTCAATAATGCAGTTATTATTTGTCTATTTAAAATATGCAAAATGAAATAACATTAAAATTCCATTCTTGAAAGAGGTAGCATATGAATTTCCCACTATTATTAATAAGGATTACATAATATAGCTTTGCATATATTAAGTCCTTTATCTTCTTTCTTTCCAGTCCCTCCCAGGATAGACCTGAGTGTGGCTATGAAATCATTGCTTACTGTGAAAGCTGGAACTAATGTCTGCTTGGATGCTACTGTTTTTGGTAAACCAATGCCAACGGTTTCTTGGAAGAAAGATGGCACACTGCTAAAACCAGCAGAAGGCATAAAGATGGCCATGCAGCGGAATCTGTGCACCTTGGAGCTATTCAGCGTGAACCGGAAGGACTCAGGAGACTATACCATTACTGCTGAAAATTCAAGTGGTTCTAAGTCAGCCACCATTAAGCTTAAAGTGTTAGGTAACTAATAAACTTCATTAGAATCCCATATTTTACTTTGGTTAATGGGACGTAAATAGGATTTACAAAATAATGTGGGAGAAGACATACATATTCTAAAGTATATTTCCTATGCACAGAATTATTCTTATGACAGAACCATGTTTTAGAGTTAAAAAGAGCATTAGAAAAATCACATGTTTCAATTACCCAATTTTACAAATGAAGAAACTAAGATTCTAAAAAATTAAGTAATCTCCTAGGTCATATAGGAAATTGACAATAGAAAGACTGCAGTCCAGGTCTCCAGACTTCTACTCTATATTCATTCCCCATTCCAGATATTTTAGTGAAAGATTTCACTCTTCTTCCTTATTCTTTCAGATAAACCGGGTCCTCCAGCATCTGTTAAAATCAACAAAATGTATTCAGATCGTGCAATGCTTTCTTGGGAACCGCCTCTTGAAGATGGAGGCTCAGAAATCACCAACTATATTGTTGACAAACGTGAAACAAGCAGGCCCAACTGGGCTCAAGTCTCTGCAACTGTGCCTATCACCAGCTGCAGCGTGGAGAAACTTATAGAGGGCCATGAGTATCAGTTCCGTATTTGTGCTGAAAATAAATATGGAGTAGGCGATCCAGTCTTCACTGAACCAGCAATTGCCAAAAACCCATACGGTAGGAACATTTCCCGGTGGTTTTTCATTTTACTTTTTAAATATTACCTTTTAGTCTGGGAAATTAACTTTTCAATCAATTTCTGCAGACCCACCAGGACGCTGTGATCCTCCTGTTATTAGCAACATAACCAAAGATCACATGACAGTCAGCTGGAAGCCACCAGCAGATGATGGCGGCTCACCCATCACTGGCTATTTGCTTGAAAAGCGGGAAACCCAGGCTGTTAACTGGACTAAGGTCAACAGAAAACCTATTATAGAAAGAACACTAAAAGCAACAGGTCTTCAAGAAGGTACCGAATATGAGTTCCGTGTTACAGCTATAAATAAAGCTGGACCAGGCAAACCCAGTGACGCATCCAAGGCCGCTTATGCTCGGGACCCTCAGTGTAAGTGTTCATGAACAAGATCCATATCCTGTGTTAAAAGCAGCATGAAACACCCAGGAAGGAGGTTTGAATGAAAATTTCCTATCATTATTTCTTCTCAGATCCTCCTGGCCCACCGGCTTTCCCTAAAGTATATGATACAACTCGTAGCTCCGTGAGTCTATCCTGGGGCAAGCCAGCCTATGACGGCGGCAGCCCTATCATTGGTTATCTCGTTGAAGTAAAACGGGCTGACTCCGATAACTGGGTGAGGTGCAACTTACCACAGAATCTACAGAAAACCCGCTTTGAGGTTACTGGCCTGATGGAAGACACACAATATCAATTTCGTGTGTACGCCGTTAATAAGATTGGATACAGTGACCCCAGTGATGTGCCAGATAAACACTACCCCAAGGACATCTTAAGTAAGTATTACCAGGGGGAATACCTAAGGCTTTTCTTATTAATCATATTCTAAGAGGGAGAATAGAACTCCCTTAGGTAGATTAATTTATTTACAAGGTGTAGACTTGCTAACTCCAGGAGTACTTTTTAGGAGAGCTGGGTGGGTACTTTACGGTATTGTAGAACAGGCAAATCAAATGCAAATGATTTGTGGTTTTGAAAAGCTTTTCATATATATAAGAATTTCATGTCTTCAAAAGACATGGAATGACAGAATTTTATTGGAATGTAAGAATTTTATTTTATGAATAAAGAGGCCTTTTAACTAAGTAGTGAGCTATTTACTATTCTTAGGGTTTCTGTTTTCCAATCCACCATCTCCCTAAGTATGTGATTGGTGGGCTCTCCATCTTAATTTCCCTTCTTCTTATTTTTTCTATTTGCTTATTCTCCATGATAATTTCCCCTTTATTTGAATTACTTGATATTATATGTCACCCTCCAGGTACTTTTCTTCCTACTATGAAATAATAAAGAGAGCTAGAATATGTGGCAGAATACCTTCATGGAATATAGAAAGGAAAAAACAAGAATGAAAGGGAGCCAAAAATCAATCATCCACTTTCCTTTTAGTATATGTAGCATTTCAGAGTACATAAGGCTCATGAAAGAGGAGGTACAGATCCTCCGGGGAAAACCTGGTTAAACTAAAGCATAGTGGAAAATGGAAAGATCAACAATTAGTACAGAATAGAAAAATGGTTTTGAGGATTGTATTAAGGAAGTTTTAAAGAACAAGAGATTGGCTCTAGAAAATAAATGTATTTTAGGAGTGATAAGGCCAGTCCTTGGAAATACATTTGACTATTAAATTTTTAATTAACTTTCTTCACCCAAAATTAAACAGTTCCACCTGAGGGAGAACTTGATGCGGACTTAAGGAAGACACTCATATTACGTGCTGGAGTTACTATGAGACTATATGTACCAGTAAAAGGACGCCCACCTCCAAAGATTACTTGGTCTAAACCTAATGTCAATCTAAGAGACAGGATTGGACTGGACATAAAGTCAACTGACTTTGACACTTTCTTGCGCTGTGAAAATGTGAACAAATATGATGCAGGAAAATACATCTTAACCCTGGAGAACAGCTGTGGTAAAAAGGAATATACCATTGTTGTGAAAGTGCTTGGTAAGTCTATTTCAAAAAAGAATCATATATATTTTAAAATAGTATATGTATTTTTTACACATTCATTTCTTATTTACCCACTATTTATCCAGATACTCCTGGGCCACCTGTCAATGTGACTGTTAAGGAAATATCCAAAGACTCTGCTTATGTTACCTGGGAGCCTCCCATTATTGATGGTGGAAGCCCCATCATAAACTATGTGGTACAAAAACGTGATGCAGAGAGGAAATCCTGGTCTACAGTGACAACTGAGTGCTCCAAAACGAGCTTCAGAGTATCTAATTTGGAGGAGGGAAAATCCTACTTCTTCCGAGTGTTTGCTGAAAATGAGTATGGCATTGGTGATCCCGGTGAAACTCGTGATGCTGTCAAAGCTTCCCGTAAGCAAATGAACCATCATCCCATCATTTTGAGTGACATCCTTCCTTTGCTATATGGGGCTTACACTTATCATTTCTCCTTTGCTTTAGAAACTCCTGGACCAGTTGTGGACCTGAAAGTGAGGTCTGTAACTAAGTCATCTTGTAGCATTGGCTGGAAAAAGCCTCATAGTGATGGTGGAAGTCGGATTATTGGATATGTAGTTGATTTCCTGACTGAAGAAAATAAGTGGCAACGAGTTATGAAATCCTTAAGCCTACAGTACTCCGCAAAAGATCTGACTGAAGGGAAGGAATATACCTTCAGAGTGAGTGCTGAGAATGAAAATGGAGAAGGAACCCCAAGCGAAATCACTGTTGTGGCAAGGGATGATGTTGGTAAGGCTCTATCCACACATCTTCATTTTTCCTTTATTGTCATCAAAAGTGCACTCTTGTGTCCTACTCACTAGCTTATCTAAAAATCCATTAAAAGCTAGAAGTATGTGAAAAAGTTAATTACCTGGCCTTAAAAATAACAGTAATTTATCTCTGCTATTTTACAGTGGCTCCTGATCTTGACTTAAAGGGTCTACCTGATTTGTGCTACTTGGCTAAAGAAAACAGCAACTTTCGGCTTAAGATCCCCATAAAAGGCAAGCCAGCTCCATCAGTCTCCTGGAAGAAAGGGGAAGATCCTCTAGCAACTGACACTAGAGTCAGTGTTGAGTCATCTGCAGTTAACACAACTCTTATAGTATACGATTGCCAAAAATCTGATGCTGGAAAATACACAATCACACTTAAGAATGTTGCTGGCACCAAGGAAGGAACTATCTCCATAAAGGTTGTTGGCAAGCCTGGCATCCCCACTGGACCAATCAAATTTGATGAAGTCACAGCAGAAGCCATGACCTTAAAGTGGGCTCCTCCAAAGGATGATGGAGGTTCTGAAATCACCAACTATATCCTAGAGAAGAGGGATTCTGTGAACAACAAGTGGGTGACGTGCGCCTCAGCTGTCCAGAAAACCACCTTTAGAGTAACCAGACTTCATGAGGGCATGGAATATACCTTCAGGGTCAGTGCCGAAAATAAATATGGTGTAGGGGAAGGCCTGAAATCGGAGCCAATTGTTGCTAGACATCCATTTGGTAAGTGTCTTAAATTCAGAAGACATGAAGCAAAACATGGTTTTGAGGAGGCTTCTTATTATAAATCTTGCATTATCTACTTTCTTCTAGATGTGCCTGATGCTCCCCCACCTCCCAATATTGTGGAGGTCAGACACGATTCAGTATCTCTAACTTGGACTGACCCCAGGAAAACTGGTGGCTCTCCAATTACAGGTATTTTGTTTATTCTTACCCTACATCTTTTACATCAAGATTCCTCACAAATATTTCCCTGAGAACAGTGGAATGTGTGCTTATCGATAACACTATCTGCTTATACAGAAATGTGTTTTTCTTTCAGTACATATGGTTAATGTCTAATTTTATTGAAAATCTCCTAATGTAATAGTTAATAAAGTATTTCTTAATTATAATATCTATTTTTGTAAGTTAAAATTGTTCAACAAAAAAGACAACAACTATGCATATTCCAAGGGGAAAAAATGGCACTATGCTTAGGTAATAAAAGTATATAGATACTAGCAAGAATGATTACTTGTTCAATATATATGGATATGTATAAATAATTTGGGCAACACACATATATTGTAAAATCAAGCTGCATTTATACTTTGTATGTGAATTGATACAACCCTGGGTCTTTTGTAGGGTATCATTTGGAGTTCAAGGAAAGAAACAGCCTTTTGTGGAAGAGAGCTAACAAGACTCCGATAAGGATGAGAGACTTTAAAGTGACAGGATTAACTGAAGGTCTTGAATATGAATTCCGAGTTATGGCAATCAATTTAGCAGGTGTGGGCAAGCCAAGCCTCCCATCAGAGCCTGTCGTGGCACTGGACCCGATTGGTAAGTCATTATATGAAGAAAAACCCATGTGCATTTTTTACATGAAGAAAACATTGGTATTTGTTTGACTGGTTTTGTTTTTGTGTTTTAGATCCTCCTGGAAAACCTGAGGTTATTAACGTAACAAGGAATTCAGTGACTCTCATTTGGACTGAACCTAAATATGATGGTGGTCATAAGTTAACTGGATATATAGTGGAGAAGCGAGATCTACCTTCCAAGTCTTGGATGAAAGCCAACCATGTTAATGTCCCAGAATGTGCCTTTACTGTAACTGACCTTGTTGAGGGTGGAAAATATGAATTCAGAATTAGAGCAAAGAATACAGCAGGTGCTATCAGTGCTCCATCAGAAAGTACAGGAACCATTATTTGCAAGGATGAATACGGTAGGTCCATTTTACTTTTTATGTACTTTGTTTTTTTTTTAAAAAAAAAAAAAAAGCAAATTAAGCCTCCTTCCTTTTCTGATTAAAATGTATTTTCTTCTTTGCAGAGGCACCAACAATTGTCCTTGATCCCACAATAAAAGATGGGCTAACAATTAAAGCAGGGGATACCATTGTTTTGAATGCCATTAGCATTCTTGGCAAACCCCTTCCAAAATCAAGTTGGTCCAAGGCAGGAAAAGACATTAGACCATCAGATATCACTCAGATAACTTCAACCCCAACATCTTCCATGCTTACTATCAAGTATGCCACTAGAAAAGATGCCGGTGAATACACCATCACTGCTACCAATCCTTTTGGCACGAAGGAGGAACATGTGAAGGTAACAGTCCTTGATGTACCTGGTCCCCCAGGTCCTATTGAAATCAGTAATGTTTCTGCTGAAAAAGCAACACTTACATGGACACCTCCCTTGGAAGATGGCGGCTCACCAATTAAGTCCTATATACTTGAAAAGAGAGAAACCAGTCGACTTTTGTGGACAGTGGTTTCTGAAGATATTCAGTCTTGCAGGCATGTGGCAACCAAACTTATCCAAGGAAATGAGTACGTCTTCCGGGTCTCAGCTGTAAACCACTATGGCAAAGGAGAACCTGTACAGTCTGAACCTGTCAAAATGGTAGACAGATTTGGTATGTAGAGCATGTGAGGGAATTGAAATGGAAACATTTATAGCAGAGTTTAGGAAATCATGGATTTCTAATAAATTTGCTTCCTTTTCAGGTCCCCCTGGCCCTCCTGAAAAACCAGAGGTCTCAAATGTCACTAAGAACACTGCCACTGTCAGCTGGAAAAGGCCAGTGGATGATGGTGGCAGCGAAATCACAGGATATCATGTAGAAAGGAGAGAAAAGAAAAGCCTGCGGTGGGTGAGAGCAATAAAAACGCCCGTTTCTGATCTCAGATGCAAAGTAACAGGACTGCAAGAAGGAAGCACCTATGAATTCCGTGTCAGTGCAGAAAACAGAGCAGGAATTGGTCCACCCAGTGAGGCTTCAAATTCTGTTCTAATGAAAGATGCAGCATGTTAGTATTTGTCTTTTTCAATACCATTCATTCCAGAATGCCAATATTTTATCTAAATTATCCAAAAGCCAAACTCTGAATATATACTTTTGTGTCTTTGTTTCTTTTTCAGATCCTCCAGGACCACCTTCAAATCCGCATGTCACTGATACGACCAAGAAATCTGCTTCTTTGGCATGGGGCAAGCCTCATTATGATGGTGGACTTGAAATCACCGGCTATGTTGTGGAGCATCAAAAAGTAGGAGACGAGGCCTGGATAAAAGATACCACAGGAACTGCCCTCAGAATCACTCAGTTCGTTGTTCCTGATCTTCAGACTAAAGAAAAATACAACTTTAGAATCAGTGCCATCAACGATGCAGGTGTTGGGGAGCCAGCGGTGATTCCAGATGTTGAAATTGTAGAACGGGAAATGGCTCCTGATTTTGAACTAGATGCCGAGCTTCGAAGAACACTTGTTGTTAGAGCAGGGCTCAGTATTAGAATATTTGTGCCGATTAAAGGTCGTCCTGCTCCTGAAGTGACATGGACCAAGGATAACATCAACCTGAAAAACCGAGCCAACATTGAAAATACAGAATCATTTACTCTTCTGATTATCCCAGAATGTAACAGATATGATACCGGTAAATTTGTCATGACCATTGAAAACCCGGCTGGGAAGAAAAGTGGCTTTGTGAATGTCAGAGTCTTGGACACGCCAGGCCCAGTCCTCAACCTGCGGCCTACAGACATCACAAAGGACAGTGTCACCCTGCACTGGGACCTCCCTCTGATAGATGGAGGCTCACGTATAACAAATTACATTGTAGAGAAACGTGAAGCAACACGGAAATCTTATTCCACAGTCACCACTAAGTGCCATAAATGCACATATAAAGTTACCGGCTTGTCTGAAGGGTGTGAATACTTCTTCAGAGTGATGGCAGAGAATGAATATGGAATTGGTGAGCCAACAGAAACTACAGAGCCTGTAAAAGCCTCTGAAGCACCATCTCCACCAGACAGCCTTAACATCATGGACATAACTAAGAGCACTGTCAGCCTGGCATGGCCTAAGCCCAAACACGATGGTGGCAGCAAGATCACTGGCTATGTGATTGAAGCCCAAAGAAAAGGCTCTGACCAGTGGACCCACATCACAACCGTGAAAGGGTTAGAATGTGTTGTGAGGAATCTAACTGAAGGAGAGGAATACACCTTCCAAGTGATGGCAGTGAACAGCGCGGGGAGAAGTGCCCCTAGAGAAAGCAGACCCGTCATTGTCAAGGAGCAGACAATGCTTCCAGAGCTAGATCTCCGTGGCATCTATCAGAAACTGGTCATTGCCAGAGCTGGTGACAACATCAAAGTTGAAATTCCAGTGCTCGGTCGACCCAAGCCCACAGTGACATGGAAAAAAGGAGACCAAATTCTTAAACAGACACAGAGAGTTAATTTTGAAACCACAGCAACTTCAACCATTTTAAATATCAATGAGTGTGTCAGAAGTGATAGTGGGCCCTATCCATTAACAGCAAGGAACATTGTAGGAGAGGTTGGTGATGTCATCACCATTCAAGTCCATGATATCCCAGGGCCACCTACTGGACCAATCAAATTTGATGAAGTTTCATCTGATTTTGTAACCTTCTCTTGGGATCCCCCTGAGAACGATGGTGGTGTACCAATAAGCAACTACGTAGTGGAAATGCGGCAGACTGACAGTACTACCTGGGTTGAGTTAGCAACCACCGTTATACGTACTACCTATAAAGCCACCCGCCTTACTACTGGATTAGAGTATCAGTTCCGTGTAAAAGCTCAGAATAGATACGGAGTCGGACCAGGCATCACATCAGCATGTATAGTTGCCAACTATCCATTTAAGGTTCCTGGACCTCCTGGTACCCCTCAGGTAACTGCAGTTACCAAGGATTCAATGACCATTAGCTGGCATGAGCCACTTTCTGATGGTGGAAGTCCTATTTTAGGATATCACGTTGAAAGAAAAGAACGAAATGGTATTCTCTGGCAGACTGTGAGCAAAGCTTTAGTACCAGGCAACATTTTCAAATCAAGTGGACTTACAGATGGCATTGCTTATGAATTCCGGGTGATTGCGGAAAACATGGCAGGCAAAAGCAAGCCAAGCAAGCCATCAGAGCCTATGTTGGCTCTGGATCCCATCGACCCACCTGGAAAACCAATACCTCTAAATATTACAAGACACACAGTGACACTTAAATGGGCTAAGCCTGAATATACTGGGGGCTTTAAAATTACCAGTTATATTGTTGAAAAGAGAGACCTTCCTAATGGACGGTGGCTGAAGGCCAACTTCAGCAACATTTTGGAGAATGAATTTACAGTCAGTGGCCTAACAGAAGATGCTGCATATGAATTCCGTGTGATTGCCAAAAATGCTGCAGGTGCCATCAGTCCACCATCTGAGCCATCTGATGCTATCACTTGCAGGGATGACATTGAAGCACCAAAGATAAAGGTGGATGTTAAATTTAAGGACACAGTTATATTAAAAGCAGGTGAAGCATTCAGACTGGAAGCTGATGTTTCAGGCCGCCCACCTCCAACGATGGAATGGACCAAAGATGGAAAAGAGCTGGAAGGCACAGCAAAGTTAGAAATAAAAATTGCAGATTTCTCTACTCATCTGGTAAACAAAGATTCAACAAGAAGGGATAGTGGTGCCTATACCCTTACAGCAACTAATCCTGGTGGCTTTGCTAAACACATTTTCAATGTCAAAGTTCTTGACAGACCAGGCCCACCTGAAGGACCTTTGGCTGTAAGTGAAGTGACATCAGAAAAGTGTGTACTATCATGGTTGCCTCCACTGGATGATGGAGGTGCCAAAATTGATCATTACATAGTACAGAAACGTGAAACCAGCAGATTGGCATGGACAAATGTAGCCTCAGAAGTCCAAGTAACAAAGCTAAAGGTCACTAAACTCTTGAAAGGCAATGAATACATATTCCGTGTCATGGCTGTAAATAAATATGGAGTGGGAGAGCCACTGGAATCAGAGCCTGTGCTTGCAGTGAATCCTTATGGACCCCCAGATCCGCCCAAAAACCCTGAAGTGACAGCTATTACTAAAGACTCGATGGTTGTCTGCTGGGGACATCCTGATTCTGATGGTGGAAGTGAAATCATCAATTATATTGTGGAACGGCATGATAAAGCTGGCCAACGCTGGATTAAATGCAACAAAAAAACTCTTACTGATTTAAGATATAAAGTGTCTGGACTGACAGAAGGACATGAATATGAGTTCAGGATTATGGCTGAAAATGCTGCTGGAATTAGTGCACCAAGTCCTACCAGTCCATTTTACAAGGCTTGTGACACTGTGTTTAAACCCGGACCACCAGGTAACCCACGTGTTCTAGATACAAGCAGATCATCCATTTCAATCGCATGGAATAAACCTATCTATGATGGTGGTTCAGAAATCACTGGGTATATGGTTGAGATTGCCCTGCCAGAGGAAGATGAATGGCAGATTGTCACTCCACCAGCAGGACTCAAGGCAACTTCTTATACTATCACTGGCCTCACAGAGAATCAGGAATATAAGATTCGCATCTATGCCATGAATTCCGAGGGACTTGGGGAACCTGCCCTTGTTCCTGGAACTCCGAAGGCTGAAGACAGAATGCTGCCTCCAGAAATTGAACTGGATGCTGACCTGCGCAAAGTTGTTACTATAAGGGCCTGCTGCACGCTGAGACTTTTTGTTCCAATCAAAGGAAGGCCTGCACCTGAGGTGAAGTGGGCCCGGGAACATGGAGAATCTTTAGATAAAGCTAGCATTGAATCCACAAGCTCTTACACACTGCTTATTGTTGGAAATGTAAACAGATTTGACAGTGGCAAATATATACTAACTGTAGAAAATAGTTCAGGCAGCAAGTCTGCATTTGTCAACGTTAGAGTTCTTGATACACCAGGCCCTCCACAGAATCTGAAGGTAAAGGAGGTCACTAAGACATCTGTCACACTGACATGGGACCCACCTCTCCTTGATGGAGGTTCAAAAATCAAGAACTATATTGTTGAAAAGCGGGAATCAACAAGAAAAGCATATTCAACTGTTGCAACAAACTGCCACAAGACTTCCTGGAAGGTAGACCAGCTTCAAGAAGGCTGTAGCTACTATTTCAGGGTTCTCGCAGAAAATGAATATGGCATTGGGCTGCCTGCTGAAACCGCGGAATCTGTGAAAGCATCAGAACGACCTCTTCCTCCAGGAAAAATAACTTTGATGGATGTCACAAGAAATAGTGTGTCACTCTCTTGGGAGAAGCCAGAGCATGATGGAGGCAGCCGAATTCTAGGCTACATTGTGGAGATGCAGAGCAAAGGCAGTGACAAATGGGCCACGTGTGCCACAGTCAAGGTCACTGAAGCCACTATCACTGGATTAATTCAGGGTGAAGAATACTCTTTCCGTGTTTCAGCTCAGAATGAAAAGGGCATCAGTGATCCTAGACAACTGAGTGTGCCAGTGATCGCCAAAGATCTTGTCATTCCACCAGCCTTCAAACTCCTGTTCAATACTTTCACTGTACTGGCAGGTGAAGACCTAAAAGTTGATGTTCCATTCATTGGCCGCCCTACCCCAGCTGTAATCTGGCATAAAGATGATGTACCACTGAAGCAGACAACTAGAGTAAATGCAGAGAGCACAGAAAATAATTCACTACTGACAATAAAGGATGCCTGCCGAGAAGATGTTGGCCATTATGTGGTTAAACTGACTAACTCAGCTGGTGAAGCTACTGAAACCCTTAATGTTATTGTCCTTGACAAACCAGGGCCTCCAACTGGACCAGTTAAAATGGATGAAGTGACAGCTGATAGTATTACTCTTTCCTGGGGCCCACCCAAGTATGATGGTGGAAGTTCTATCAATAATTATATTGTTGAGAAACGGGACACTTCCACAACCACCTGGCAAATTGTATCAGCTACAGTTGCAAGGACAACAATAAAGGCTTGCAGACTGAAGACTGGATGTGAATATCAGTTTAGAATTGCAGCTGAAAACAGATACGGAAAGAGTACCTACCTCAATTCAGAGCCTATTGTAGCCCAATATCCATTCAAAGTTCCTGGTCCTCCTGGCACTCCACTTGTCACACTGTCCTCCAGGGACAGCATGGAAGTACAATGGAATGAGCCGGTCAGTGATGGAGGAAGCAGAGTCATTGGCTATCATCTAGAACGCAAGGAAAGAAATAGTATCCTCTGGGTTAAGTTGAATAAAACACCTATTCCTCAAACCAAGTTTAAGACAACTGGCCTTGAAGAAGGCGTTGAATATGAATTTAGAGTCTCCGCAGAGAACATCGTGGGCATTGGCAAGCCGAGTAAAGTATCAGAATGTTATGTGGCTCGTGACCCATGTGATCCACCAGGACGGCCAGAGGCAATCATTGTCACAAGGAATTCTGTGACTCTTCAGTGGAAGAAACCCACCTATGATGGTGGAAGCAAGATCACTGGTTATATTGTTGAGAAGAAAGAATTACCTGAGGGCCGTTGGATGAAAGCCAGTTTTACAAATATTATTGACACTCATTTTGAAGTAACTGGCCTAGTTGAAGATCACAGATATGAGTTCCGGGTTATAGCCCGAAATGCCGCAGGAGTGTTTAGTGAGCCTTCAGAAAGCACAGGAGCAATAACAGCTAGAGATGAGGTAGATCCACCACGAATAAGTATGGATCCAAAATACAAAGACACAATCGTGGTTCATGCTGGTGAATCATTCAAGATTGATGCAGATATTTATGGCAAACCAATACCAACCATTCAGTGGATAAAAGGTGATCAGGAGCTTTCAAACACAGCTCGATTAGAAATAAAGAGCACTGACTTTGCCACCAGTCTCAGTGTAAAAGATGCAGTACGTGTCGACAGTGGAAATTACATACTGAAGGCCAAAAATGTTGCAGGAGAGAGATCAGTTACTGTGAATGTCAAGGTACTTGATAGACCAGGGCCCCCTGAAGGACCTGTTGTTATATCAGGAGTTACAGCAGAAAAATGCACACTAGCTTGGAAACCTCCACTTCAGGATGGTGGGAGTGATATCATAAATTATATTGTGGAAAGGAGAGAAACCAGCCGCTTAGTTTGGACTGTGGTTGATGCCAATGTGCAGACTCTCAGCTGCAAGGTTACTAAGCTTCTTGAAGGCAATGAATATACTTTCCGTATAATGGCGGTAAACAAATATGGTGTTGGTGAACCTCTTGAATCTGAGCCAGTAATTGCCAAGAATCCATTTGTAGTACCAGATGCACCAAAAGCTCCAGAAGTCACAACAGTGACCAAGGACTCAATGATTGTTGTATGGGAAAGACCAGCATCTGATGGTGGCAGTGAAATTCTTGGATATGTTCTTGAGAAACGGGATAAAGAAGGCATTAGATGGACAAGATGCCATAAGCGTCTGATTGGAGAGTTGCGCCTGAGAGTAACTGGACTCTTAGAAAATCACAATTATGAGTTCAGAGTTTCTGCTGAGAATGCTGCTGGACTTAGTGAACCAAGCCCTCCTTCTGCATACCAAAAGGCTTGTGATCCTATTTATAAACCAGGACCTCCAAACAACCCCAAAGTCATAGATATTACCAGATCTTCAGTATTCCTATCTTGGAGCAAACCAATATATGATGGTGGCTGTGAAATCCAAGGATACATTGTTGAAAAATGTGATGTGAGTGTTGGTGAATGGACAATGTGCACTCCACCAACAGGAATTAATAAAACAAACATAGAAGTAGAAAAGCTGTTGGAAAAGCATGAATACAACTTCCGTATCTGTGCTATTAATAAAGCTGGAGTTGGAGAACATGCTGATGTCCCTGGACCTATTATAGTTGAAGAAAAATTGGAAGCACCAGACATTGATCTTGACCTAGAACTAAGGAAAATCATAAATATAAGGGCAGGTGGCTCCTTAAGGTTATTTGTTCCTATAAAAGGTCGTCCTACACCAGAAGTTAAATGGGGAAAGATGGATGGTGAAATTCGAGATGCAGCTATAATTGATGTCACTAGCAGTTTCACCTCTCTTGTTCTTGACAATGTCAACCGATATGATAGTGGAAAATATACACTTACATTAGAAAACAGCAGTGGAACAAAGTCTGCCTTTGTTACTGTGAGAGTTCTGGACACGCCAAGTCCACCTGTTAACCTGAAAGTCACAGAAATCACCAAAGACTCAGTATCAATTACATGGGAACCTCCTTTGTTGGATGGGGGATCCAAAATTAAAAATTACATTGTTGAGAAACGTGAAGCCACAAGAAAATCATATGCTGCTGTTGTAACTAATTGCCATAAGAATTCTTGGAAAATCGATGAGCTCCAAGAAGGTTGCAGTTATTACTTCAGAGTCACAGCTGAGAATGAGTATGGTATTGGCCTTCCTGCCCAGACTGCTGATCCAATTAAGGTTGCAGAAGTCCCACAACCTCCTGGAAAAATAACTGTGGATGATGTCACCAGAAACAGTGTCTCTCTGAGTTGGACAAAACCTGAACATGATGGTGGCAGTAAAATCATTCAGTATATTGTGGAAATGCAAGCTAAACACAGTGAGAAATGGTCAGAGTGTGCTCGAGTAAAGTCTCTTGAGGCAGTAATTTCCAATCTAACTCAAGGGGAAGAATATCTTTTTAGAGTTGTTGCTGTAAATGAAAAGGGGAGAAGTGACCCTCGGTCCCTTGCAGTTCCAATAGTTGCCAAAGATCTGGTAATTGAGCCAGATGTAAAACCTGCATTCAGTAGTTACAGTGTACAGGTTGGCCAAGATTTGAAAATAGAAGTGCCAATTTCTGGACGTCCTAAGCCAACAATTACCTGGACTAAAGATGGTCTCCCACTGAAGCAGACCACAAGAATCAATGTTACTGATTCACTGGATCTCACCACACTCAGTATTAAAGAAACTCATAAGGATGATGGTGGACAATATGGAATCATGGTTGCCAATATTGTTGGTCAGAAGACAGCATCCATCGAAATTGTAACTCTAGATAAACCTGATCCTCCAAAAGGACCTGTTAAATTTGATGATGTCAGTGCTGAAAGTATTACATTATCTTGGAACCCTCCATTATATACAGGGGGCTGCCAAATCACCAATTACATTGTTCAGAAAAGAGATACAACCACCACAGTATGGGATGTTGTTTCTGCTACTGTTGCTAGAACTACACTCAAAGTGACCAAACTGAAAACTGGTACAGAATACCAATTTAGAATATTTGCCGAAAACAGATATGGACAAAGTTTTGCCTTAGAATCTGATCCAATTGTAGCTCAATATCCCTACAAAGAACCAGGCCCTCCAGGTACACCATTTGCCACAGCCATTTCCAAAGACTCCATGGTCATACAGTGGCATGAACCAGTCAACAATGGTGGAAGCCCAGTCATAGGTTACCACCTGGAGAGAAAAGAAAGAAATAGTATTTTGTGGACAAAGGTCAACAAAACTATTATTCATGACACCCAATTCAAAGCACAGAATCTTGAAGAAGGCATTGAATATGAATTCAGAGTGTATGCAGAAAATATTGTTGGTATAGGCAAAGCAAGCAAGAATTCTGAATGCTATGTAGCCAGAGATCCCTGTGACCCACCAGGAACCCCAGAACCAATAATGGTTAAAAGAAATGAAATCACTTTACAGTGGACCAAACCTGTATATGATGGTGGAAGTATGATTACAGGCTACATTGTAGAGAAACGTGATTTGCCTGATGGTCGTTGGATGAAAGCCAGCTTTACAAATGTCATTGAAACTCAATTTACTGTGTCAGGTCTTACTGAAGATCAAAGATACGAATTCAGAGTCATTGCAAAGAATGCTGCTGGTGCAATAAGTAAACCCTCTGACAGTACTGGACCAATAACTGCCAAGGATGAAGTTGAACTTCCAAGAATTTCAATGGATCCAAAATTCAGAGACACAATTGTGGTAAATGCTGGAGAAACATTCAGACTTGAGGCTGATGTCCATGGAAAGCCCCTACCTACCATTGAGTGGTTAAGAGGAGATAAGGAAATTGAAGAATCTGCTAGATGTGAAATAAAGAACACAGATTTCAAGGCTTTACTTATTGTAAAAGATGCAATTAGAATTGATGGTGGGCAGTATATTTTAAGAGCTTCCAATGTTGCAGGTTCTAAGTCATTCCCAGTAAATGTAAAAGTATTAGATAGACCAGGACCTCCAGAAGGGCCAGTCCAGGTTACTGGAGTCACTTCTGAAAAATGCTCTTTAACATGGTCTCCACCACTTCAAGATGGTGGCAGTGACATTTCTCACTATGTTGTTGAAAAGCGAGAAACCAGTCGACTTGCCTGGACTGTTGTTGCTTCAGAAGTTGTGACCAATTCTCTGAAAGTTACCAAACTCTTAGAAGGTAATGAATATATTTTCCGTATAATGGCTGTCAACAAATATGGTGTTGGAGAGCCTTTGGAATCTGCACCAGTACTAATGAAAAATCCATTTGTGCTTCCTGGACCACCAAAAAGCTTGGAAGTCACAAATATTGCCAAAGACTCCATGACCGTCTGTTGGAACCGTCCAGATAGTGATGGTGGAAGTGAGATTATTGGTTACATTGTAGAGAAAAGAGACAGAAGTGGCATTCGATGGATAAAATGTAATAAACGCCGCATTACAGATTTGCGTCTAAGAGTGACAGGATTAACAGAAGATCATGAGTATGAATTCAGGGTCTCTGCAGAAAATGCTGCTGGAGTTGGGGAACCAAGTCCAGCTACAGTTTATTATAAAGCCTGTGATCCTGTGTTCAAACCTGGCCCACCCACCAATGCACACATTGTAGACACCACCAAAAATTCAATCACACTTGCCTGGGGTAAACCCATCTATGACGGTGGCAGTGAGATCCTGGGATACGTAGTAGAAATCTGTAAAGCAGATGAAGAAGAATGGCAAATAGTTACTCCACAGACTGGCCTAAGAGTCACTCGATTTGAAATTTCAAAACTCACTGAACACCAAGAGTATAAAATACGAGTCTGTGCCCTCAACAAAGTTGGTTTAGGTGAGGCTACATCAGTTCCTGGTACTGTGAAACCAGAAGATAAACTTGAAGCACCTGAACTTGACCTTGACTCTGAATTAAGAAAAGGAATTGTTGTAAGAGCTGGTGGATCTGCCAGAATTCACATTCCATTCAAAGGTCGTCCAACGCCTGAGATCACTTGGTCTCGAGAGGAAGGTGAATTCACAGATAAGGTCCAAATTGAAAAGGGAGTAAACTATACCCAACTATCAATAGATAACTGTGATAGAAATGATGCTGGAAAATACATTCTTAAGTTGGAAAACAGCAGTGGATCAAAGTCTGCTTTTGTAACTGTGAAAGTTCTTGACACTCCAGGACCACCACAGAATTTGGCAGTCAAAGAAGTGAGAAAAGATTCTGTCCTCCTGGTATGGGAGCCACCCATCATTGATGGAGGTGCAAAGGTCAAGAACTATGTGATTGACAAACGTGAGTCAACCAGAAAAGCATATGCTAATGTGAGTAGTAAATGCAGCAAAACAAGTTTTAAAGTAGAAAATCTTACAGAAGGAGCCATTTATTACTTCAGAGTCATGGCTGAAAATGAATTTGGAGTTGGTGTTCCAGTGGAAACTGTTGATGCCGTGAAAGCTGCTGAACCTCCTTCCCCACCAGGAAAGGTTACACTCACTGATGTGTCCCAGACCAGTGCATCACTTATGTGGGAGAAACCTGAACATGATGGTGGTAGCAGAATCCTGGGGTATGTTGTTGAAATGCAGCCCAAAGGAACTGAAAAATGGAGCATTGTGGCCGAATCCAAAGTTTGTAATGCAGTTGTTACTGGTTTGAGTTCTGGACAAGAATATCAGTTCCGTGTCAAAGCTTATAATGAGAAAGGAAAAAGCGATCCAAGAGTGCTGGGTGTTCCTGTCATAGCCAAGGACTTGACTATACAGCCTAGTTTAAAGTTACCATTTAACACATATAGTATCCAAGCTGGAGAAGATCTTAAAATAGAAATTCCAGTTATAGGCCGACCAAGACCTAACGTTTCTTGGGTCAAAGATGGTGAGCCTCTTAAACAGACAACAAGAGTAAACGTTGAAGAAACAGCTACCTCAACTGTTTTTCACATTAAAGAAGGTAACAAAGATGACTTTGGAAAATACACCGTAACAGCAACAAATAGTGCAGGCACAGCAACAGAAAATCTCAGTGTCATCGTTTTAGAAAAGCCTGGACCTCCAGTTGGCCCAGTTCGGTTTGATGAAGTTAGTGCAGACTTTGTAGTCATATCTTGGGAACCTCCAGCCTATACTGGTGGCTGCCAAATAAGCAACTACATTGTAGAGAAGCGAGATACAACCACCACCACTTGGCACATGGTATCAGCAACAGTTGCAAGAACAACAATTAAAATAACCAAACTGAAAACAGGCACGGAGTACCAGTTTAGAATTTTTGCTGAAAACAGGTATGGAAAAAGTGCCCCACTGGATTCTAAGCCAGTTATTGTACAGTATCCATTTAAAGAACCTGGACCACCTGGAACTCCTTTTGTGACATCAATCTCAAAAGATCAAATGCTTGTGCAATGGCATGAGCCAGTTCATGATGGAGGCACCAAAATTATTGGCTACCATCTTGAACAGAAAGAAAAGAACAGTATTTTATGGGTCAAGTTAAATAAGACCCCCATTCAGGACACCAAATTCAAAACAACTGGGCTTGATGAGGGCCTTGAGTATGAGTTCAAAGTTTCTGCTGAAAATATTGTTGGCATTGGCAAGCCTAGCAAAGTGTCGGAATGCTTTATTGCTCGTGATCCATGTGACCCACCTGGTCGCCCTGAAGCCATTGTTATTACAAGAAACAATGTCACACTGAAATGGAAGAAACCTGCCTATGATGGTGGTAGCAAAATAACAGGTTACCTTGTAGAAAAGAAAGATCTACCTGATGGCCGCTGGATGAAAGCCAGCTTTACCAACGTATTAGAAACTGAATTTACAGTGAGTGGACTTGTAGAAGACCAAAGATATGAATTTAGAGTAATTGCAAGAAATGCAGCTGGAAACTTTAGTGAACCATCTGAAAGTAGTGGTGCCATTACTGCAAGAGATGAAATTGATGCACCAAATGCCTCCCTGGATCCAAAATATAAAGATGTCATCGTTGTTCATGCAGGAGAGACTTTTGTTCTTGAAGCCGACATCCGTGGCAAACCTATACCTGATGTTGTTTGGTCAAAAGATGGAAAAGAACTTGAAGAAACAGCTGCTAGAATGGAAATTAAATCTACTATTCAGAAAACAACTCTTGTTGTCAAAGACTGTATACGGACTGATGGAGGACAATATATTCTGAAACTCAGCAATGTTGGTGGTACAAAGTCTATACCCATCACTGTAAAGGTACTTGACAGGCCAGGGCCTCCTGAAGGGCCTCTGAAAGTTACTGGAGTTACTGCAGAAAAATGTTACCTGGCATGGAACCCACCTTTGCAAGATGGTGGTGCTAATATTTCACATTACATCATTGAAAAGAGGGAGACAAGCCGACTCTCTTGGACCCAGGTTTCAACTGAGGTACAGGCCCTTAACTACAAAGTTACTAAACTTCTTCCTGGTAATGAGTACATTTTCCGTGTCATGGCTGTGAATAAATACGGAATTGGAGAGCCCTTGGAATCTGGGCCTGTTACAGCCTGTAATCCTTATAAGCCACCAGGTCCTCCTTCAACACCTGAAGTCTCAGCAATCACCAAAGATTCTATGGTAGTAACATGGGCACGCCCAGTAGACGATGGAGGTGCTGAAATTGAGGGCTACATTCTTGAAAAACGAGATAAGGAAGGCGTTAGATGGACCAAGTGCAACAAGAAAACATTAACGGATCTCCGGCTCAGGGTAACTGGTCTTACCGAAGGCCATTCCTATGAATTCAGAGTTGCTGCTGAAAATGCAGCTGGTGTGGGAGAACCTAGTGAGCCATCTGTTTTCTACCGTGCATGTGATGCCTTGTATCCACCAGGTCCACCAAGCAATCCAAAAGTGACGGACACTTCCAGATCTTCTGTCTCCCTGGCATGGAGTAAGCCAATTTATGATGGTGGTGCACCTGTTAAAGGCTATGTTGTAGAGGTCAAAGAAGCTGCTGCAGATGAATGGACAACTTGTACTCCACCAACAGGACTACAAGGAAAGCAGTTCACAGTGACCAAGCTTAAAGAAAATACTGAATATAACTTCCGTATTTGTGCCATCAATTCTGAAGGTGTAGGTGAACCTGCAACTCTACCTGGTTCAGTGGTTGCTCAGGAGAGGATAGAGCCACCAGAAATAGAACTCGATGCTGATCTCAGAAAGGTGGTCGTTCTGCGTGCAAGTGCTACTTTACGCTTATTTGTCACTATCAAAGGTCGACCAGAACCCGAAGTTAAATGGGAAAAGGCAGAAGGCATTCTCACTGATAGGGCTCAGATCGAGGTGACCAGCTCATTTACAATGTTGGTGATTGATAATGTTACCAGATTTGACAGTGGTCGGTATAATCTGACATTAGAAAATAATAGTGGCTCCAAAACAGCTTTTGTTAACGTCAGAGTTCTTGACTCACCAAGTGCTCCTGTGAATTTGACTGTAAGAGAAGTGAAGAAAGACTCAGTGACGTTGTCCTGGGAACCGCCACTTATTGATGGTGGAGCTAAGATTACAAACTACATTGTTGAAAAACGAGAAACTACAAGAAAAGCCTATGCTACTGTTACAAACAATTGCACTAAAACTACTTTCAGAATTGAAAATCTACAAGAAGGATGTTCTTACTACTTCCGAGTCTTGGCTTCCAATGAATATGGGATTGGTTTGCCAGCTGAAACAACGGAACCCGTTAAAGTGTCTGAACCACCCCTCCCACCTGGAAGAGTAACTCTTGTTGATGTGACCCGTAATACAGCTACAATTAAGTGGGAGAAACCAGAAAGTGATGGTGGCAGCAAAATTATTGGTTATGTGGTTGAAATGCAGACTAAAGGGAGTGAAAAGTGGAGCACCTGCACACAAGTTAAGACTCTAGAAGCAACTATATCTGGCTTAACTGCAGGAGAAGAGTATGTCTTCAGGGTAGCTGCAGTTAATGAAAAGGGAAGAAGTGATCCAAGACAACTTGGAGTGCCAGTAATTGCAAGGGATATTGAAATAAAGCCTTCAGTTGAGCTTCCTTTCCATACTTTCAACGTAAAGGCTAGAGAACAACTTAAGATTGATGTGCCATTCAAAGGAAGACCTCAAGCTACTGTGAACTGGAAAAAAGATGGTCAGACTCTTAAAGAGACAACTAGAGTCAATGTTTCTTCTTCAAAGACTGTAACATCACTATCTATTAAGGAAGCTTCAAGGGAAGACGTTGGAACTTATGAATTATGTGTTTCAAACAGTGCTGGATCCATAACAGTTCCTCTTACTATAATTGTCCTTGACAGACCGGGACCTCCAGGTCCTATACGTATTGATGAAGTTAGTTGTGACAACATAACCATTTCTTGGAATCCTCCAGAATATGATGGTGGCTGCCAAATTAGCAATTACATCGTTGAAAAGAGAGAAACCACCTCTACAACATGGCACACAGTTTCACAAGCAGTTGCAAGAACATCCATTAAAATAGTTCGCCTGACCACAGGAAGTGAGTATCAGTTCCGTGTTTGTGCAGAAAACCGCTATGGAAAGAGCTCCTACAGTGAATCTTCAGCTGTTGTTGCAGAGTATCCATTCAGTCCCCCAGGTCCTCCTGGTACTCCTAAAGTTGTGCATGCCACAAAATCTACCATGCTTGTAACCTGGCAAGTGCCAGTTAATGATGGAGGAAGTCGAGTAATTGGCTATCATCTTGAGTATAAAGAAAGAAGCAGCATTCTTTGGTCAAAAGCAAACAAAATCCTCATTGCTGATACTCAGATGAAAGTCTCCGGCCTTGATGAAGGACTGATGTATGAGTATCGTGTATATGCTGAGAATATTGCTGGAATCGGTAAATGCAGTAAATCTTGTGAACCAGTCCCTGCAAGAGATCCTTGTGACCCTCCTGGACAACCTGAAGTCACAAATATCACAAGAAAATCAGTGTCACTTAAATGGTCTAAACCACATTATGATGGTGGAGCTAAGATCACAGGATACATTGTTGAACGCAGAGAACTACCAGATGGCCGGTGGCTGAAGTGCAATTATACTAATATACAGGAAACACACTTTGAAGTAACTGAACTTACTGAAGATCAGCGTTATGAATTCCGGGTTTTTGCAAAGAATGCTGCTGACTCAATTAGTGAGCCATCTGAATCCACTGGGCCTATTACAGTTAAAGATGATGTTGAGGCTCCAAGAATTATGATGGATGTCAAGTTCCGAGATGTTATTGTTGTCAAAGCTGGAGAGGTCCTTAAGATAAATGCAGACATTGCAGGGCGACCTCTGCCAGTAATTTCCTGGGCCAAGGATGGTGTAGAAATTGAAGAAAGAGCAAGAACAGAAATCATCTCAACAGACAATCATACTTTGTTAACAGTTAAAGACTGTGTAAGACGAGACACTGGGCAATATGTACTAACACTGAAGAATGTTGCTGGCACTCGGTCTGTGGCCATTAATTGCAAGGTACTTGATAAGCCTGGTCCACCAGCAGGACCACTTGAAATAAATGGCCTCACTGCTGAGAAATGCTCTCTTTCCTGGGGACGCCCCCAAGAAGATGGTGGTGCAGATATCGACTATTACATCGTAGAAAAACGTGAAACAAGCCACCTTGCATGGACAATATGTGAAGGAGAGTTACGGACGACATCCTGTAAAGTAACCAAGTTACTCAAAGGCAATGAATATATATTTAGAGTAACTGGTGTTAATAAATACGGTGTTGGTGAGCCCCTAGAGAGTGTAGCTGTAAAGGCACTAGATCCATTTACAGTTCCAAGTCCACCCACATCTTTGGAAATTACTTCTGTGACGAAAGAATCTATGACGCTTTGCTGGTCAAGACCTGAGAGTGATGGAGGTAGTGAAATATCTGGATATATAATTGAAAGACGAGAGAAAAATAGCCTAAGATGGGTGCGTGTAAACAAAAAACCAGTTTATGATCTGAGAGTGAAATCAACAGGACTTCGGGAAGGATGTGAATATGAATATCGTGTTTATGCAGAAAATGCTGCTGGCCTAAGTCTTCCAAGTGAAACCTCTCCCTTAATTCGAGCAGAAGATCCAGTGTTCCTACCATCTCCTCCATCTAAACCCAAAATTGTGGACTCAGGCAAGACAACTATAACTATTGCCTGGGTTAAGCCACTGTTTGATGGTGGGGCCCCAATAACTGGATATACTGTTGAATACAAAAAATCTGATGACACTGACTGGAAAACTGCCATTCAGAGCTTACGAGGGACAGAATATACAATAAGTGGACTAACAACAGGAGCTGAATATATTTTCAGAGTAAGATCTGTCAATAAGGTTGGTGCTAGTGACCCCAGTGATAGCTCCGACCCTCAGATAGCAAAGGAAAGAGAAGAAGAACCTGTATTTGATATTGACAGTGAAATGAGAAAGACATTGATTGTCAAGGCCGGTGCCTCATTTACCATGACTGTGCCTTTCCGAGGAAGACCAGTACCCAATGTCTTGTGGAGTAAGCCAGACACTGACCTCCGCACTAGAGCTTATATTGATACCACAGACTCTCGTACCTCACTGACCATTGAAAATGCCAACAGAAATGACTCTGGAAAGTATACATTAACAATTCAGAATGTTTTGAGTGCTGCTTCACTGACCTTAGTTGTCAAAGTTTTAGATTCCCCGGGTCCTCCAACCAACATTGCTGTGCAAGATGTAACCAAAGAGTCTGCAGTGTTATCCTGGGATGTTCCTGAAAACGATGGTGGAGCACCAGTGAAGAATTACCACATAGAAAAACGTGAGGCCAGCAAGAAAGCATGGGTCTCTGTGACCAACAACTGTAACCGCCTCTCCTACAAAGTTACCAATTTACAAGAAGGAGCTATCTACTACTTCAGAGTCTCTGGAGAAAATGAGTTTGGTGTTGGTATACCAGCTGAAACAAAGGAAGGAGTAAAAATAACAGGTATGTTTTAAGAATAAGGAAATTCTACATAGCCACATTAATTTTGCTAGAATAGTGTGAATCATTCTAATTAGTCATTATTTCATCTTAAATGCTTTTGGGTTCACACTCTTCACACCCCAGACTATTCATACTATGGCACAAAATGGAATCTCTAGTGAAGAAAGTCTTTCGTTGATTAAAAAAACAGAAATTTACATAGCTAAAATTGGACAATTTACGTTGAATTTAAGTATTATTGAATCTAACTGTATGTATATGTAGGTATACATGCTTATATATACACAGATTTTACATATATAGTGTGTTTGACACATATATGTATGTGCATGTGTGTGTGTACAGAAATTGTATCATAAAGTTTTTTAAAAGATTTTTCATCTTGTTCCTCTTTTTTATACCCTTGATTAATTTGGAGTAAATGTTATCACTTAATCTGGTCATTTTACCCTTAATTTGGATTTGAATGCTATAGCATGTAATGACATAGCTTGTGGGAGCCTTGGTTGGCTCAGAAGCAAAATGGGTCATGTAAAAAGGAAGGAAGACTAAAATCAAAGTAAAAATATGGTCTTCATTTAAAAGTTTTCTTTTGACGATACATGAAGAATGCACATTAAAAAAGTTGTAATAATTATTCACTTTCTTTTGATGCTTTGTTTTCTTAGAAAAACCAAGCCCACCTGAAAAACTTGGAGTAACAAGTACATCCAAAGACAGTGTTTCCCTGACCTGGCTGAAGCCTGAACATGATGGCGGAAGCAGAATTGTACACTATGTTGTTGAAGCACTAGAAAAAGGACAGAAAAACTGGGTTAAATGTGCAGTGGCAAAGTCAACCCATCACGTTGTTTCTGGTCTGAGGGAGAATTCTGAATACTTTTTCCGGGTGTTTGCTGAAAATCAAGCTGGCCTGAGTGACCCGAGAGAGCTTCTGCTTCCTGTTCTTATTAAGGAGCAACTAGGTATGTCTAATTTTGTGTAGAAGCAAAATTTGAAATTATTTGCATTGATTTATGTTAATTTTCAGAAACCCTTTTTCACTTTCACTTTCTGTACTCATTTTTCAGAACCACCTGAAATTGATATGAAGAATTTCCCAAGTCACACCGTATATGTTAGAGCTGGTTCAAACCTTAAAGTTGACATTCCAATCTCTGGAAAACCACTTCCCAAAGTGACCTTATCAAGAGATGGTGTCCCCGTGAAGGCAACCATGAGATTTAATACCGAAATTACTGCTGAGAACCTGACCATCAATCTCAAAGAAAGTGTTACAGCTGATGCTGGGAGATATGAGATCACTGCTGCCAACTCCAGTGGTACAACCAAAGCTTTCATTAACATTGTTGTGCTGGACAGGCCTGGTCCTCCAACTGGCCCTGTCGTTATTAGTGATATAACTGAAGAAAGTGTGACTCTCAAGTGGGAGCCACCTAAGTATGATGGTGGAAGTCAAGTTACCAACTACATTCTACTTAAAAGAGAAACCAGTACTGCAGTATGGACTGAAGTGTCTGCAACAGTTGCAAGAACCATGATGAAAGTCATGAAACTGACCACAGGAGAAGAATACCAATTCCGCATCAAGGCAGAAAACCGCTTTGGCATCAGTGATCACATAGATTCAGCTTGTGTGACTGTCAAACTACCATACAGTAAGTTGTCCAACTTTTCAAAGATCCAGGTTTTCTTTTACCATAAATGTGTTATTATCTGTACTAATCTATAGGATTTCTCTCTTTTGTAGCAACGCCTGGACCACCATCTACACCATGGGTCACTAATGTTACTCGAGAAAGCATCACTGTGGGCTGGCATGAACCAGTGTCAAATGGAGGCACTGCAGTCATAGGCTATCACCTGGAAATGAAAGACAGAAACAGTATTTTATGGCAAAAAGCCAACAAACTGGTCATCCGCACAACTCACTTCAAAGTCACAACAATCAGTGCTGGACTTATTTATGAATTCAGGGTGTATGCAGAAAATGCTGCTGGAGTTGGAAAACCCAGCCATCCTTCTGAACCAGTCTTGGCAATTGATGCTTGTGGTATGTATTTGTCATGGGAAGGGCAGTTCTGATAACAGAAATGCAAATCTTACTTCTGCGAAGCCAGATATTATGATATAAGTGCCGCTAATCTGCTTCTCTTATTATCACAGAACCCCCAAGAAATGTTCGTATCACTGATATTTCAAAGAACTCTGTCAGCCTTTCATGGCAACAACCAGCTTTTGATGGAGGTAGCAAGATTACAGGCTACATTGTTGAAAGACGTGACCTTCCAGATGGCAGATGGACGAAGGCCAGCTTCACCAATGTTACTGAAACTCAATTCACCATCTCTGGCTTGACTCAGAATTCCCAGTATGAATTCCGTGTCTTTGCTAGGAATGCTGTTGGTTCCATTAGCAATCCATCTGAGGCTGTAGGGCCCATTACTTGCATCGATTCTTATGGTAAGCATGCTTAGCACTTTGAATCACAATAGCTGTTTAACTCAGTATTTCCCCGTACCTTTTCCTGGTTCTGATCTATAGAATAACTTTTATTCTGTGCCTTAATGAGGTTTTTGGAAGAACTTATGAACTAGCTGGGAGTCTGAGGAAAATTCCTTAAATACCTTTCCAGCCCTCTTGACTTGACTGTAAAGTGAGAGATTTAGACCTCAGGATATCTACGGGCCTTTCCAACTTCAACCTTTTATGATTGTTTGATTGTACGAGTTGGCGCTTTCATTCTATTTTAAATTATCAGAGTCAATAATTAAACCATGGTTGAGTTCCTAGAGAATATTGCTCTTAAATAGGCCACAGACTAAACAGAGACTTCGTTTTTGGTGTGTTTTGTTTGTTTGTTTGTTTGTTTGTTTGTTTGTTTTTTGAGACAGAGTCTCACTCTGTCGCCCAGGCTGGAGTGCAGTGGTACGGTCTTGGCTCACTGCAACCTCCGCCTCCTGGGCTCAAACGATTCTCGTGCCTCAGCCACCTGAGTAGCTGGGATTACAGGCATGCCCCACCACACCCCGCTAATTTTTTTGTATTTTTAGTAGGGACGGAGTTTCACCATGTTGGCCAGGCTGGTCTCAACCTCCTGACCTCAGGTGATCCACCCACCTCGGCCTCCCAAAGTGTTGGGATTACAGGTGTGAGCCACCACACCTGGCCTAAACACAGACTTTGATGATGATAGTATTAGCAGCAGCCAACATTTATTAATTTTCATGAATTCTTTCCCTTAGTTCTCATAGCCCTCATATTAGCCATCTTATAGAAGGGAAACCGAGGCTGAGAGTGCTTCTGTAACTTCCCTGTTAGGGATGGAGTGGGAATTCAAACAGACAGACTTCAGAGCCCTCTCTATCATGGTTAGTCCAAAATGCATATTCTTCACCATTCTGGAAAATAAGTGGCACATTCAACTCAACAATGTTTTGAAAATTAAAACGTCATGAGAGTCAGGTATCCTGTGACACTTTTCCTAAAAGATCTCCAATCGCTAAGAGAAAATTGAGCCACTATAGTGTCTGGGCAAAAGTATCCACTCCCATCTTCATGCTGAGAATCTCAGGGCTGTTCTTTATTTATGAATCAGGCTTTGTGGATACTGCATCAGTGTTTATGAGTATGAAGCAAGTCAAATTTAGTTCTCTTTCTTGATCATTCCAAACAACATGGCAGAAAATCTGTCCAGTGAGTATGTAGTTCTGTGGGTAGAGAATTCAGACTTTAGGGGTCTGACATGAACCATCCACACTTGGATATCAGTTAACTGGGAAGGAAAAAGAAAAAGAATAGGAGGTGCTTAGAAGAAAAGGGAAAAAAAGCTAAAGTGAAAGAAAATGTTTAACAGCTTCTTCCATGATGTTCTCACTATCATATCCCATTTCATCACTGGAATAAAGCAACTAATGGACTTTAAAACACATGTAAAAGGTGCTTAAGTCCCTGCACAACTCACAGTCTTTCTACCCCATCTGAGATAGAAGAGTGGCCTATAAATTTTTAATTTTTAAATAATAATTGCATAGAATTATAATGACGGGGTGTGTGTATAATTTAATAACGGCCAATGACCTTACTTTAAGGTTGGTGCAACTATTTTTTTCCATCCTTATAATATTTTAAATATTTCTCATCTGTTTTTCTTGCAGGTGGTCCTGTAATTGACTTGCCTCTAGAATATACAGAAGTTGTCAAATACAGAGCAGGTACATCTGTGAGGCTCAGAGCTGGCATTTCTGGCAAACCTGCGCCTACAATTGAGTGGTATAAAGATGATAAAGAATTACAAACCAATGCACTGGTTTGTGTCGAAAATACCACGGACCTCGCATCTATACTCATCAAAGATGCCGATCGCCTTAACAGTGGATGCTATGAATTAAAACTAAGGAATGCCATGGGCTCAGCCTCAGCCACCATCAGAGTACAGATCCTTGGTAGGCGCTGAATACAGACCACTGTCATATTACATTTGCCTAAAGCTTAGTAATTTTGAGTAAGTAGGCTTTAAAGTACTAACATTGTGTTTTGTCCTTTCATTGATAGACAAACCGGGCCCACCTGGTGGACCAATTGAATTTAAGACTGTAACTGCTGAAAAGATCACCATTCTCTGGCGGCCTCCAGCTGATGATGGTGGTGCAAAAATCACCCACTACATTGTGGAAAAGCGTGAGACAAGCCGCGTTGTGTGGTCTATGGTGTCTGAACATTTGGAAGAGTGCATCATTACAACCACCAAAATTATCAAAGGAAATGAATATATCTTCCGGGTCCGAGCCGTCAACAAATATGGAATTGGCGAGCCACTGGAATCTGATTCCGTTGTAGCCAAGAACGCATTTGGTGAGACATGATTTCATTAGAAAATTGAAATATGAAAAATTTAAAAATAAACTATGCTAACCTGTGCTTATGCTTTAATTTTCTTTTGTATAACACCTGTCTCATTACCATCCTTTTCACAAGGTGAAAAATATAAAAAATAAAATTAATATTCTTGGAAAGAATGTGAACATCAAAGGTACAATTTATCAGTAATGTTGATTCTTGTACCTTGTTTTCCTTTCCTTTCTAAATAGTCACACCTGGGCCACCAGGCATACCAGAAGTGACAAAGATTACCAAGAATTCGATGACTGTTGTATGGAGCAGGCCAATTGCAGATGGTGGTAGTGATATAAGTGGCTATTTCCTTGAAAAACGAGATAAGAAGAGTCTAGGATGGTTTAAAGTACTAAAAGAGACTATCCGTGACACCAGACAAAAAGTAACAGGACTCACAGAAAACAGTGACTATCAATACAGAGTTTGTGCTGTAAACGCTGCTGGACAGGGTCCATTTTCTGAACCATCTGAATTCTACAAAGCTGCTGATCCTATTGGTAAGTGCTCATACCTGCAGCATCTTCACCTGTGTCTTCTAAATTTGCCTGTGTGACTAAATTATACATGATTGTGTAATTATTTTATTGTGAATGGCCATTCCAGATCCTCCAGGTCCACCTGCTAAGATAAGAATTGCAGATTCAACCAAGTCATCCATCACCCTTGGCTGGAGTAAGCCTGTCTATGATGGGGGCAGTGCTGTTACTGGGTATGTTGTTGAAATGAGACAAGGAGAGGAAGAGGAATGGACCATTGTCTCTACCAAAGGAGAGGTCAGAACTACAGAATATGTGGTATCCAACCTGAAACCTGGAGTCAATTACTACTTCCGGGTATCTGCTGTAAACTGTGCTGGACAAGGAGAACCTATAGAAATGACGGAACCTGTACAAGCTAAAGATATACTTGGTATGTACCTACTGGTGTGATTATGTTTTTTTATAAGCATACTTCCAGGAAATCACTTGTTTTTTACTTTTAAAATTCACTGTATATATCCATTTTATGCCTACAGAGGCACCAGAGATTGACCTGGATGTGGCTCTCAGAACTTCTGTTATTGCCAAAGCTGGTGAAGATGTACAAGTGCTGATTCCCTTTAAAGGTAGACCTCCACCTACTGTCACGTGGAGAAAAGATGAGAAGAATCTTGGCAGTGATGCCAGATACAGCATTGAAAACACTGATTCATCTTCATTACTCACCATTCCTCAAGTTACTCGCAATGATACAGGAAAATATATTCTCACAATAGAAAACGGAGTTGGTGAACCTAAGTCTTCAACTGTGAGTGTTAAAGTGCTTGACACACCAGCTGCCTGTCAGAAACTACAGGTTAAACATGTTTCTCGAGGCACAGTCACTTTGCTCTGGGATCCTCCTCTCATCGATGGAGGATCTCCAATAATTAATTACATAATTGAAAAGAGAGATGCCACCAAGAGAACATGGTCTGTCGTGTCACACAAATGTTCTAGCACATCCTTCAAGCTAACAGAGTTGTCAGAGAAGACTCCATTCTTCTTCAGAGTTCTTGCAGAAAATGAAATTGGAATTGGGGAACCCTGTGAAACTACGGAGCCAGTGAAGGCTGCTGAAGTACCAGCTCCTATACGTGATCTCTCAGTGAAAGACTCAACAAAGACATCTGTCATCCTCAGCTGGACCAAACCTGACTTTGATGGTGGTAGCGTCATCACAGAATATGTTGTAGAAAGGAAAGGTAAAGGTGAACAGACATGGTCCCACGCTGGCATAAGTAAGGCATGTGAAATTGAGGTTAGCCAACTTAAGGAGCAGTCAGTCCTGGAGTTCAGAGTGTTTGCCAAAAATGAGAAAGGACTGAGTGATCCTGTCACTATTGGGCCAATTACAGTGAAAGAACTTATTATTACACCTGAAGTTGACCTGTCAGATATCCCTGGGGCACAAGTCACTGTGAGAATTGGGCACAATGTGCACCTTGAATTACCTTATAAAGGAAAGCCCAAACCATCCATCAGTTGGCTGAAAGATGGCTTGCCACTGAAAGAAACTGAATTTGTTCGTTTCAGTAAAACCGAAAACAAAATTACTTTGAGTATTAAGAATGCCAAGAAGGAGCATGGAGGAAAATACACTGTTATTCTTGATAATGCAGTGTGTAGAAATGCAGTCCCCATTACAGTCATCACCCTTGGCCCACCATCAAAACCCAAAGGACCCATTCGATTTGATGAAATCAAGGCTGATAGTGTCATCCTGTCATGGGATGTACCTGAAGATGATGGAGGAGGAGAAATTACTTGTTACAGCATCGAGAAGCGGGAAACTTCACAAACTAATTGGAAGATGGTGTGTTCAAGTGTTGCCAGGACGACTTTCAAAGTTCCTAATCTAGTCAAAGACGCTGAGTACCAGTTTAGAGTGAGGGCAGAAAACAGATACGGAGTCAGCCAACCACTTGTCTCAAACATTATTGTGGCAAAACACCAGTTCAGGATTCCTGGTCCCCCAGGAAAGCCAGTTATATACAATGTGACTTCTGATGGCATGTCACTAACTTGGGATGCTCCAGTTTATGATGGTGGTTCAGAAGTTACTGGATTCCACGTTGAAAAGAAAGAAAGAAATAGCATCCTCTGGCAAAAAGTTAATACATCACCAATCTCTGGAAGAGAATATAGAGCTACTGGACTGGTAGAAGGTCTGGATTACCAATTCCGTGTATATGCTGAAAATTCTGCTGGCCTAAGCTCACCTAGTGACCCAAGCAAATTTACCTTAGCTGTTTCTCCAGTAGGTAAGTGATTATTATTCAAATACATTTAGTTTAACAATTGAACATATTAGAAACAAATATATCAAAGAATGCTTTTCTTCTCTGTATCACCTTCTTACATATCTTCTTGTCACTAGAGAACTGGTGATGTAAAGCAAGAGGAATGATTTTAAATCAGTCTAATAAACTAATTTGAAGTTCATTTTAAAGACTATGAAATGGAAAGTTGAAATTAATGACCAAAATGAGTTTGGGAGATTGAATAAATTATTTATTATAAAAATTTTATTTATTAAAATTATTGAATAATTTTATTTTTCTTCCATGGATGATTAAGACCTGGTTACAAATGTAATGATGCATTTACCTTCCTTATAATATTTTAGACCCACCTGGCACTCCTGACTACATTGATGTCACCCGGGAAACCATCACACTTAAATGGAACCCACCATTGCGTGATGGAGGCAGTAAGATTGTGGCCTATAGCATTGAGAAACGGCAAGGAAATGAACGCTGGGTGAGATGCAACTTTACTGACGTCAGTGAATGTCAGTACACAGTTACAGGACTCAGTCCTGGGGATCGCTATGAGTTCAGAATAATTGCAAGAAATGCTGTTGGAACTATAAGCCCGCCCTCACAGTCTTCTGGCATTATTATGACAAGAGATGAAAATGGTAAGCATTTACAACTTATTTCCAATGAGACTAAGCGCATTCACATTTTTAAAAACCACATTTGGCCTCTGGCCTGTAAAATGGGAACAGAAACAAATTACCCGAAGTTGCTAAGTGAATGAATTATGTCTTTCTACCTTTCAGATGAAAAGAAGAAAAAAGTAATTGGCATCAATTATTTTTACCATGTCTATTATTTCACTCCATTCCCACGTAAAGAGCATGCAGCAAGTTGGAATGAGTTTTTAGCTTTGTAATTTTCGCCACTTACAGTAAATAAAGAAAAAAGGTTCTCAAGGATAACTGTCCATCTTCACTGAAGTTATTAAAATACAACATACATCCAACAATACAATCATTCCCTTGCTTGAATGCAGCTAATGGCCTCTTAAAAGAACTTGTTTGTGCAGCAGTATTAGGAAGTAAATGATCTGTAAATGTTTCACTTTTCTTTTTACAAACAGCAATGCAAAACTAAAAACATGACAGGCATTACAAAGGGAATAATAATAGGCAAATATCTAACCCCATAGTCCAAATTCTCAATTATCGATCCTACTTTCAAAATAGCCTTTGGTAGCACAGTACAAGTCATTACTCTTCCAGGCCTTGTGATATGGCACTACTGAAAAATATATATTTCTTTTGTTTTTATTAAGCCAAACTAATACACAGTATGTCTCTTCCTTTTATAGTTCCACCAATAGTAGAGTTTGGTCCTGAGTACTTTGATGGTCTCATTATTAAGTCTGGAGAGAGCCTTAGAATTAAAGCTTTGGTACAAGGAAGACCAGTGCCTCGAATAACTTGGTTCAAAGATGGAGTGGAAATCGAAAAGAGGATGAATATGGAAATAACCGATGTCCTTGGATCCACCAGCCTATTTGTTAGAGATGCTACTCGGGACCATCGTGGTATATATACAGTGGAAGCCAAAAATGCATCTGGTTCTGCAAAAGCAGAAATTAAAGTGAAAGTACAAGGTACTTTTAAAATAGCTTCTTAATGTTACAATTTATGAACTTGGATTAGAGACATGCCTAAGTTGTGTTTTAATGGACAAGGAAAAAGAAACTAACTCTAGAAACTTTTTCTTACAGATACACCAGGAAAAGTAGTTGGGCCAATAAGATTCACCAATATTACTGGGGAGAAGATGACTCTGTGGTGGGATGCTCCACTCAACGACGGTTGTGCTCCCATAACCCACTACATCATTGAAAAACGGGAAACCAGCAGACTTGCTTGGGCACTAATTGAGGATAAATGTGAAGCCCAAAGTTACACTGCCATTAAACTAATAAACGGCAATGAATACCAATTCCGTGTTTCTGCAGTTAACAAGTTTGGTGTTGGCAGGCCACTTGATTCTGATCCAGTGGTTGCTCAAATACAATACAGTAAGTTTGCATTTTTGCTAAGTGGTACTATGTCAAAAGATTAACCTTCCAAGCAAATGTATCTAATTGATTTGGGGTATTGTTTTTGTTTTACAGCTGTTCCTGATGCCCCTGGCACTCCAGAACCTAGCAACGTAACAGGCAACAGCATTACCCTGACATGGGCAAGGCCAGAATCAGATGGTGGCAGTGAAATTCAACAGTATATCCTTGAAAGAAGAGAAAAGAAAAGCACAAGATGGGTAAAAGTGATCAGTAAACGACCAATCTCCGAAACAAGATTCAAAGTCACCGGTCTGACAGAAGGCAATGAGTATGAATTCCACGTCATGGCTGAAAATGCTGCAGGAGTCGGACCTGCAAGTGGCATCTCAAGACTCATTAAATGTAGAGAGCCCGTCAACCCACCAGGTCCTCCTGCAGTGGTCAAAGTAACAGACACATCAAAGACAACTGTGAGCTTAGAATGGTCCAAACCAGTGTTTGATGGCGGCATGGAAATAATTGGGTACATTATTGAAATGTGCAAGGCCGACTTAGGAGACTGGCACAAGGTGAATGCAGAGGCATGCATGAAAACAAGATATACAGTCACTGATCTACAAGCAGGTGAAGAATACAAATTCCGAGTTAGTGCTATCAATGGTGCTGGAAAAGGAGACAGCTGTGAAGTGACCGGCACAATTAAAGCAGTTGACCGGTTAACAGCTCCTGAGTTAGACATAGATGCAAACTTCAAACAGACTCATATTGTTAGAGCTGGGGCCAGTATTCGCCTCTTCATTGCCTACCAAGGTAGACCTACTCCTACAGCTGTGTGGAGCAAACCAGACTCTAACCTTAGCCTTCGGGCTGATATCCATACAACAGACTCCTTCAGCACCCTCACTGTGGAAAACTGCAACAGAAATGATGCAGGGAAATATACCCTTACTGTGGAAAACAACAGTGGTAGTAAGTCGATCACATTCACCGTAAAAGTGCTAGACACTCCAGGCCCACCTGGCCCAATTACCTTCAAAGATGTGACCCGGGGATCCGCTACATTGATGTGGGATGCCCCCCTTCTTGATGGTGGTGCCCGAATCCATCACTATGTGGTAGAGAAACGAGAGGCAAGTCGCCGTAGTTGGCAGGTTATCAGTGAAAAATGCACTCGTCAGATCCTCAAGGTCGGTGACCTGGCAGAAGGTGTTCCATACTATTTCCGTGTTTCTGCAGTAAATGAGTATGGTGTTGGTGAGCCCTATGAAATGCCAGAACCAATTGTAGCCACAGAACAGCCTGCTCCACCTAGAAGACTTGATGTTGTTGATACTAGCAAATCCTCTGCAGTCTTAGCTTGGCTTAAACCTGAGCACGATGGAGGCAGCCGGATCACTGGCTACCTGCTTGAAATGAGACAAAAGGGATCTGACTTCTGGGTTGAAGCTGGTCACACCAAACAGCTGACTTTCACAGTAGAGCGTCTTGTTGAGAACACTGAATATGAATTCCGTGTGAAGGCCAAGAATGATGCTGGCTACAGTGAACCCAGGGAAGCCTTCTCTTCTGTCATCATTAAGGAGCCTCAAATCGAGCCCACTGCTGACCTCACTGGAATTACCAATCAGCTTATAACTTGCAAAGCAGGAAGCCCATTTACCATTGACGTACCAATCAGTGGTCGTCCCGCCCCCAAAGTAACATGGAAACTGGAAGAAATGAGACTTAAAGAGACGGATCGAGTGAGCATTACAACAACAAAAGACAGGACCACCCTGACTGTAAAGGACAGCATGAGAGGTGACTCTGGAAGATACTTCTTGACCCTGGAAAATACAGCTGGTGTTAAAACATTTACCATCACAGTTGTGGTCATTGGAAGGCCAGGTCCAGTAACCGGCCCCATTGAGGTCTCATCTGTCTCGGCTGAATCGTGTGTCCTGTCATGGGGAGAACCTAAAGATGATGGAGGCACTGAAATTACTAATTACATAGTTGAAAAGCGTGAATCGGGTACAACAGCTTGGCATCTTGTCAATTCCAGTGTCAAGCGCACTCAAATTAAAGTCACTCATCTCACAAAATACATGGAATATTCTTTCCGTGTCAGTTCAGAGAACAGATTTGGTGTCAGCAAACCTCTAGAATCAGCACCAATAGTTGCTGAACATCCATTTGGTAAGAAAAATTAAAATCCTATTTCAAAGTCTCTGTTATTAAATGTTTCCCCTGAGTTTTATAAAATTGTATTCATACTTAATACCTTTGTTTATATTTAGTCCCACCAAGTGCTCCTACCAGACCTGAGGTCTATCATGTATCTGCCAATGCCATGTCTATTCGTTGGGAAGAACCCTACCACGATGGTGGCAGTAAAATTGTTGGCTACTGGGTTGAGAAGAAAGAACGTAACACAATTCTTTGGGTGAAAGAAAACAAAGTGCCATGCTTAGAGTGCAACTACAAAGTAACTGGTTTAGTAGAAGGACTGGAATATCAGTTCAGAACTTATGCACTCAATGCTGCAGGTGTTAGCAAGGCCAGCGAAGCTTCAAGACCTATAATGGCTCAAAATCCAGTTGGTATGTATCACAATTTAAGGGCATATTTGTTTATTATTACTGATTCTAGTAGAACTCAGAGTGGTATATTTTAACCTTATTTTTGCATCCCTTCTAGATGCACCAGGCAGACCAGAGGTGACAGATGTCACAAGATCAACAGTATCACTGATTTGGTCTGCCCCAGTGTATGATGGAGGCAGCAAGGTTGTGGGCTACATCATAGAGCGTAAGCCAGTCAGTGAGGTAGGAGACGGTCGCTGGCTGAAGTGCAACTATACCATTGTATCTGACAATTTCTTCACCGTGACTGCTCTCAGTGAAGGAGACACTTATGAGTTCCGTGTGTTAGCCAAGAATGCAGCAGGCGTAATTAGCAAAGGGTCTGAATCTACAGGCCCTGTCACTTGCCGAGATGAATACGGTAGGAAATAGTCAACATTCTCCTTTTTAAAATTATCACAATTTATGTGAAAATAAACTCTCAGATATTCATTTATATCTGTTTTGCCTACTGACAGCTCCACCCAAAGCCGAACTGGATGCCCGATTACAGGGTGATCTGGTTACCATCAGAGCAGGTTCTGATCTTGTTCTGGATGCTGCAGTTGGTGGCAAACCTGAACCCAAAATTATCTGGACCAAAGGAGACAAGGAGCTAGATCTCTGTGAAAAAGTCTCTTTGCAGTATACTGGCAAACGAGCAACTGCTGTGATCAAGTTCTGTGACAGGAGTGACACTGGAAAATACACTTTAACAGTGAAAAACGCCAGTGGGACCAAGGCCGTGTCTGTCATGGTCAAAGTGCTTGGTAAGCATGTCAAATGTTCTCACATTTATATAGCATTTTCTAGTGTGGGCAGAAAGAATGATCTTCATCATGGCTTGTCATTACACCTGTTTCAGATTCCCCTGGCCCATGTGGAAAGCTCACCGTCAGCAGAGTAACAGAGGAGAAGTGCACTTTAGCCTGGAGCCTTCCTCAGGAAGACGGAGGAGCAGAAATCACTCACTACATTGTGGAAAGACGCGAGACTAGCAGGCTCAACTGGGTGATTGTTGAAGGCGAATGCCCAACCCTATCCTATGTCGTTACCAGGCTCATCAAGAACAATGAGTACATATTCCGAGTGAGGGCAGTAAACAAATATGGCCCTGGTGTGCCTGTTGAATCAGAGCCAATTGTAGCCAGAAACTCATTCAGTGAGTATTAACACTCAAACAATTTGACAGTTGAAATGTAATGGAATCGGGGGAGGAGGGAGAAGGGCAGTCTTATTAATAGTAATTTTGTGCAATTCTAATCATCCTTGTTTTCATAAACAGCTATTCCATCACCACCTGGCATACCTGAAGAAGTTGGGACTGGCAAAGAGCATATCATCATTCAGTGGACAAAACCTGAATCTGATGGTGGCAATGAAATCAGCAACTACCTAGTAGACAAACGTGAGAAGAAGAGCCTGCGCTGGACACGTGTCAACAAAGACTACATCGTGTATGATACCAGGCTGAAGGTGACGAGCCTGATGGAGGGTTGTGATTACCAGTTCCGAGTGACTGCAGTGAATGCAGCTGGTAACAGTGAGCCCAGCGAAGCTTCCAACTTCATCTCATGCAGAGAACCATCATGTGAGCTCCAAGAATCATACATAAATACAATGCTCCTCAAAACTATATGACAGATAATTTTCCAACATACAAATTCTAAGAATTTGTAGAATTTATGAATGGTCTAGAAAAGCATATGCTTATTCACATGATCATAAATATAGCTTAAGTCAGAGAACATTTTAACTACTACATCTGTTAAGTTAGCAATTAGAATTGCTAAAAATTGTTACAGCATTTTCCAATTAATGGAAAAATATTCTACTATCAATATGAAAAGAATCTATTTCATAAATTTTCCTTAGAGAAAAATGCATTGTACCATTGTACTGTAACAACTGAAAAGAAAAATGGCAAAACTCCTTTTAAGAAGAGGTTTAGCAGGAACATACAGTTTCTAGTGGTTTCATAAGTTACTGACAAAATAATTGTCATAAGAGCTTCAAAAGTAAGTGGCAAATCCTTTTACAGAGTCTGAGTCCAAGAACTATAAAGGAATAGTCACTGGGACTGAATTGGGAAAGTTGAGATGAAGGGGGCCAGCCCCTCCACACCTGTGGGTATTTCTCATCAGGCGGGACAAGAGACTGAGAAAAGAAATAAGACACAGAGACAAATTATAGAGAAAGAAAAGTGGGTCCAGGTGACCAGCACTCAGCATACGGAGGACCTGCACCGGCACCGGTCTCTGAGTTCCCTCAGTTTTTATTGATTATTATTTTTCACTATCTAAGCAAGAGGAATGCGGTAGGAGAGCAGGGTGATAATAACGAGAAGGTCAGCAAAAAAACATGTGAGCAAAAGAATCTATGTCATAATTAAGTTCAAGGGGAGGTACTATGCCTGGATGTGCATGTAGGTCCGATTTGTTTTTCTCCGCCCAAACATCTCAGTGGAGTAAAGAATAACAAAGCAGCACTGCTGCCAACATGTCTTGCCTCCCGCTATAGGGTGGTTTTTCTCCTATCTCAGAAGCGAACAAATGTACAACCGGCTTTTATACCGAGACATTCGGTTCCCAGGGGCAAGCAGGAGACAGTGGCTTCCTCTATCTCAACTGCAAGAGGCCTTCCTCTTTTACTAATCCTCCTCAGCACAGACCCTTCACGGGTGTTGGACTGGGGGATGGTCAAGTCTTTCCCATCCCACGAGGCCATATTTCAGACTATCACATGGGGAGAAACCTTGGACAATACCCGGCTTTCCAGGGCAGAGGTCCCTGCCGTTTTCCACAATGCATTGTGCCCCTGGTTTATCAAGACTGGAGAATGGCGATGACTTTTACCAAGCATACTGCCTGTAAACATTTTGTTAACAAGGCACATCCTGCACAGCCCTAGATCCCTTTAACCTTGATTCCATACAACCCTTGTTTCTGTGAGCTCAAGGTTGGGGCAAAGTTACAGATTAACAGAATCTCAGGGCAAAGCAATTGTTCAGAATACAGGTCAAAATGGGGTTTCTTATGTCTTCCCTTTATACATAGACACAGTAACAATCTGATCTCCCTTTTCCCTACATTGAGGAAACCAATTCCTGTATTCATTAGAAATGTATTGGTGGCAAGTGATACTAACCCAGTGAAAGATAAGCAACTAAAGAAAAGTCCCTAAGAATGGGTACTTTAAGTAATGAGCTTAGCTAACGGAGAATACACAGTGAAGCTAGCCAAAGCAGTGGGGAAGAAATATCCACTTTCCTAAAGCAATTTAATTATTAAGATAATAATATTAAATTATAATGTGGCATGCAGTGCTGTCCTACAATATCAGGAGCCTAGTTAATAAAGATTATTTAGGCGAGTGTGGACAAAGAGCAATAATGCCTTTGTGAGTCTTGAAAACAAAAAATACAAATCTCAACATTTCCTTATTTGCCTAATATCTGCATCTCACTTTTTAAATTCCATAGATACCCCTGGACCACCTTCTGCTCCAAGAGTTGTGGATACCACCAAACACAGCATTAGTCTGGCATGGACCAAACCCATGTACGATGGTGGTGCTGACATCACAGGATATGTTCTGGAAATGCAAGAGAAGGACACTGATCAGTGGTACCGAGTGCATACCAAAGCCACAATAAGAAATACTGAATTCACTGTGCCAGATCTTAAAATGGGTCAGAAATATTCCTTCAGAGTTGCTGCCGTGAACGTGAAGGGTATGAGCGAATACAGTGAATCGATTGCTGAAATTGAGCCCGTGGAAAGAATAGGTATATATCATAGAAACTTTTAGGTGAATTATTTTCTTCTCACACCTGTCCATGAATTAATTAAATTTTGTCATTAAATTTCCAGAAATACCAGATCTCGAGCTTGCAGATGATCTAAAGAAGACTGTGACCATCAGGGCTGGGGCCTCCTTGCGCTTGATGGTGTCTGTATCTGGAAGACCACCTCCTGTCATCACGTGGAGCAAGCAGGGCATTGACCTTGCAAGTCGGGCAATTATTGACACCACTGAGAGCTACTCATTGCTAATAGTGGACAAAGTTAATCGGTATGATGCTGGAAAATACACAATTGAAGCTGAAAACCAATCTGGCAAGAAATCAGCAACAGTCCTCGTTAAAGTCTATGGTAAGCATTTTACTTAAAATTGGCTATACAATGAGTAGATCCTCTAAAACAACATAGCTTGACCTATGATTGATCACCTCTCTAGAGAGGAACTATGTTGATTATATTTCCCCAAGGAAAAAAAAAGCTATCAGGCAAAAAGGAAATATTAATCTTTCATTCTGTTTTTCAGATACTCCTGGTCCCTGTCCTTCAGTGAAAGTTAAAGAAGTATCAAGAGATTCTGTGACTATAACTTGGGAAATTCCCACGATTGATGGTGGAGCTCCAGTCAACAATTACATTGTTGAGAAGCGTGAAGCTGCCATGAGAGCATTCAAAACAGTAACTACCAAATGCAGCAAGACACTTTACAGAATTTCTGGACTTGTAGAAGGAACCATGTACTACTTCAGAGTGCTGCCAGAAAATATTTATGGCATTGGAGAACCCTGTGAAACATCTGATGCAGTACTGGTCTCAGAAGTGCCTTTGGTGCCTACAAAGCTAGAAGTGGTCGATGTCACCAAATCCACTGTTACCCTTGCCTGGGAAAAACCACTCTATGATGGCGGTAGCCGACTCACTGGATATGTTCTCGAGGCCTGCAAAGCTGGCACAGAGAGATGGATGAAGGTTGTCACCTTAAAACCCACAGTCCTAGAGCACACTGTGACTTCCTTAAATGAAGGTGAACAATACTTATTTAGAGTGAGGGCACAAAATGAGAAAGGTGTGTCAGAAGCAAGAGAGATTGTCACAGCCGTGACTGTACAAGACCTCAGAGGTATGTACCAAATAGCCAAATAATAATAATGGTAAAGTAAAATGAAAATTCAGAATTCGTAACAATTTACCATAAAAATAATGCTTCAGAATAAATACCTGATTTCTTTCCCATAGTGTTGCCAACAATCGATCTTTCTACGATGCCTCAGAAGACCATCCATGTCCCAGCTGGCAGACCAGTAGAGCTGGTGATACCTATTGCTGGCCGTCCACCTCCTGCTGCTTCCTGGTTCTTTGCTGGTTCTAAACTGAGAGAATCAGAGCGTGTCACAGTTGAAACTCACACTAAAGTAGCTAAATTAACCATCCGTGAAACCACTATCAGAGATACTGGAGAATACACACTTGAACTGAAGAATGTTACTGGAACTACTTCAGAAACCATTAAAGTTATCATTCTTGGTAAGGATGTGTGACAAAGACACAAGCAAGTTGTTGATGTTCAGTCACCCAATTTTGATTTGAAGTAAAAATTAATTTCTTGTATTTCTTCTCTTTCATAGACAAGCCTGGTCCACCAACAGGACCTATTAGGATTGATGAAATTGATGCTACATCAATTACCATTTCCTGGGAACCACCTGAATTGGACGGTGGTGCTCCATTGAGTGGTTATGTGGTAGAACAACGTGATGCTCATCGTCCAGGATGGCTGCCCGTTTCTGAATCAGTGACTAGGTCCACGTTTAAGTTTACCAGACTCACTGAAGGAAATGAGTATGTGTTCCGTGTGGCTGCAACAAACCGCTTTGGGATTGGCTCTTACTTGCAGTCTGAGGTCATAGAGTGTCGCAGCAGCATCCGTAAGTCCACAGACCCTTCCACCACTCTCTCCACCTCTGATTCTGAATGTTAACAAAAAAGAATTTGTTTTTAATATGCCCTAATATAAATAAAAATAGGTCACAAAATTAACCCTGTGGTCTTTCTAAGGTTTCTAAACCTCCTTTTCTCAGAGGTTTTCAACACACTTAGGCTTGATTTTTTTTTTAAATCTTCACTCTTATGAAAGAGGAGGGAGTTAGGAAGAAAGGAATGGAAGGAAGAAAAGAGAGAAGGGTAGGAGGAAGAGAGGAAAGGAAGGAGGACTGGCAATGTTATAGTGAGAAAAAAATACACAGTCCATACTTAATAAATGTAGAATTGAAGAAAATGAGGAACAGCAAGGAAAGTACAAAATTAAACCTCAGCATCACCCAATATACCCATGTAACAAACCTGCACATGTACCCCTGAACCTAAAACAAAAGTCAAAATTTTTAATAAAAATAATTAATTAATTAAATGATTTAAATTAAAATTTACAAATAGTACAAAAGTGAAACTATTGGAAAAATAGTCATGTGTCTTATATATCTTTTAAAATACCAATCAAAACCTAAGGCACACACAAATATATGAGTCATTGTTTCAATTTATCTATATTGCCATATCCTGTTAACCTCTGTCTTGTCACAGGTATTCCTGGACCCCCAGAAACATTACAGATATTTGATATTTCCCGTGATGGTATGACACTTACTTGGTACCCACCAGAGGATGACGGTGGCTCCCAAGTGACTGGATACATTGTGGAGCGCAAAGAAGTGAGAGCAGATCGATGGGTCCGTGTAAATAAAGTACCTGTGACAATGACACGGTACCGCTCCACTGGCCTTATTGAAGGCTTAGAATATGAACACCGTGTCACAGCCATTAATGCAAGAGGGTCTGGAAAACCAAGTCGTCCTTCCAAACCCATCGTTGCCATGGATCCAATTGGTAAGTACATTTTGTATCAGTCAAGTTTGAGTTATAATTTATATGTGGGAAAATTCACCTTTCTGAAGTATACAGTTCTATGACTTTTGAAAAATGTACTGTTTTGTAATCACCACCACAATCAAAATGTGGAATATTTTTATTACCCCGTAAAGTTCCCTTGTGTCCATTTGTAATCAGTCCTTTCCCCACCCCAGCTGCTAGCAATTTCTGGCAAACAATTTTTAATATTCTTCTCTGGAGTCAATTTCCACCTCTTTAAGATAAGATTCATAATATATGCTTTCTATCACAATTAACATTTTAAAACAAGTTAATATTTCTGGAAGCACTTTAAAAACTGATGATAAATGTAAGATAATAATAGTGATTAAAAATGAAGCACATTTAAGAGAAAGGAAAGTGAAAAAATGTTAAGTATTTTTAACTGATAAAATGAATAAAATTTTCTTTTTCTTTTTTTTTTTTTTGAGACAGTCTCACTCTGTCGCCCAGGCTGGAGTGCAGTGGCATGATCTTGGCTTACTGCAACCTCTGCCTCTCAGGTTCAAGCAATTCTTCTGCCTCAGCCTTCTGAGTAGCTGGGATTACAGATGTCTGCCACCACACATGGCTAATTTTTATATTTTTAGTAGAGACGGGGTTTCACCATGTTGGCCAGGCTGGTCTTGAACTCCTGACCTCAAGTACCTGCCTACCTCGGCCTCCCAAAGTGCTGTGATTATAGGCATGAACCACCACACCCGGCCATAAATAAAATTTTCACAGGACAAAAAAACAGGCTAATGTTAACAGTCCCTGTTTCAACAACCCATTGAATTTGTTAGGTGGCAGAGCTAATTTTCAACTTCGCGGCAACTTTAACCAGTATATTGTCTTATTCTTATTCCCAGCTCCTCCAGGAAAGCCACAAAACCCAAGAGTTACTGATACAACAAGGACATCAGTTTCCCTGGCCTGGAGCGTTCCAGAAGATGAAGGAGGATCTAAAGTCACAGGCTACTTGATTGAAATGCAAAAAGTAGATCAACATGAATGGACCAAGTGTAACACCACTCCAACCAAGATTCGAGAGTATACTCTAACACACCTACCTCAGGGTGCGGAATACAGGTTCCGCATCCTAGCTTGTAATGCTGGTGGACCTGGCGAGCCTGCTGAGGTACCAGGAACAGTCAAAGTCACTGAAATGCTTGGTGAGACATATGATCATTTACTTTCTGCAATAATTGCCATAGACTTATTTCTTACTCCCCCTACCACAAATGCTAAATTGAAACCCTACTCTTTTTTCCAGAATATCCTGATTATGAACTTGATGAAAGATACCAGGAAGGTATCTTTGTAAGGCAAGGTGGAGTCATCAGACTTACCATACCAATCAAAGGAAAACCATTCCCAATATGTAAATGGACCAAGGAAGGCCAGGATATTAGTAAGCGTGCCATGATTGCAACATCTGAAACACACACTGAGCTTGTGATCAAAGAAGCAGACAGGGGTGATTCTGGCACTTACGACCTGGTTCTGGAAAATAAATGTGGCAAGAAGGCTGTCTACATCAAGGTCAGGGTGATAGGAAGTCCCAACAGTCCGGAAGGGCCACTGGAATATGATGACATCCAAGCCCGCTCTGTGAGGGTCAGCTGGAGACCTCCTGCTGATGATGGTGGTGCTGACATCTTAGGTTACATCCTCGAGAGACGAGAAGTGCCTAAAGCCGCCTGGTATACCATTGATTCTAGAGTCCGAGGTACATCTCTGGTGGTAAAAGGCCTTAAAGAGAATGTAGAATACCATTTCCGTGTTTCAGCAGAAAACCAGTTTGGCATAAGCAAGCCCTTGAAATCTGAGGAACCAGTCATACCAAAAACACCACTGAGTAAGTGTCCTTTCAACCACAAAATTATAAACATTATTTCAGCACTTTTCTGTTTTTAAATGAAAATCATCGGCTTATAAGACTTGGGACTGTACTCTAATACATGTGTGCTTTCTACTTATATTTATAGATCCTCCAGAACCTCCAAGCAATCCTCCGGAAGTACTCGATGTAACCAAGAGTTCTGTTAGCTTGTCCTGGTCCCGGCCCAAAGATGATGGTGGTTCTCGAGTCACAGGCTACTACATTGAACGCAAAGAGACATCCACTGACAAGTGGGTCAGACACAACAAGACTCAGATCACTACCACAATGTACACTGTCACGGGGCTTGTTCCCGATGCTGAGTATCAGTTCCGAATCATTGCACAGAATGATGTTGGCCTAAGTGAGACCAGCCCTGCTTCTGAACCAGTTGTTTGCAAAGATCCATTTGGTAAGGAATTCAGAAGAAGGGGTTAAATTAAAGAAGCAAGCCATGTTTGGTCCTTTTATTTCACCAGTAAAGCTGATTCCCTTTTCATTATTTTACAATATTTCAGATAAACCAAGCCAACCAGGAGAACTTGAGATTCTTTCAATATCCAAAGATAGTGTCACTCTACAGTGGGAGAAACCTGAATGTGATGGTGGCAAAGAAATTCTTGGATATTGGGTTGAATATAGACAGTCTGGAGACAGTGCCTGGAAGAAGAGCAGTAAGGAACGTATTAAGGACAAGCAATTCACAATAGGGGGTTTGCTGGAAGCTACTGAATATGAATTCAGGGTTTTTGCTGAGAATGAGACTGGGCTGAGCAGACCTCGAAGGACTGCTATGTCTATAAAGACTAAACTCACATGTAAGTAGCCTTTGGTTCTCTACTTATGATTTACAAACTAAACAAATTAAGGCTAATTCCCCCTCTATACTAAGTAGAACCCTGGAAAGCTTTATTGGAGAGCAAGTGTTTAGAAAGAAAAGCAAGTGCACACACAGGAAATATGATAAGTTCTATAGGAAACCATTCCAAGCACATAACTTCAGCAGGAGATGTTAGATGCAGTGAACTGAGCACTTTCCTTGAGCAATTCCCTCTAATGCAATGGTTTCTTTTTTAAAATATTTCCCAACAAGATTTGAAAGGTCAACAATTGTATGCCACTTCAATGAACCTAAGTAAGGGCAAGAATACTACAGAATTATAGAGAGAATTTATAGTCCCTTAAAAGCCTATACATTATTAATTCCCTTCCAATCATAAAGGGAAAAAGTCATTCTACAGAAAATGTGACAATGTGCTCACTGAATCCCTATTTACCATATGATCCTAAGAAAATCACTTCAAAGAGTTTTTAAGAATTAGGCTAATATGTAAATCATGGTATGTGTTAGTAAATAAGGTAAATTCATTCCTGATGTACAAGGACAAAGGATTACAGATTGAGTAGTAACAATCACTTAATATTATCTTTCATATCGTTCAGCTGGAGAGGCCCCAGGAATACGCAAAGAAATGAAGGATGTTACCACCAAATTGGGTGAAGCTGCTCAACTCTCATGCCAGATTGTTGGAAGGCCTCTTCCTGACATTAAATGGTACAGATTTGGTAAAGAGCTCATACAAAGCCGGAAATACAAAATGTCTTCAGATGGACGCACACACATTCTTACAGTAATGACAGAGGAACAGGAAGATGAAGGTGTTTATACCTGCATAGCCACCAATGAGGTTGGAGAAGTAGAAACCAGTAGTAAGCTTCTCCTGCAAGCAACACCACAGTTCCATCCTGGTTACCCACTGAAAGAGAAATATTATGGAGCTGTAGGTTCTACACTTCGGCTTCATGTTATGTACATTGGTCGTCCAGTACCTGCCATGACTTGGTTCCATGGTCAGAAACTTTTGCAAAACTCAGAAAACATTACTATTGAAAACACTGAGCACTATACTCATCTTGTCATGAAGAACGTCCAACGTAAGACTCATGCTGGGAAATACAAAGTCCAGCTCAGCAATGTTTTCGGAACAGTTGATGCCATCCTTGATGTGGAAATACAAGGTATTTTATTTTTATTTTCAGTGCTTTTTATTTTTAAAGAAAAAAAAATCTCAAAAACACACTATGAAAATCACTACAATTGTATTTTCCCCCAACAGATAAACCAGACAAACCTACAGGACCAATTGTGATCGAAGCTCTACTGAAGAACTCTGCAGTGATCAGCTGGAAACCACCCGCAGATGATGGAGGCTCCTGGATCACCAACTATGTGGTGGAAAAATGTGAGGCCAAGGAGGGGGCTGAATGGCAATTGGTGTCTTCAGCCATCTCAGTGACAACCTGTAGAATTGTGAACCTCACAGAAAATGCTGGCTATTACTTCCGGGTTTCAGCTCAGAACACTTTCGGCATCAGTGAACCTCTAGAAGTGTCCTCAGTTGTGATCATTAAGAGTCCATTTGGTGAGTACAACCTGATTTCCATATCTTCCTATGGTAAAGTTCCATCTTTGCATGAAATTCTTTTAAACAGAAAGAAATTTTGAAAGGAAATAGCAAAGATTCAGATAAAGTACAAGTGCCTTTACTTTCATTTTAATTGAATGTTTGCATATCTAAAAGGAGAAATATATATCCTAACCCCTTTTTAAAAATACAACTTTGGTTTTTGATATGTCTTAGTATAAAGTAACCAATTTCATTTTTCTGGAATAGCTATTTTTAAATAAAATTTTGCACTCATAACATTCTTTTCTTAAATAAATAAGCTTTAATAAAGCTGCCTGTTTCATCTCATGACTTAAATCTTTTGTTTTTTTTAATAGAAAAGCCAGGTGCTCCTGGCAAACCAACTATTACTGCTGTCACAAAAGATTCTTGTGTTGTGGCTTGGAAGCCACCTGTCAGTGATGGAGGTGCAAAGATTAGAAATTACTACCTTGAGAAGCGCGAGAAGAAGCAGAATAAATGGATTTCTGTGACAACAGAAGAAATTCGAGAAACTGTCTTTTCGGTGAAAAACCTTATTGAAGGTCTTGAATATGAGTTCCGTGTGAAATGTGAAAACCTAGGTGGGGAAAGTGAATGGAGTGAAATATCAGAACCCATCACTCCCAAATCTGATGTTCCAATTCAGGCACCACACTTTAAAGAGGAACTGAGAAATCTAAATGTCAGATATCAGAGCAATGCTACTTTGGTCTGCAAAGTGACTGGTCATCCAAAACCTATCGTGAAATGGTACAGACAAGGCAAAGAAATCATTGCAGATGGATTAAAATATAGGATTCAAGAATTTAAGGGTGGCTATCACCAGCTCATCATTGCAAGTGTCACAGATGATGATGCCACAGTTTACCAAGTCAGAGCTACCAACCAAGGGGGATCTGTGTCTGGCACTGCCTCCCTGGAAGTGGAAGGTAAAAATATATTATCATCAATTTGAGGCTAAATGAGTTATTAACTTGGGGGGTGCAGGTTATTGCACTTAAACAGATATTGTTAGGTGTTGCTAAATTATATTCTTATTTTTTTCTGATACAGTTCCAGCTAAGATACACTTACCTAAAACTCTTGAAGGCATGGGAGCAGTTCATGCTCTCCGAGGTGAAGTGGTCAGCATCAAGATTCCTTTCAGTGGCAAACCAGATCCTGTGATCACCTGGCAGAAAGGACAAGATCTCATTGACAATAATGGCCACTACCAAGTTATTGTCACAAGATCCTTCACATCACTTGTTTTCCCCAATGGGGTAGAGAGAAAAGATGCTGGTTTCTATGTGGTCTGTGCTAAAAACAGATTTGGAATTGATCAGAAGACAGTTGAACTGGATGTGGCTGATGTTCCTGACCCACCCAGAGGAGTCAAAGTTAGTGATGTCTCACGAGATTCTGTCAACTTAACATGGACTGAGCCGGCCTCTGATGGTGGCAGCAAAATCACCAACTACATTGTTGAAAAATGTGCAACTACTGCAGAAAGATGGCTTCGTGTAGGACAAGCCCGAGAAACACGTTATACTGTGATCAACTTATTTGGAAAAACAAGTTACCAGTTCCGGGTAATAGCTGAAAATAAATTTGGTCTGAGCAAGCCTTCTGAGCCTTCAGAACCAACCATAACCAAAGAAGATAAGACCAGAGCTATGAACTATGATGAAGAGGTAGATGAAACCAGGGAAGTCTCCATGACTAAAGCATCTCACTCTTCAACCAAGGAACTCTATGAGAAATATATGATTGCTGAAGATCTTGGGCGTGGTGAGTTTGGAATTGTCCACCGTTGTGTTGAAACATCCTCAAAGAAGACATACATGGCCAAATTTGTTAAAGTCAAAGGGACTGATCAGGTTTTGGTAAAGAAGGAAATTTCCATTCTGAATATTGCTAGGCATAGAAACATCTTATACCTCCATGAATCATTTGAAAGCATGGAAGAATTAGTTATGATCTTTGAGTTTATATCAGGACTTGACATATTTGAGCGCATTAACACAAGTGCTTTTGAACTTAATGAAAGAGAAATTGTAAGTTATGTTCACCAGGTCTGTGAAGCACTTCAGTTCTTACACAGTCATAATATTGGACACTTTGACATTAGACCAGAAAATATCATTTACCAAACCAGAAGAAGCTCTACCATTAAAATAATAGAATTTGGTCAAGCCCGTCAGCTGAAACCAGGGGACAACTTCAGGCTTCTATTCACTGCCCCAGAATACTATGCACCTGAAGTCCACCAGCATGATGTTGTCAGCACAGCCACAGACATGTGGTCACTTGGAACACTGGTATATGTGCTATTGAGTGGTATCAACCCATTCCTGGCTGAAACTAACCAACAGATCATTGAAAATATCATGAATGCTGAATATACTTTCGATGAAGAAGCATTCAAAGAGATCAGCCTTGAAGCCATGGATTTTGTTGACCGGTTGTTAGTGAAAGAGAGAAAATCTCGCATGACAGCATCAGAGGCTCTCCAGCACCCATGGTTGAAGCAGAAGATAGAAAGAGTCAGTACTAAAGTTATCAGAACATTAAAACACCGGCGTTATTACCACACCCTGATCAAGAAAGACCTCAACATGGTTGTGTCAGCAGCCCGGATCTCCTGTGGTGGTGCAATTCGATCTCAGAGGGGAGTGAGTGTTGCTAAAGTTAAAGTAGCATCCATTGAAATTGGCCCAGTTTCTGGGCAGATAATGCATGCAGTTGGTGAAGAAGGAGGACATGTCAAATATGTATGCAGAATTGAAAATTATGATCAGTCTACCCAAGTGACTTGGTACTTTGGCGTCCGACAGCTGGAGAACAGTGAAAAATATGAAATCACCTATGAAGATGGAGTGGCCATCCTCTATGTCAAAGACATTACCAAATTTGATGATGGTACCTACCGATGCAAAGTAGTCAATGACTACGGTGAAGACAGTTCTTATGCAGAGTTATTTGTTAAAGGTGTGAGAGAAGTCTACGATTATTACTGCCGTAGAACCATGAAGAAAATTAAGCGCAGAACAGATACAATGAGACTCCTGGAAAGGCCACCAGAATTTACCCTGCCTCTCTATAACAGGACAGCTTATGTAGGTGAAAATGTCCGGTTTGGAGTAACTATAACTGTCCACCCAGAGCCTCGTGTAACATGGTATAAATCAGGTCAGAAAATCAAACCAGGTGACGATGACAAGAAGTACACATTTGAGTCAGACAAGGGTCTTTACCAATTAACAATCAACAGTGTCACTACAGATGATGACGCTGAATATACTGTTGTGGCAAGGAACAAATACGGTGAAGACAGCTGTAAAGCAAAGCTGACGGTAACCCTACACCCACCTCCATCAGACAGTACCTTAAGACCCATGTTCAAAAGGTTACTGGCAAATGCAGAATGCCAAGAAGGCCAAAGTGTCTGCTTTGAGATCAGAGTGTCTGGCATCCCCCCACCAACATTAAAATGGGAGAAAGATGGTCAGCCACTGTCCCTTGGACCTAACATTGAAATTATCCATGAAGGCTTGGATTATTACGCTCTGCACATCAGGGACACTTTGCCTGAAGACACAGGTTATTATAGAGTCACAGCCACTAACACAGCTGGGTCCACCAGCTGCCAGGCTCACCTACAAGTGGAACGCCTGAGGTACAAGAAACAGGAATTCAAGAGTAGGGAGGAGCATGAGCGACACGTACAAAAACAAATTGACAAAACCCTCAGAATGGCTGAAATTCTTTCTGGAACTGAAAGTGTGCCACTGACACAGGTAGCTAAAGAGGCTCTGAGAGAAGCTTCCATCCTTTACAAACCAGCTGTAAGCACCAAGACTGTAAAAGGGGAATTCAGACTTGAGACAGAAGAAAAGAAAGAGGAGAGAAAACTCCGGATGCCTTATGATGTACCAGAGCCACGCAAGTACAAGCAGACTACCATAGAAGAAGACCAACGCATCAAGCAGTTCGTGCCCATGTCTGACATGAAGTGGTATAAAAAGATACGTGATCAGTATGAAATGCCTGGGAAACTTGACAGAGTTGTACAGAAACGACCCAAGCGCATCCGCCTTTCAAGATGGGAACAGTTCTATGTGATGCCTCTTCCACGCATTACGGATCAATACAGACCTAAATGGCGTATTCCTAAACTGTCCCAAGATGATCTTGAGATAGTGAGACCAGCCCGCCGGCGTACACCTTCTCCTGATTATTACTTTTACTACCGACCTAGAAGACGTTCTCTTGGAGACATCTCTGATGAAGAATTACTCCTCCCCATTGATGACTACTTAGCAATGAAAAGAACAGAGGAAGAGAGGCTGCGTCTTGAAGAAGAGCTTGAATTAGGTTTTTCAGCTTCACCCCCAAGCCGAAGCCCTCCACGCTTTGAGCTTTCTAGCCTACGTTACTCTTCACCACAAGCTCATGTCAAGGTGGAGGAAACAAGAAAAGACTTCAGGTATTCAACCTATCACATCCCAACGAAGGCTGAAGCTAGTACAAGTTATGCAGAACTGAGGGAACGGCATGCCCAGGCTGCGTACAGACAGCCAAAGCAACGGCAAAGAATCATGGCTGAGAAGGAGGATGAAGAGTTGCTTCGCCCAGTTACGACCGCCCAGCGTCTCTCAGAATACAAAAGCGAACTTGACTACATGTCAAAGGAGGAAAAGTCTAGAAAGAAATCAAGGCGACAAAGAGAAGTGACAGAAATAACAGAAATTGAGGAAGAATACGAAATCTCAAAACGTGCTCAAAGAGAATCATCCTCATCCGCATCTAGACTACTGAGACGACGGCGCTCCCTGTCTCCAACTTATATTGAGTTAATGAGGCCGGTGTCTGAGCTGATCCGGTCACATCCACGACCGGCTGAGGAATACGAAGATGACACAGAAAGAAGGTCACCTACTCCAGAAAGAACTCGCCCACGATCCCCCAGCCCTGTGTCTAGTGAGAGATCACTCTCGAGATTTGAGAGGTCTGCAAGATTTGATATCTTTTCCAGGTATGAGTCCATGAAAGCTGCTTTAAAAACTCAGAAGACATCAGAAAGGAAGTATGAAGTTTTGAGTCAGCAGCCTTTCACACTGGACCATGCCCCTCGAATCACATTGAGAATGCGCTCACACAGGGTACCATGTGGCCAAAATACACGTTTTATTTTAAATGTTCAGTCTAAGCCAACTGCTGAGGTTAAATGGTACCACAATGGTGTGGAACTCCAAGAAAGCAGTAAGATTCATTACACCAATATGAGTGGAGTTCTGACCCTGGAAATTCTGGACTGTCATATTGATGACAGTGGAACCTACCGTGCTGTGTGCACCAACTACAAGGGCGAAGCTTCTGACTATGCAACATTGGACGTAACAGGAGGGGATTATACCACTTATGCTTCCAGGCGCAGAGATGAAGAGGTCCCCAGATCTGTTTTCCCTGAGCTGACAAGAACAGAGGCGTATGCTGTTTCATCATTTAAGAAAACATCTGAGATGGAAGCTTCGTCTTCTGTCAGGGAAGTGAAATCACAGATGACAGAGACAAGGGAAAGTCTCTCCTCATATGAACACTATGCATCTGCAGAAATGAAAAGTGCTGCATTAGAAGAAAAGTCGCTGGAAGAAAAATCCACAACCAGAAAGATCAAGACAACTTTGGCGGCAAGGATTCTAACAAAGCCACGGTCCATGACTGTCTACGAGGGCGAGTCTGCAAGGTTTTCTTGTGACACCGATGGTGAGCCGGTACCAACTGTGACCTGGCTGCGTAAAGGACAAGTGCTAAGTACTTCTGCCCGCCACCAAGTGACCACCACAAAGTACAAATCAACCTTTGAGATCTCTTCAGTTCAGGCTTCCGATGATGGCAATTACAGCGTGGTAGTAGAAAACAGTGAAGGGAAACAAGAAGCAGAGTTCACTCTGACTGTTCAAAAGGCCAGGGTAACTGAAAAGGCTGTGACATCACCACCAAGAGTCAAATCCCCAGAGCCTCGGGTGAAATCCCCAGAAGCAGTTAAATCTCCAAAACGAGTGAAATCTCCAGAACCTTCTCACCCCAAAGCCATATCACCCACAGAGACAAAAACAACATCAACAGAGAAAGTTCAGCACCTCCCAGTCTCTGCCCCACCAAAGATTACTCAGTTCCTGAAAGCAGAAGCTTCTAAAGAGATTGCAAAGCTGACCTGTGTGGTTGAAAGCAGTGTATTAAGTGTAAAAGAGGTCACCTGGTATAAAGATGGCAAGAAACTGAAGGAAAATGGGCATTTCCAGTTTCATTATTCAGCAGATGGTACCTATGAGCTCAAAATCCATAACCTCACTGAATCTGATCAAGGAGAATATGTTTGTGAGATTTCTGGTGAAGGTGGAACATCTAAAACCAACTTCCAATTTATGGGGCAAGCCTTTAAGAGTATCCATGAGAAGGTATCAAAAATATCAGAAACTAAGAAATCAGATCAGAAAACCACTGAGTCAACAGAAACCAGAAAAACTGAACCAAAAGCTCCTGAACCAATTTCCTCAAAACCAGTAATTGTTACTGGGTTGCATGATACAACTGTTTCTTCAGACAGTGTTGCTAAATTTGCAGTTAAGGCTACTGGAGAACCCCGGCCAACTGTCATCTGGACAAAAGATGGAAAGGTAACCAGTTCTTAAATGTCTCTTACTTTTATCTTCTAAAATATTTTATCTTCTAAATTCAGCTTCCCAAAAAACACTTAAAATGAAATCACTTTTTAAAGCGCAAATCATTTGCATTCTACAGGCTATTACACAAGGAGGTAAATATAAACTCTCTGAAGACAAGGGAGGGTTCCTCTTAGAAATTCACAAGACTGATACTTCTGACAGTGGACTTTATACTTGTACGGTAAAAAATTCAGCTGGATCTGTGTCCTCTAGCTGCAAATTAACAATAAAAGGTAGGTTGGACTTTTGTTTTTACCCACATTTTTTCAGAAGATAATATTAGGGAAATATTTTCAAACATCCCCCCTTATATACACATACAAGAAAGTATTAAAATAAAATTATTTTCCTAATTCCAGAATGCAATTTGTACACCAAAGTAGAAACACACATTTGAAGTTAGCATATGCTTTTCTATGAGCATAAAAAGCAGTTATTAAGTACCTTATTATATATGGTATTATATAAGATTCTATAGTGTCAGCCCCTGCTCCCAGGAATATTTAAGAATAAAGTCAGTGAATATACAAAATGGCACTGCTTGCCTAAACCTTCACAGTTGCTAATTTTCCAAAGCAGTACAAAGTTAATTAAAGAACTATTTCTGTTTTACCAATTAAAATTAGTTTGCTTTCATTTCAATCTTCTGAAAGATAATTTAATGTTTTGGTTACTCAAAATCTCCCAAATCCACTTATCTCCTAAATCCTTTGACTATTCTTTTCAAGACTTTTTTCCTTAAGTCATAGGAATCATCTTTGGTTCAGTTTAGTTTAAGGACTCATTACACTGATTTCAAAAGTCACACATGACAATTTTCCAAAAGTGTAACTGAGAAAGTATTAGGTATTACCTACACTGCATGAAGTTGACTTTTTTCTTTGTATGTTTTTCACATGCAGAATCTAGAAGAGTAAAAGGTGGGGGTCTCTTTCTAATTAAGTTTGCCTTACAGAGGTTTCTTTTTTAGCTGTAAAAGATACTGAGGCACAGAAAGTCTCTACACAAAAGACTTCTGAAATTACATCTCAGAAGAAAGCTGTTGTCCAAGAGGAAACTTCCCAAAAAGCCCTAATGTCTGAAGAAATTAAGATGTCAGAGGCAAAATCTCAAGAAAAGTTAGCCCTCAAAGAGGAAGCTTCAAAGGTTTTGATTTCCGAAGAAGTCAAGAAATCAGCAGCAACCTCCCTGGAAAAATCCATTGTCCATGAGGAAATCACTAAAACATCACAGGCATCAGAAGAAATCAGAACTCATGCTGAGATTAAAGCATTTTCTACTCAGATGAGCATAAATGAAGGTCAAAGAGTGGTTTTAAAAGCCAACATTGCTGGTGCCACTGATGTGAAATGGGTACTGAATGGCATAGAGCTTACCAACTCTGAGGAGTACCGATATGGTGTCTCAGGCAGCGATCAGACCCTCACCATCAAGCAAGCTAGTCACAGAGATGAAGGAATCCTCACCTGCATAGGCAAAACCAAGGAAGGAATTATCAAGTGTCAATATGATTTGATGCTGAGCAAAGAACTCTCAGATGCTCCAGCCTTCATCTCCCAGCCTAGATCTCAAAATATTAATGAAGGACAAAATGTTCTCTTTACTTGTGAAATCAGTGGCGAGCCATCCCCTGAAATCGAATGGTTTAAAAACAACCTGCCAGTAAGTTTAATTATGAATATATTATTGAAGAAAAAACTAAAATACCATGTCTTCCACATCTAAAGAACTTCAACATTTCCTTTCTTTTTCCTTCGTCTTAGATTTCTGTTTCTTCAAATGTCAGCACAAGTCGCTCCAGAAACATATACTCTCTTGAAATCCGAAATGCATCAGTCAGCGACAGTGGAAAGTACACAATTAAGGCCAAAAATTTCCGTGGCCAGTGTTCAGCTACAGCTTCCTTAACGGTCCTTCGTAAGTATCTCCTCACCATTCTTCCTTACATGCTTAAGGCCTTTAGATGTTTTTTTTTTGCCTCTCTTTCAAGCACAGAAAACTCTAAGAAGCCTTATTAAATTCCATGTGAAAGAGGGACAGCCATCCGATGTGAATTCATTCTTGCAGTCAAACTTTCTTTATAGTTACACAGAAACTTGGATAGATTACATTTCAAAGTAAAGCTACCAACTGCCCTGTAACATTTATTTTCAGGACACACAATATGTCAATTACTTTCTATATGACTAATCATTTTTTTCCTGGTGATTCCTAGCACCTGCATGTAATGTAATGATAGAAATATAAGGATTCATGTTTTGGAGACATTGAGCTAGCTCTTGACAAATGTATGTATATATGTATTTGCTTATGCTTCAACAGCAAATTGTTTGGGTTATGCTGCTGTGCGTGTGTTGAAGTTTCCATTTCTGTAAGTCAGCGTCATATGTCACCAATTAACCAGATGTCATTGATGTTCACTGTGTATCTGCTATGCTCCACAGCTCTAGTTGAAGAACCTTCCAGAGAGGTAGTATTGAGAACAAGTGGTGACACAAGCTTGCAAGGAAGCTTCTCGTCTCAGTCAGTCCAAATGTCTGCCTCCAAGCAGGAGGCCTCCTTCAGCAGTTTCAGCAGCAGCAGTGCTAGCAGCATGACTGAGATGAAATTTGCAAGCATGTCTGCCCAAAGCATGTCCTCCATGCAAGAGTCCTTTGTAGAAATGAGTTCCAGCAGCTTTATGGGAAAATCTAGTATGACACAACTGGAAAGTTCAACTAGTAAAATGCTTAAAGCAGGCATAAGAGGTGAGCAATAAAATTACCGGTAGAGGTAGACAAGCCAAGTAACATGGTGTAGTCTTTAGTACACACAATTCAGTAGAAAGCAAATCTTTATTTTTTTCAGTGATTCTAAGACTTTTTTTGTCATTGTTCCATAAAGGAATTCCGCCTAAAATTGAAGCTCTTCCATCTGATATCAGCATTGATGAAGGCAAAGTTCTAACGGTAGCCTGTGCTTTCACGGGTGAGCCTACCCCAGAAGTAACATGGTCCTGTGGTGGAAGAAAAATTCACAATCAAGAACAACAGGGGAGGTTCCACATTGAAAACACAGATGACCTGACAACGCTGATCATCATGGACGTACAGAAACAAGATGGTGGACTTTATACCCTGAGTTTAGGGAATGAATTTGGATCTGACTCTGCCACTGTGAATATACATATTCGATCCATTTAAGAGGGCCTGTGCCCTTATACTCTACACTCATTCTTAACTTTCTGCAAACGTTTCACATGGACTAATCTTTCTGATCTGTAAATATTTAAAGAAAAAAAAAGTAGTTTTGTATCAACCTAAATGAGTCAAAGTTCAAAAATATTCATTTCAATCTTTTCATAATTGTTGACCTAAGAATATTATACATTTGCTAATGACATGTACATACTGTATATAGCCGGATTAACGGTTATAAAGTTTTGTACCATTTATTTTATGACATTTTACAATGTAACTTTTGAAACTAACTGTTGGTAGGAGAAAGTTTCTTATGGAACGAATACCCTGCTCAACATTTAATCAATCTTTGTGCCTCAACATACTGTTGATGTCTAAGTATGCCTCAGTGGGTTGAGAAATTCCCCACTGAAGATGTCCTGTCCACCTAAAAGAGAATGATGCTGTGCACATCACTTGATATGTGCACCAATACCTATTGAATCAGAAATGTAAGGCATTGGTGATGTTTGCATTTACCCTCCTGTAAGCAACACTTTAATGTCTTACATTTTCTCTGATGATGTCACACAAAATTATCATGACAAATATTACCAGAGCAAAGTGTAACGGCCAACACTTTGTTCGCTCATTTTACACTGTCTCTGACATAAGGAGTGCCTGAATAGCTTGGAAAAGTAACATCTCCTGGCCATCCCTTCATTTAACCAAGTTATTCAAGTATTCCTATGCCAGAGCAGTGCCAACTCTTGGAGGTCCCAGGGTGCAGCCAATGCCTTTGTGTGGTAGTTCTAAATTTTAATTGCACCTGAAAAACCTGGGCACCTAAGCAATGAGCCACAGCAAAAACTGAAGAACAACAACAAAATAAAGCTGTCGTTAAATTTTAAACAACAATATTACTAATTGCCCAAAATGTCAATTTGATGTAGTTCTTTTCATGCAAGTATAAATTCAATTGTTAGTTATAATTGTTGGACCTCCTTGAGATAGTAACAACAAAATAAAGCAAGCTATCTGCACCTCAAAATGTGTGGCTGGTTGTTTTCTGTGAAATTCTGGGGTGGGGAAGTATGCACCTTCAAGTATCACAAAAACAATCATAGATAGATAAGGCAACTCAAGTTCAAAACAGCCCATACTATAAGTTCTTTTAAGCAAATGTTTAAATTATCGTGTTAGATGTATTCAGCAATTTTGTTTAAAAAGCCTAGATATAGTTCTCATGGATATATTTATCCCCAAAAATTTATCTTCTAAATATATCAAGAAAAATATTTTTAGGAGAGCTGATTCAACTCGGAATCAGCTGTGATTCAATATCTTTGATGGATTTTGACCATCTACAATTTCACAATCTTTTGTGCTAAACACCACAGGGAACAATACAAAGATGATTAACACGGTATAGATACAGTCCCTCAAAGAGCATAGTGAACGGAAAAGGACAATTTCAGGGAAAATGATCAGTTGTGCATCTGAGTCCATATTGGCTACTGCAGCTCCAAATCGAGACAAAACAAATAAAGGACCTCAGAACTAAAGAACTATTTTATTACCGGCCGGGCGCGGTGGCTCAAACCTGTAATCCCAGCACTTTCGGAGGCCGAGACGGGCGGATCACGAGGTCAGGAGATCGAGACCATCCTGGCTGACACGGTGAAACCCCGTCTCTACTAAAAAATACAAAAAACTAGCCGGGCGAGGTGGCGGGCGCCTGTAGTCCCAGCTACTCGGGATGCTGAGGCAGGAGAATGGCATGAACCCGGGAGGCGGAGCTTGCAGTGAGCTGAGATCCGGCCACTGCACTCCAGCCTGGGCGGCAGAGCGAGACTCCGTCTCAAAAAAAAAAAAAAAAAAAAAAAAAAAAGAACTATTTTATTACCAAGTCTAGATCAGTTGTTTTAAAAGCATGGTAGAATGACAGTATATGCAAGATTGACACTATTTTAAATAGTGTCATTCTACTACGCTTTTTAAACAACTGATCTAGACTTGGTAATAAAATAATGCGAAAAATATCTGTATTTGTCCACTTCAATTTGCTAACCATAAGCCTATGATGTTATTTGCCTAAATTGACCGCCTTAATGTAAGTACAGGTGACCAAAGTTGAAGCAAATGTACTGTCAGTTTTCATTCTCCAGAGGAAGATCCTGGATCTTCACCAATTTATTCAGCAAGTTTTCTGTCTGAAGTCAGATTCCCTAAAAGCGGAGCCTGAGACGGGGATTCTTGTCTCAGTAGTTCTTTGAGGGATTATTACTCTCAGGGAAAAAGGGAATGGGGCAACCAGCAGATAGGGCAGAGGAAGAAAGCTCAGCAAGAATGGGGCCTCGGCAAAAGCCTCAGCCAGATCTAACAGGGAGCATCAACTATACCACAGAGTTGGTACCATCTAGGAGCAAGGGAGCTGACATTTTGTACTCCCTTACCAACCAGTCAATGGCTACAGGCTATAAGCTGAGGGGCTGAGGAGGCATGGAAGAGGGAAATAACCTTCCCAAGTGAAGAGGGGTGCCTGTTGGCCAGGTCAATTCTCCACGGACTAGGGCAGCCAAACAGTGAACAATCAAGAAATCGATGGAAGAATACACATTCCCTCGATATCTGAGTGATGCCAACATAAACCACTACATCATCTTACAATGTTAAATGCCTATTCTTACCTTAATATGAGAGGCAGGACTGGCTAGGTGATGCCTAAGGATGATTCCCAGCCTTGATATGCTAGTATTCTTACATATCCTATCCGTGGCTGATATAGTCTGTGCTGATGAAAATTCCAAAACCGAGGACAGGATTTCGCACTTGCTGCAGTTGCGGCTCGCAGGCGCTGAGATCCAATTTGGGCCTGGGAGAGTGGGGAGGGAGAGCAATCTGCCCAGTGAAGGACAGCTGCGCTAAAGGCAAGGTTTTATTTCTGTTTATCCCTTAGCGAAAGCCCACTGCGCTCCAACAGAACGGCCAGAAGCCCCTTTCCTGGCTTACCGGGCAGCCTCTTTCCCCTAATTCCTCCAAAAACAGCGCTACTCCGAAGACGCGGGGGGGAGGGTCTTCCTGCTCTATACCCCACCTTCCGCAACGCCAGGAGTGGTTCCTCAGCATCATGGCGTCATTTCCGAGTCAGATCCGCTCTTCTCTCCCCATGTCAACAGAGGGCGACAGGGAGCACCAAGCCAATGCGTGCTTTTTGGTTCCAATCTACCCCCTCCACAAAACGCATGGGCAAGCTTCACGGTCATCCTGCCCCTTTTTCTTAAATCCTTCACGTCTGTTTTATAAACCCCACACCTGGCTACATGATCAGCCGAATAATGTTGCAATTACACATCTGCATTCAAAACCCGCTCAAATCTAAGACCTGCTGTTTACTAACTTACTTCACCTGGGGCAGATTACCGAACTTCGTTCTTTGACATTCTCGTCCATAAAATGAGAATAACAGCAGCAACCTCACAGTATTCTGAGGATTAGACAAGTTACTACATGTAAAACTCAGAACAGTGCTTAGCAGAGCACCCAATAAATACCAGCAATCATTATTCTGTTAGGGACCACTGTACAGAATATTGAAGCTAGGGACTAGAGAGGCAGCATTTTAGAGGGGACCTAGCCTAGGTCTCACTGGTACTCATTAGATGTACAGCAGGCCACCTTCATTCTTGGGGAACCTATCCCAAGATCCCCCAGTGGAATCCTGAAACTGGATTATACTGAATCCTACATATACTATGATTTTTCTTACACATACATACTGATATGGTTTGGCTGTGTTCCCACCCAAATCTCATCTTGAATGGTAGCTCCCATAATTCCCACCTTGTGAGAGGGACCCGGTAGGAGATAATTGAATCATGGGAGCGGTTTCCCCCATACTGTTATCATGGTAGTGAATAAGTCTCACGAGATCTGATGGTTTTGTAAGGGGAAACCCCTTTTGCTTGGTTCTCATTTCTCTCTTCCCTGACACTATGTAAGATGTGACTTGCTCCTCCTTGCCTTTGCCGTGATTGAGAGGCCTCCCCAGCTACCTGGAACTGTAAGTCAATTAAATCTCTTTCCTTTATAAACGACCCAGTCTCAGGTACGTCTTTATCAGCAGCGTGAAAATGGACTAATACACATACCTATGAAAGTTTAATTTGCAAATTAGGCACAGTAAGAGATTAACAACAATAATAGAATATAACAATGTACTATAATAAAAGTTATATGAATGTGATCTCTCTCTGTCTAAATATCTTATTGTACTGTACTGCAGGTAACACAAAACAGCAGAAAGTGAAACCACAGATTAGAGGGGACTAGTGTATTCGTTATCTAGCACTGCTGGAATAAAGTACAACAAACAGAGTGGCAGACACAACAGAAATGTATTGTCTCGCAGCTCTGGAGGTTGGAAGTCTAAAATCAAGGTGTTGGCAGGGTTGGTTCCTTCTGAGAACTCTGAGGGAAGACTCTCTCCTAAGCCTCTCTCCTTGTCTGTAGATAGCTACCTTCATGTTCACACGACATTTTCCCTGCATGTCTGTGTCCAAATTTCTCCATTTTGGAATACCAGTCATACTACTGAGGCTCATCCTAGTTACCCCACTTCAACTTAATTATCTCTATAAAGCCTATCACCAAATAAGTTCGCATCCTGAGGTACTTGAGGTTAGGAGTCCAACATCTCTTAGGGAGGGACATAATACACATCTATCACCCTAGATGTGACGGACTTAGAACAGCACCTCTGGAATTTCTGAAAAGAGAGATTTATTCTCTCTATCCAATAGTACCTGATTATGTAGACGGTTGTAGAGGTTGTTAAACCAGAAAGAGTCCATAAAATAACAAGTTAAATTTGTATCTCCATGGTGACTGATTCAAGAAGAATGTTTTATGATTGTGCTCCAGAAAGAAAAAGTGATTTTCAATTTTGTTTACTGTGCTGCAAATGTAATTTTGAGAAATTCAGTAGAGAAAGTCATTTCCTTGTAATAGGAGAAAATAGCGTCTGCTACTTAAGTAGGACTTTTGAAAATAGACTGGCCCATGGGTTTTTATTTTAAGGTTATAAAATGTGAAAACTTTGTTTTACGCATTTTGGTACCCCTGAGTCAATGTTTCCCAAACTCTGCTCCTCAAGATGTTGTGGAAAAACTGTTCCACAGCCTAATAAACTTAGGATTTGGGTAACTGTTCTTCTCTATACAGGATTTCTCGGAGTCCTTGATGAGCTATGAATTATGTTTCCAGGCGGTGGCACAGTGCTCCCCAAATTTATTTGAAGACAGAATTTGCTTTTCATTGGTGCTATGCACAATGCAGCTGCATAGCATGTCAAGACAGGCTATATAAGGTGGAAACACTGAAGGTGTGGAAGGGAATAGATCTTGGTTGAAGGGGCAACTGAATATCCCCTAAGAAATGAAGTTAAGTGCTATGATCGAAGAAATCCAGAGTGTTTGAGAGCACATTGCTAAGTCATCTTATCCAGTCAGAGAAAGGGCCAAACGGGCAAAAGCTGCAACCTAAAATGTGGGATAAGAAGGGGCATGCCTCGCTTTCCAGGCAGACAACCTTTGCACCTGCAGAGACCTTGGGGCAAAGGACAGCACAATACATCCAAAAAAGTTTTAAAATTTTTTATTTTTTGTTTAGTAGAAAAAATATTATAGTGGAACAACCTTTGAAGGGCTCGGTGCAAGAAGCAAGGCCACCTTGCAGAAAGCCTCATACACCATATAATAGAGTTTGGACTTTTCCCTAAGAGGTAAGGGAATCACTAGAGATTTAAGTCAACTAGAGACTTGATAAAATTTTATTTTTACCAAGTCTTTAGCTGTTCTGAGAAAGCTATGACATTTGTTTGCTTTCTACATCAAAGAGCTTATTTTCTCCTATAGAATTCCACTCACAGGAAGACTTTACCTACCACCAAATTTCTAACCCATGGTGTCGCTTGTAATTATAGCACTGGGAGGTTATAGTCAATCATGGAAAGGTCTTTCCTAAGATTTTCGTGGGACTTGGGGGTGCATA